TGGAAATAAAAAGCAATCCAATTGGATCCTATAGGTTTTTTTTATAATATTTTTTTCAACAATACAAAACACATACAAATGACAACATACAGACGCAAACAAACATCCTCAACATCACTCCTGCCCAGACCCACCATCTCCAGCGCCCGTATCACTCTCCGCCACATGGCCTCAAAACTGCACCATTTTGTTACTCTCCGTCGCCCACGCACGTTCAACATTTATATAATAAAGCACTAGACCTTTCCATTGTGTTGATGATGGAGGATTGGTTGATTTCCAGTAAAGTCTTTTTTTTTCAAGATGATTGACGATAAAAGTATCATCCAAAACATCAGGTACTGTATCTCACTGCACCCTCATTTATGCCATGTCTTGAAATATGCAGACAGAGGGATTAAAATTAAATTTATCCTATAGGTTTTTTTTATAAGGATTTTGTCACCCAAATCAGAATATTTTTTTAATTGAACCCATTAAATTATAGTTTGTTGTCATTAGTTCCAGTACAATACAACAACATTAATTACAACATTTGTTTTGATCGGAAAAAACAGTTCTATATTCATTTCTGTTTTATTCACCTGTAAGAAAGCCTGTCCCTTTAAGAGTGACTGATGACATCCCAGCAAGCGCGAGCTCGCAGTGTTAATTAGCCTCTCAAATTCAAGGTCCCACCTGTGGCTGTGCAGATAATCTCCGGTTTTCTAACAATATCATTCAAACTGTTTTATCCTTCACTGTGCGTGAATGCAATAACTGTGAGGCCAGTATTTATTTCCAAATGTTTGCTTACGAAGTTGTCAATGTTTTAGTCATATTTTCGTCATTGTACAGCATTTTATGCATTCTTTTTTATGCTAACTACTGTTTGCCACATTTTGCCTGTCAGCTGACGAGCTAGCTAAATTGTAGCCATATGTATGTCGTTTTTGAGTTACTGTATTGTTATAGCAGATGATAAATGTTTTTTCTTGTTTTTATTGCTAAATATGTGCCTTATTATAGGCAAGTCAACTCCGTTTTCAGGATTTCTTGTAGATCCCTAGTAGAAAAATCATATCAGATTTTGGAACCAGTCCTATTCGAGTCCTATGGGATTCTATCCTATATGATCATATAGGATTCCAATACTAGAATCCAATAGAAATATCCTATCAGATTTTGGAACCAGTCTTATTGGACTCCTGTAGGATTCCAATACAAGAATCCAATAGAAAAATCCTATTCGATTTTGGAACCAGTCCTATAGGATAGGTTCCAAAATCTGATAGGATTTTCTATAGGAATTTTTGACTAGGGCACTTTCGTTATGATCAGTGTTTTAGGATCTCAACTTGTGAATGATTTTCTCAGCAGGCTGCGGGACATTCACTGCAATTTCTTCCTCATCTCCACTACCTCCTTCAACACCTTGCACTGCCTCCGCATAGGAGACCTGCTGGACAGCCCTGACCAGTGCTACTGCCCCCATTTCTCACCAATTATTTATATATACACTAGATCAGTGTTTCCCAACCCTGGTCCTCGAGTACCCCCAACAGAACACATTTTTGTTGTAGCCATCGACTAACACACCTCATTCAACTCATTGAGGGCTTGATGATTAGTTGACAAATTGAATCAGGTGTGCTTGTCCAGGGCTACAATTAAAATGTGTACTGTTAGGGGTACTTGAGGACCAGGGTTGGGAAACACTGCACTAGATGACTGACAGGGGGCGCTGTTTTGAAGCCACCGTGCCTCCATCTTGGCTCTCCCCCACCATTGTAAAAAAAAAATGTTTTTACACGTTTATTCTATTACAGACACCTTAATGCATACTTCTAAATTATATTATGAGAGCTAAACAAAAATGAAAAAGAAAACATAAAAACATTTTCCTTAAAGTATAATTTTTGGAAAGTACTAATGTTACTGTCCCTACTACAACACACAAAATACTTAAATAAATAAAATTTGGTCATTTAAACATTTAATTGAAATACTGTAGAATTCTATTCATTCCTGTGGATGACTGCGTTTCTGAGGAGTGCCAATATGGCTGACCGGTGGCTTCAAAGCCTCTCATTGATCAATACATAGCAACAGTAATACAGGGTTTATATACATCATTGGTTTGGACAGTGACACTGTAACCTCTGCTATAATTGTAAATTATTGCATCAATGCAGCCACGTTTGTGCACAAGGTGTCCCACTATGACATGACAATATCACATACTCTCTAAATATCATTGAAACATAAATGTATGTATAGTCAGATCTACACAACCCATCATGACACTTCAATTAGTTTCAAATAATTTATTTGATGTTTTTCTCTCATGAAGCCAGCTTCTTCGACCACAATAGAAAACAGAAAGAATAAAACAAAGTATTAAAATTGCACACGTGGGAGCATAAATCAGATATTCTTCATATAGATTCTTTTTCATCAAAAAATAGCACCTAAAATTGAGATTACAGCATCCCAAGGAGCCATTATAACGTTTGTGCCCTTATTTGGGATGTCGGTGATTCCTCACGAAACCAGGACAAAAAAATACCATGATTTGAGGGATGTTCATGACGTTTAATCCATAGAATTCTCCTTTGGAGGAAGGATGGTTAACATATTAGACATTTGTATTTAAAAGCAGAATTGATAATAATTAATCGAAGTTGTCATATTTATTACATTTTGGCCTTACCCAGGCCTCCTTTAAGACGCCATAATGTTTCATTTCATGTCTTTACCACTTACTTTGAAACATGAGTGGTATTTTGATTTCAATAACAATTTTCTTACATTAATTAATGAATATAATATAAACAAGAATATAGAAGAAGAAAATATTGTCACTTTTTTTATATATTGTACATCGTGCAAATCACCAGCAGAGGGCAACCATTTTGAATCAATTTTCACATTCACTCTGTTGTTAATGCTTACAAATTGGATCATAACTCTAAAAGTAGCAGAGATCCCACTCTGGAACTTTGATATGTCCATAAAGTATATTATTTTCAACAATATATAGAAACAATAGCTGAATCAAAAATAATTAACATTATTCTGTATTCATAAATGAATGTAAGAAAATTGTTATTGAAAACAAAATACTACTCATATTACCGAGCAAGCGGTAAAGCTTCAAATGCCACCAATGTTTGCTTTGTAGCAACTACAGATAAAACATTATGGAGTCTTAAAAGAGACCTGGGTAAGACCAAAATGTCATAAATATGCCAACTTTGATGAGTTATTTCTCAATTATGCTTCTAGATACAAATGCTAAATATATGTCAACAATCCCTCCTCCGAATGACAATTTTATGGATTCAATGTCTTAAAAATCCCATAAATCATGGTATTTTTTTCACCCACATCACCCATGTGCTGTAGTCTCACATAGTAACACCAGAGACACAAACATAATACCTTTTCCATTCAAAACTATGCTTTCAAAGTACTATAGATACAGTAGATATACTACTGTTTTTCATTCTACCACATTAATTCCACTAGAGGGCAAACAGTGATACATAAAAAAATATATCATATTAATGTGTATTGGTGATCATTCCATAATGTATCATCAGTGTTTTCAATCATCTGCATTAAGGCTAGCTGAAATCCATTTTGTGGTTCAAACAGAAACAGTAATTGAACAAAAGAGAATTGTCATGATGTTACATATAGCCATATAGCCACGGTTTGCCAGAAACTACATATGAGGGGTGTTCCCAAGGCTCCAAATGCATCTTGGACTTGTAGATTACCTGGGCCCAAATTCACAAATCACATTACGCAAAAACTTAAGAAGCTTCTTAAGAAAAAAAATAAGAAGTTCATAAGATAGTTCGTAAGTGCAATTCCTCAACAATATCTTAAGATTTAATGATTTTCCGACAAACTTCTCAAATATCTTGTTAGAATCTTCTTAAGATGTTTGTTGCTAGGCAACCGGCAATCATGTTAGCATATTTCCTACTGAGATTACTGTTCTAAAACATGTTCTTGGGTTTAAAATAATAAATACTGAAACTTTCAGATTAAGTTTGTGAGTGAATGTTCAATTGCTTTCATGAGCTTATTCTCTCACTGCCCTGAGTTTAAGACAAGGGTTTAGCTATCTTGGAATTAAGAACAAATCCAAAAATGTTATTTTCAAGAATCTAATTTCTTCTTAACTTTTTGCTTAAGGAGAAACATAAGAAATAGGGCAAGAACATTTCCAAGAACCTTTTTCAGGAATAGCAACTTTGCTTAACTTTCTTCATAAGTCTATAGTTAAGGAAAAAATGGCAGTTAAGAAGACATTTCTTAAGAAGGTTTTGTGAATCTGTGCCCAGATCTTTATATCATCTGTATGAGCAAATCCAGCAGGCACAGGGACCAGATGATATAAGCATCATTGAGGATGCGTCCAAAATGACATTCTAATCCCTTTATAGTGCACTACTTTTGACCAGGGCCCATAGGTCTCTGGTCAAAGTAGTGCACTACAGTGAATAATGTGCCATTTGGAATGCAACCTGAATCGTTACAGTGCTGATGCAGAGTTTATTTACAGTAGAGCCGTTATGTTGTTGAACTAAGCTAACTAAAACTAAACTGACCGGACCCTTTTACCATACTTTTGTATTCCACTAACTTGCATAGACATGTGATCATCACCCAACAGTACACACCTGATGGTAAAAATACAACACGCGTATATATTCAAACTTATAGGCTACAATATGTACCATGTTTTCATATTTTCTTTACACTTTTACCATTAAATAGAGGAGTTTATTTAATTTGATTTGCCAGTCATGCTCCGCTACAGGCTCCACCATTCATCTCATAAACTACATAAAACTGTTATTTTTTATTCAAAACCAATAATCCCTGATCCTATGTCAAATAAAACATTGTACTTCAAAAAAGATTATAAACATTAAATCAATCATTTCAAAGAAACAAAATACAGGAAAACAAAAATCATATTGCTAGATAAAATCAAATATTAATCACATAACTTGAGCAATTTGGCGAGCCGACTGACGTCTACCGATGGCAAGACTCATCTGTAAAATAGAGAGATAAAGAGGAGTTATGAGACACAATTCAGACACAGGTATGGATTGGACAACCACATTTCATGACTAACTGAGGGGTGTATTCACTAGAAACCAAACGGATGCAGACGGGCGAAAACAGAGCGGGAATAACCTGGACTTGTCCAATAAGAAACGCTTGGTTTCTTTGCAGAATGTTCTGCAATGGTTTGCACTGATGAATACACCCCATGTATGCAGGTATTTAGCTACACTATACATACAAAAGTATGTGAATACACCTTCAAATGAGTGGATTCGGCTATTTCAGCCACACCTGTTGCTGACAGGTGTATCAAATCGAGCACACATCTATGCAATCTCCATAGACAAACATTGGCAGTAGAATGGCCTTACTGAAGTGCTCAGTGACTTTCAACATGGCACTGTCATAAGATGCCACCTTTCCAAAAAGTCAGTTCGTCAAAAATCTTAACGCTACAGCATACAATGACATTCTAGACGATTCTGTGCTTCCAACTTTGTTGCAACAGTTTGGGGAAGGCCCTTTCCTGTTTCAGCTTGACAATGCCCCTGTGCACAAAGCGAGGTCCATACAGAAATGGTTTGTCGAGATCAGTGTGGAAGAACTTGACTGGCCTGCACAGAGCCCTGACCTCAACCCCATCAAAAACCTTTGGAATGAATTGGAACGCCGACTGCGAGCCAGGCCTAATCACGCAACATCAGTGCCTGACCAGCCTCTTGTGGCTGAATGGAAGCAAGTCCCTGCAGCAATGTTCCAACATCTAGTGGAAAGCCTTCCCAGAAGAGTGGAGGCTGTTATAGTAGCAAAGGGGGGAGCAACTCCATATTAATGCCCATGATTTTGGAATGAGATGTTCGACGAGCAGGTGTCCACATACTTTTGGTAATGTAGTGTATTTGTAAGGAAGTGACATATACTGACCTACTCTCAGGCCAGCCGCTGCCCCCACATTCCTGCTGCTCCTGGACACAAGCACTCCTCTCTCCTCCTCCTCCTCCTCCTCCTCTTCCTCCTGCACCTCCTCCTCCCTCCCTTCCTCCTGACCAGGTAATGGGTAGGGGGTAGAGGCCAGCATAGAGGTCTCTGATGGGTACTCACACACCTGCTCCAGCTGGGTCTCATCGAAGCACACCTTCACCTGGAGGGGGGTGAACAAGACAGACACAGGAGAGAGGCTTAGTGGAGTGCACATAATAGAGCCACACCCTTACAGACAGCCTGACCACATTGCAGTGTTACTTAATAAGGATGGACATGCTTCAAGAACAATAACAAAAAATAACCTGTACTTTCAGTGTTGCCCTTATTTCGTATGAAAGGGAGATGTTGAAGGCACCCATAAAAACGTCATGATTAGGTTGTACTGAGTCAGACCCTTTCTGACAAAAATGTGTGTAACCTACAGTTTGTTTACTTATCAAGGACACTGAGAGTTCACTTTGGTGTAAACAAAGTTGCTGCCTGGACCCAACAGGAAGTAAAACCTGGCCCCCGTAGAGGTCTGTGTAGTACATTATATTATAGGTCGTTATAGTGCATTGTATTATAGGTTGGTGTAGTACATTTATATTCACCACAGACTGACTGACCACACACTCCTGATAATAACCTGGTGTGAGAGAGGTTGGACGAATCAAGCTCAGGCCCAGGAGGCTAATCCCTTACTGAACTGATTAACCCAGGCTAACACAGCAGGGGAGAACATGGAGGAGAACCAGAGAGAGAGAGAGAGGAAGAAAGGACGTGCACTGTGTCAATCGCTAATCAACGAATACTCGTAGAAATGTCTTACACCGGATGTGGGGCAGCCGCTGTCCACAAGAATGGTACCTTGGTCTAGTTTGAGAGGAATAGATGCGCCTAGGGAGCCTAGGGATTGAGGAGGGGGAGACCAAAAGATTTGACAAAGGATGAGGAGGAGAGCGTAAGTCACCCCCCTCTGTGAGATGATGCCGCTGCTCGGGGGAGCTGACGACAAACAGTCTCAAGGACAGCAACGTGAGCAACAGGTGGCCAGGAAGCGCCAATAGGCTACGAAAGAGTTACAGCAGGACGACTATAGTAAAGGAGAGCTGTGCTTAACAGCTAGGAGTACTGAGTGGGTGAGATTCATTCAGGTGAATAATGCATCCAATTAGGTTTGGATATATTTGGAATATTTCGGTCAGAGTATGTCCATTCAGTTGCAGCACTGATTATCATGAAATGTAGTCATGATGATGCACATCATCATTGTATTCTCAGTTATAGTCCTGCAAAATAATGGTAAAAATGTCCCTTATTGACCTATTGTGTGCATTAAACAGAGGATGATACTTTGTCATAATCCACATCCTGCATCATAGTCGATTAATAAACATCCACTGCATAATTTATTCATTCAAAACCAAAGTGTCTTTAGGGGAGATCGGGTATGTTGAGCCGCTTTTTTACATTCAGCATCACTACGTCAAGGGAAATATAGTATTCTTTCTAACAAATATATCTCTATATATTTCAGGATGTTGTGTATCCCTGGAAATAATCAGAATTCATGTAAACATAACAGTTTTGAAAACATAGCTTTTCCAAATAAAGTGGTCTCTTGGCACAACTTACCCCGGGTATGGGGTAAGTTGAACATAGGGACACGGGGGGCCAGTATGAAAAATGTATGCACTCACTAACTGTAAGTTGCTCTGGATAAGAGCATCTGCTAAATGACTAAAATGTTAAAAATGTAAGTTGAGCAGCCTTGGGGTAAGTGGGTGATTGTGTCCTGTGACAGTGGGTGATTGTGTCCTGTGACAGTGGGTGATGGTGCTGTTAGGTCAAAGTTTAATTGATGAAATGGGGGAGTGGTATATTGTATATCTTAAATGTATACCTACATTCAGATATTGATCTCACTGTTCAATGTCACTTATCCTCCCATTTCTTGACCAGTTGTCTGGAACAGGGATGTTGTTTTCAATGTGCCAATTTGTAGGCAAGTTCTCTGCACTTAAGGCTACTTAGCCCATGATACTGGTCCGCGAGATTCTTGATATGTTTAGCATCTCAGACTCGATGTCGTCAGATAAGACTTTGTGTGCCTCTGTTACTCTTTCATAGCCTCTCTTTCGCACAGGTACATGTTTGTTTTCTTTTTTTGTCAATGTACCTCTTACATTTACGTCATTTAGCAGACGCTCTTATCCAGAGCGACTTACAGTTAGTGAATACATATTTTATATAATTTTTTTATTTTTATTTTTTATACTGGCCCCCCGTGGGAATCGAACCCACAACCCTGGCGTTGCAAACGCCATGCTCAATCAACTGAGCTACATCCCTGCCGGCCATTCCCTCCCCTACCCTGGACGACGCTGGGCCAATTGTGCGCCGCCCATGAGTCTCCCGGTCGCGGCCGGCTGCGACAGAGCCTGGATTCAAACCAGGATCTCTAGTGGAACTTGGACCACTGTGCCACTCAGGAGCTCTTCAGTGTCATTCAGTAAATCTTTTCATCCCTTGCTGCTGCTCGAATAGACTTCTTCCCTTATCTCAATTCCTTGGCTGAGCTCTCAAGAACCCCTGCTTGTTTTACGTTTTGTAAACATGGGGCATGATTATGTCTGCTCTGTCACAATAAAAATGCACTATATTGAGTTCATATGCATATTATGCATAAAACGGACAAAATGTAATCATCATTTGTATGGAGTATGGTGGCCATTGTTTACCCCAGCGTTTCCCAAACTCGGTCCTGGGGACCCCAAGGGGTGCATGTTTTTTTTTTTTCCCCTAGCACTACACAGCTGATTCAAATAATGAACTCATCATTAAGCTTTGATTATTGGAATCAGCTGTGTAGTGCTAGGGCTAAAACCAAAACATGCATCCCTTGGGGTCCAGAGGACCGAGTTTGGGAAGCCCTGACTTACCCCATGGCCATTGGCTCAACTTATCCCAAGGCAAACATTTTGACTACTATATACAGTGAATACGGAAAGTATTCAGACCCCTTTACTTTTTCCACATTTTGTTACATTACAGCCTTATTATAAAAGGGATTAAATTATATGTTTCCCTCATCAATCTACACACAATACCCCATAATGATAAAGCAAAAAAAGTTTTTTCAGATTTTTTTGCAAATTTATAAAAATAAAAATAACAGAAAAACCTTATTTACATAAGTATTCAGACCCTTTGCTATGAGACTCGAAATTAAGCTCAAGTGCATCCTGTTTCCATTGATCATCCTTGAGATGTTTCTACAACTTGATTGGAGTCCACCTGTGGTAAATTCTATTGATTTGAAAGGCACACACCTGTCTACAGTTGAAGTCGGAAGTTTACATACACCTTAGCCAAATACATTTAAACTCAGTTTTTCACAATTCCTGACATTTAATCCTAGTAAAAATTCCCTGCCTTTGGTCAGTTAGGATCACCACTTTATTTTAAGAATGTGAAATGTCAGAATAATACTAGAGAGAATGATTTATTTCAGCTTTTATTTCTTTCATCACATTCCCAGTGGGTCAGAAGTTTACATACATTCAATTAGTATTTGGTAGCGTTGCCTTTAAATTGTTTAACTTGGGTCAAACGTTTCAGGTAGCCTTCCATCAGCTTCCCACAATAAGTTGGGTGAATTTTGGCCCATTCCTCCTGACAGAGCTGGTGTAACTGAGTCAGGTTTGTAGGCCTCCTTGCTCGCACACGCTTTTTCAATTCTGCCCACACATTTTCTATAGGATTGAGGTCAGGGCTTTGTGATGGCCACTCCAATACCTTGACTTTGTTGTCCTTAAGCCATTTTGCCACAACTTTGGAAGTATGCTTGGGGTCGTTGTCCATTTGGAAGACCCATTTGCGACCAAGCTTTAACTTCCTGACTGATGTCTTGAGATGTTGCTTCAATATATCCACATAATTTTCCTTCCTCATGATGCCATCCTCATGAAGTCCCCTTTTTCCTCCAAACATAACGATGGTCATTATGGCCGAACAGTTCTATTTTTGTTTCATCAGACCAGAGGACATTTCTCCAAAAAGTACGATCTTTGTCCCCATGTGCAGTTGCAAACCGTAGTCTGGCTTTTTTATGGCAGTTTTGGAGCAGTGGCTTCTTCCTTGCTGAGCGGCCTTTCAGGTTATGTCGATATAGGACTCGTTTTACTGTGGATATAGATACCTTTGTACCTGTTTCCTCCAGCATCTTCACAAGGTCCTTTGCTGTTGTTCTGGGATTGATTTGCACTTTTCGCACCAAAGTACGTTCATCTCTAGGAGACAGAATGCGTCTCCTTCCTGAGCAGTATGATGGCTGCGTGGTTCCATGGTGTTTATACTTCCGTACTATTGTTTGTACAGATGAACGTAGTACCTTCAGGCGTTTGGAAATTGCTGCCAAGGATGAACCAGACTTGTGGAAGTCTACCATTTTTTTTATGCTGATTTATTTTGATTTTCCCATGATGTCAAGCAAAGAGGCACTGAGTTTGAAGGTAGGCCTTGAAATAGATCCACAGGAACACCTCCAATTGACTCAAATTATGTCAATTAGCTTATCAGAAGCTTCTAAAGCCATGACATCATTTTCATCAACTTAGTGTATGTAAACTTCTGACCCACTGGAATTGTGATACAGTGAATTATAAGTGAAATAATCTGTCTGTAAACAATTGTTGGGAAAATTACTTGTGTCATGCACAAAGTAGATGTCCTAACCGACTTGCCAAAACTATAGTTTGTTAAAAATAAATTTGTGGAGTGGTTGAAAAACAAGTTTTAATGACTCCAACCTAAGTGTATGTAAACTTCCGACTTCAACTGTATATAAGGTTCCACAGTTGACAGTGCATGTCAGAGCAAAAACCAAGCCATGAGGTCGAAGGAATTGTCTGTAGAGCTCCGGGACAGGATTGTGTCTGGGCACAGATCTGAGGAAGGGTACCAAAACATTTCTGCAGTATTGAATGTCCACAAGAACACAGTGGCCTCCATCATTCCTAAATATAAGAAGTTTGGAACCATCAAGACTCTTCCTAGAGCTGGCCTCCCGGCCAAAATGAGCAATCGGGGGAGAAGGGCCTTGGTCAGGGAGGTGACCAAGAACCCGATGGTCATTCTGACAGCGCTCCAGAGTTCCTCTGTGGAGATGGAAGAACCTTCCAGATGGATAACCATCTCTGCAGCACTCCACCAATCAGGCCTTTATAGTAGAGTGGCCAGACGGAAGCCACTTCTCAGTAAAAGGCACTTGACAGCCTGTTTGGAGTTTGCCAAAAGGCACCTAAAGGACTCAGACCATGAGAAACAAGATTCTCTGGTCTGATGAAACCAAGATTGAACTCTTTGGCCTGAATGCCAAGCATCACGTCTGGAGGAAACCTGGCACCATCCCTACGGTGAAGCGTGGTGGTGGCAGCATCATGCTGTGGGAATGTTTTTCAGCGGCAGGGACTGGGAGACTAGTCAGGACCGAGGGAAAGATGAACGGAACAAAGTACATCGATATCCTTGATGAAAGCCTGCTCCAGAGCGCTCAGGACCTCAGACTGGGGTGAAGGTTCACCTTCCAACAGGACAACGACCCTAAGCACCCAGCCAAGACAACTTAGTAGTGGCTTCGGGACAAGTCTCTGAATGTCCTTGAGTGGCCCAGCCAGAGCCCGGACTTGAAACTGATCTAACATCTCTGGAGAGACATGAAAATAGCTGTGCAGCGACGCTCCCCATCCAACCTGACAGAGCTTGAGAGGATCTGCAGAGAAGAATGGGAGAAACTCCCCAAATACAGGTGTGTCAAGCTTGCAGCGTCATACCCAAGAAGACTCGAGGCTGTAATCGCTGCCAAAGGTGCTTCAACAAAGTACTGAGTAAAGGGTCTGAATACTTATGTAAATGTTATATTTCAGTTATATATTTTTTATAAATTGGCAACATTTTCTGCAAATCTGTTTTTGCTTTGTCATTATGGGGTATTGTGTGTAAATTAATGAAGAAAAATAACATGTTTATCCATTTTAGAAAAAGGCTGTAACGTAACAAAATGTGGAAAAAGTGTCGGAGTCTGAATGCTTTCCGAATGCACAGCTAGGAGGTACTTTCATGCTACAGTTGAAGTCGGAAGTTTACATACACTTAGGTTGGAGTCATTAAAACTTGTTTTTCAACCACTCCACAAATTTATTTTTAACAAACTATAGTTTTGGAAAGTCGGTTAGGACATCTACTTTGTGCATGACACAAGTAATTTTCCCAACAATTGTTTACAGACAGATTATTTCACTTATAATTCACTGTATCACAATTCCAGTGGGTCAGAAGTTTACATACACTAAGTTGACTGTGCCTTTAACCAGCTTGGAAAATTCCAGAAAAGGATGTCATGGCTTTAGAAGCTTCTGATAAGCTAATTGACATCATTTGAGTCAATTGGAGGTGTACCTGTGGATGTATTTCAAGGCCTACCTTCAAACTCAGTGCCTCTTTGCTTGATATCATGGGAAAATCAAAATAAATCAGCCAAGACCTCAGAAAAATAATTGTAGACCTCCACAAGTCTGGTTCATCCTTGGGAGCAATTTCCAAATGCCTGAAGGTACCACGTTCATCTGTACAAACAACAGTACGCAAGTATAAACACCATGGGACCACGCAGCCGTCATACTGCTCAGGAAGGAGACGCGTTCTGTCTCCTAGAGATGAACGTACTTTGGTGCGAAAAGTGCAAATCAATCCCAGAACAACAGCAAAGGACCTTGTGAAGATGCTTTAGGATACAGGTACAAAAGTATCTATATCCACAGTAAAACAAGTCCTATATCGTCATAACCTGAAAGGCCGCTCAGCAAGAAAGAAGCCACTGCTCCAAAACTGCCATAAAGAAAGCCAGACTACGGTTTGCAACTGCACATGGGGACAAAGATTGTACTTTTTTGATAAATGTCCTCTGGTCTGATGAAACAAAAACAGAACTGTTTGGCCATAATGACCATCGTTATGTTTGGAGGAAACCGGGTGACTTGCAAGCCGAAGAACACCATCCATCCCAACCGTGAAGCACGGGGGTGGCAGCATCATGCTGTGGGGGTGCTTTGCTGCAGGAGGGACTGGTGTACTTCACAAAATAGATGGCATCATGAGGAAGGAAAATTATGTGGATATATTGAAGCAACATCTCAAGACATCAGTCAGGAAGTTAAAGCTTGGTTGCAAATGGGTCTTCCAAATGGACAATGACCCCACGCATACTTCCAAAGTTGTTGCAAAATGGCTTAAGGACACACAAAGTTCAAGGTTAACAAAGCCCTGCCTCAATCCTATAGAAATGTGGGGGCAGACTGAAAGGTGTGCGGCAAGGAGGCCGACAAACCTGACTCAGGCAGAACTGAACACCTCATTAAGCTGTATGTAACTTGGAAGGCTACCTGACGTTTGCCCAATTAACATTAAAGGCAATGCTACAAAATATGTGATGTAACTGACCACGGATGTGAAATAAATAAAAGCTGAAATAAATCATTCTCTCTACTACTATATGGTTTCTTAGAAACAAGGGGTGGCTCAACAAACCGTTTGGCTCAACTTACCCCACTCTCCCCTATATTTGCTATTTCTCTGTCTCTAAATTCAGAGGAAGTGAGCAGGCCTGAAAGAGGAAATGAGAGAAACTTTCCAGTGAATGCGTCCAAAATGTCACCCTTTTCTCTGCACTAGTTTTGACCAGGGCCATAGGGCCCTGGTCAAAGGTAGTGCATTATGTAGTGAAGACGGTGCCATTTGGGACTCAGACATGCAGTGTCTCAGCTAGGTTGTTGAGTTCCCTTCACTCCACTTCTGTTTAATCCCACCCTCCTCTTTCACTGACAAATGAGAGGCTGTTCCTCCTCAGTCGCACCAAAATTGGGCTTGATGACCCCATTTGAAGAATTATAAATTGGACATTAGGTTACGGTAGGACAGCATCAATAGTCAGTGTTGCGAAAACTATACAGACTCCTCAACTATAGTGCCATAGCTAAATTAACAAGTCAGTTATTTTTCATTTGAGGTGTTATCATTCATTTCCATATTTGAACAAGTCTTGAAAGGAGGGCATTGGCATCGCGAGACAATTAATTTCTTTCCTACCCTGCAAATGCTGATGTTATATGCCAATAGGTCAACGTTTGCCAAAATTCCAATGCAGCAAAACAAACTCAGCAGAAACAGGAAAATACAAAGGAAGACTTGTCGGGAAGGCAACAAGGGCAGGCTCAATTAAAGACAGGATCTGGCAGAGGAAGTAACCTGCAATGTAATGGTGTGACGCAGGCCGTGAACTGTGTAGCATCTTGCATTATGGACAGAAAAGTAGAGGAAAAAATATGCTGATAGGCTAAATACAATAGCAAAGTGCTTTATACTAAAGGTCATGCTGTCTGAGTAAAGTACAGTACATAAACCATAAATGTTTAAGTATAAAACAATAGATTGCTCTAAATATGCACATTCTGGTCTAACTTACTATATAAACAGACTGTACCAGACTCATCCCATTCTTAAGCTCTTGCTCTATTTGTGTGGGGAGACTGCCAGCCTGGCTTTTAGTTCTGCCCTGATGAGCCACTTTGTTATGTAGGTGTCCTAATTACAGTACTCGTGGTCCTCTGTAGCTCAGCTGGTAGAGCACGGCGCTTGTAACGCCAAGGTAGTGGGGTCGAACCCCGGGACCACCCATATACAAAAAAAAATGTATGCACGCATGACTGTAAGTCGCTTTGGATAAAAGCGTCTGCTAAATGGCATATTATTATTATTATTATTATTATTATTATTATTATTATTATTATTATTATTAGTACTCCAAAAGACTCTTCTGTGTCTGAAATGGTACCCTATTCCTTATGTAGTGCACTACTTTTGGCCAGGGCCCATAGGTCTCTGGTTAAAAGGAGTGAACCCTGTTGGGGATAGGGTACCATTTCGGCAGCATCCTGTCTCTAACAGGCTATGGCTCCAAATGTTTTCATGAAAAGGGGACTCAATGTTAAAAACATTTTTAACTATTGTGGGAAAACTTGTCTTTCTATATGAAACAGAAAGAAGTGATGATTGATTCACAACACACATAGCTTGTCTCTGCAAAACCTCCAGTCAGACAGACAGAATGAGATCTGGAGGAGGAGGGGTGGCTCTGGCTTTCGGTGTGGTTTCCTCTCCACCCCTCAAGTGTTACATGAAGGCTAATTTGAAAGTGTCTGGTAATGCTATACATTATGGTTACCCTAACAAATGATTTATGAAGGGTTTATAATTAGTTCATTATTAAATGAGACCGCACAGCCACTGCTACTAGTAGGGTACTTTACACCTGAGAATCATGATGTCGTGCTTGATAAGGCTTTAACAGGCTTAGCTCAGTTTATGTGTTCTAACTCTTCAGTGCAATCAAACAGGATGTTCTAATGCTAGTGAAAGGGGATTCTACATGATGGGGGGGTGATAAAAAGGTTCAAATGGAGGCAGGCGGGAAAAAGCGGACGTTTTTTGATAGTCAGAATACGAGTGTGAACACTCAAAACACTATCATCGATCTTATCCCATAACAAACTGATAGTCTATTCAAGCCGTTTCCTGCGATTCTTGTTTTTGTTTCGTTTTACCAATTGGGTCTTTATTAAACCCAACCTTAGAGGATGGGATCCATGATCATCACTACAAGATGCAATACATCATCAATACAATTTGCAGTGCATAGGCTGCAATATGCCAACAGGCAGTCTACACTCACCCCTTTGGGAGTTGCTTTGGGAGTCTTGACCAGGCAGGACTTGTCCAGGTTCTGATACCCGCCGATCACTTCGATCTCCTCCACAGTGGGGTACCTCTTCTTGCCTCTCTCTACTACCTCGGTTAGGACAGGCATCTGGGCCTGGGAAGACGTCTTGGCCGGGGGTCCTGAGGATACTGAAACTGCTTCCACGGCTGCCCCTCCAACAGGCTTCCTGGGGGTGATGGTGATGGTGGTGCCCCTCTTGACCTGCTGGCCTCCAGAGGAGCTTCTGATGGTGAAATGGGTCAGAGAATGGGAAGGAGAAGGAGAGACGGAGGGGGACTGGGATGGGGAGGGTGAGCATGGGGAGGATGATGGGGTGGGTGGGACTCCCTGGTCTGGGTGAATTGAGTTCTCAGGAGAGGGGGTCAGGAGAGATCTGGAGTTGATAGTAATGGACCGGGCCTGTTTGGGTTGGTTGGACTGGGTCTGCTTGGGTTGAGGAGGCCTTTCAGAGTGCAGTTGCAGATTGGACTGAGATTTTCTGGGACTTAGGAGTGTTTGCTGGTCCTTTTGCCTCGGATGCTTCTGCTGAGGTTCCTTATTAGGCTGGTTGTGTGATATCCTGGGGCTTTGCTGAGCTTTAGACTCTTTATCTTTCAAATTAGTTTTTTGTATAAAAGACGACCATGCTGCGTTGTCGTCGTGTGATGGTCTCTGTACTTCCTGTTGTTCTCGCAACTGAAGCTGTTCCACCTGACAATGTACAGTCTGAAGTCCGGACTTCTCATCGCTTGAAGAGGCCTTATTCCCAGGTGCCCCACCACCACCCCACAGCTGCTTCTGTGTCAGCCTCCCAACTGATCTCTCTGGACTGCATGTCTCCTGTTGTTCTGCTGTTATGTGGGACTGTACCTTGGGAGTGTGTGATGGGATAGACCTATCCACGGTCCTGTCACTCACGCACACTGCCGTCCTGGACCCCACCGTTTTCAAGTTATAGATCCGGCTCATCTCAGCAAGAGAGTGAGGGTGAGGCGGAGAGGGGGAGAGAGAGTCTAAGGGTGAGGGAGAGTGTGAAGGAGGCAAATAATGCAGCCTGTACTCTTCCTCCGAGAGTTTATCCTCTCCTTCTTCTCCTCTACCTCCACTGCCTCTGGTGTCCTGTTTTCTCTGCTGACCCCTGTCGCACCGCAACTCCTCTACTACATGTTTTGTTGGATCTTCCTCTCTCTCAGTCGCGTGAGAGCTGAACAAGGCTACTTCAGAGGCTGTGATGGAGATCACCCCGGTTTCTTTCTCTCCTTTGACAGCTTGCAAGAACGAGAGAGGAACAGGAAGCTGGGGGACGGCTTTCGACACGCTCACTTCCTGTGTGACGTCAAACTGAGTGGATGTTGTCTGTGGTGCAGAGCCTTCCTGTCTCTGTCTCTCTCGCTCCATTTCGTTCCCCCTCTCTCCTTCCTCATACCAGTCTGAACTTGAAGCTTTTCTAGTACTTCTAGTCCCAGACTTTTCCATCCCCTCAGTCGCATCTCCATCATCCCCCGTCGCTGCCACTCCCTCTATGTTCTTCAGCCTCTCCTTCTCTCTCTGCTGGATTTTCTCTTGCAAGGATTCGATGTGAGAGGGCTTGCCAATCCTCCAACTATCCCTCCTCTCCACACCTTTCCCTCCCTCTCCTTCACAGCTCTGGTCGTCTTCGCTTTGGAGGCTTGCCTCCCCCACACCATAGAACACTGTTCTGGGTATGTGTATCTCAAGTGACGTTGGAGGGATTCCAACTGAGGCAACACACTTTGGAGACTTAGGACACTTAGGGGTCACTTCCTGAACTGACTTTTCGGGATAAACATGACTGTGCACGTGTGCGCCAGGTGGATGTGTGCTGTCCTTGCTTACCTCACCTGGCACCCTATAAGCTTTGCTCCCTCTCTCAGTCTCTGTGTCTTCCCTCATCACGCCTTTGCTATCCTGAGTCAATGTTTGGGTCCCTTTGTGATTGTCACGTTCATTCACTGTCCCTCCCACTCTCTCTATCTTGTTGATAAGATCCTCTGTGTGCTGTGACAGTGCTGACTGGGTTGGATGGTGCCCCGGTGCTCCTTGGCTACTATGCCAATCTGTTCCTCTATGCACCACAGTGCCAAGCAAGGTTGATGAGCACTCTGTAAATGCTGACACATGTCTGTAATGATTATCAACAAACTGAGGAGGACTGGCTCTGTCTACGGAGAGGGTGATCACACAGTTTTGCTGAGTTGTTTCAACTGAAATTGTGCAGTCCCTTACTTCTGACACCCTCTTTATGTCCCTTGCGTCTGATCCTCTCCTAAAGTCTGAACCCGTTCTCTCCCGCATTTGAGGTTCTGCCTGTCTTCCACCCACCACCTCTCTCTCTGTGCTCCTCGCCCTCTCCATCCCTCTCTCGCTTTCTTCTTTCATTCGCTTTACCTCTCTTTCCACTGCTCTCTCTCGTCCATCATGTTTGATGGGCACTCTTCGGGCAAATGAGGCCTCTGTGTTTTTAACTGAGGCCATTGTAAACCCTGCCTCCCCATACATATTCTCTGTTAGTTCCTTTGTCCCCTTGTTGCTAAATTCTAACTCCACTCCTGTTACTATCTCGACCCAACGGTCAATCTCTTTCCCTGTGTTACTTTCCAAAGCAGGCTGTCTCTCATGCTGTCCTTCTACCTCCCTGTCTGCTTTTATGCATCCCTCTCTATGCTTCCCTGCCTGCTCTTTATCTGAAAGCCAGGTCCAGCCCCCCTGCTTGCCTCCCCTCCCTGACCATTCCCCCCCCACTACATCTCCCCTAGCTGCCACCCTCCTGTCTGAATATGTCCTCTCCACCACCTTCCTATCATGGTTCCCCTCATCCTGCATGCCATTCTCCTTTGCGCATATCACCCGTTCAGAGAAGCTGAATGACCGCTTGGGCACATCCCTGAATCCTGCATGTTTATCCTCCCCTCTCCTGTCTCCATCATCGTCCTCATCCAGACAAAACTTTTCTCTGTCTCTGCCAGGCCGGATGAAACACTCTGAGCTTTTAGACCGGGACGGAGGCTTTGGATGTTCCCTGAATTTCTTTGTATGCTCCCCAAATTTACTCAGCAGCTCACTCACCCTAACTCCTCTCTCATTGTGGATACTGTCATCTGTGTCACCATATCTCCTATCCTCTTTTTCTGAAGCTGCTTGTGTCCGTGGTCGGTCTTTCTCCCTCAAGTTCTCCCTCTCTTTATCTTTCAACCATGCCACCTCTCTCTCCAGCTCCCTCTCACAGTCCTTCCCTCCATCTTTATTGCACTTTGCTTCTCTTCCTCTTTCTCCATCTCCTTCCCTGCCTGTCCCTTTTAGACCTCCACTCCTCGAGTCCTCAGTGCCAGCTAAGGGTTTAATGATCAATACTTCTGATGCTCGGATCTCTGTGACACTCCCTCCACCAGCCAGAAACTCCTTGAGGTCCATCTTTACATCTCTATTTTCCTGCTCCTCTTCCATCACCTCCCTCTCCCTCTCCGACTCTCTCCTTCTACCCGTCCTTTCATCACTTCCCTTTCTGTCCTGTTCAATAATGATGATGTTGTCTGCTCTGATGGTACGAAGGCCTGGGACTAGTGGATGGGGGTACTTGGGGCTTGGAGGATCTGAGTCTCCCTCCTCCCTCTCCTCCTCTTTTCTCTCTCTCTGGCATTCCCTTTCCCTATCTCTCACAGTATCCCGGCTCGTCTCTCTCCCGGCACTTCTGTCCTTTTCTCTGCCCCCACTCCTGTCCCTGTATCGCTCTATTTTTATTTCTATATCTCTTCCCTTCCCAGACTCCCCATCGTGACCTTTCACGTAGCCTCTTTCTTTCTCCTTTTCCCGCTCTCTCCTTACTTCTATTTCCTGCTCATTCCCTTTCTCATGGCCCATCTCCCCAGCCCTCTCTGCTTCTCTTCCCCTCCTCCATCCGCCATGTGTGCGAATGAATGGGTTTTGTCGGACAGGGTTGATTTGCTCCTTTAACACCTGACTCTGTGGTTTAGCCTCTTCATCCAGCCAAGGCCCTGTGATGTCTGGGCTGAGTGGTGGTTCACTTCCCAGCTGCACCAGTGTAGAGCTGTCCGGGTCACTCGCAGGATCAGAGGGGGACCTGCCCTCCTTGACTTGGAGGGGGCCCTCCCTCTCCTTGTCCCCGAAACTCTCCTGTTTCATTCTCCTCCTCTGGATGATCCCTCGCTTCCAGGCAGGCATGCTGGCGAGTTTGGCCTCCTCCTCTTTTTCTCTCTTCTCTCGCTCCTCCTCCTCCCTCCTCTTTCGCTCCAGCAGGAGTTGTTTCCATTCCGGTAAAGAGGAGACAGACATAACAGAGAAGAGGTCTTGCTTTTGGCAAGTTGCCTAATCTTCCTTTTTTTAAATGCTCTGGCAACAGGTCTGCCAAAAAGGACACATAGCAAGATGTTCATAAAAATATAATAAACATATGTTGTGTTGAAATTGTATAGCATATTCACTTTCAAACTGATCATAGAAAACTGTAGAAAAATGAGTGCCTCACTTTGTTTTCAAATCAGAATATACTTTTTATTGAAATGTTGCCTACTAATGTACTTTGTACATTTGTATGACAGCATGTGTAGAGGCTATGTAACTCAACTATGTAGCCTATATACTGGATTACCTTTTACACAGGCTTCTTCCTCCCCTGATGGTTACTTTCTCTAATCATAAAAAGTTAACATACCATCGACGGATAGTTTTGTGTTGTCGTTTAGATTAACATGCAAACTATGCCTCTGGTCTGCACATAGCTGTACGTTTGCACGCCAAACGTTCACCACAATTACGCACTCCTCGTTTTAAGCCTGCATGCAAGGGATGTTAAAAAATCATCTTTCAAACTTACCAAATCCTTGGTATTCCGCAGTAATGTTTTATATCTCGCTCTGTGTTGGTTTGAGAGTAGTCATCTTCTGAATGAAGGGCGACTGTGCGCCTCGTCGTGCTTAATGCGCTCGAATCACCAACTGGAAGATTGGGCTCTATCTAAAGCTTTCCGATATAGTTCATTAATCGATGTTGTCAAAAAGTCAGGATTAATCATGTTTATATAGCTCCATTATCTAATGACGACTACACTGTGAATCAGAGCATGTCAATTTAAAACACTTCCATTGGTAGTAAATATTCCCCAACTGCAGTGCTGTCCGACTACTGTAATCCACTAATTACATTAAATTCCGTCAGGGGAGTTAGTGGCACACACCATATTGGCCGACCTAAGAAAAGGCGTTTAAAGAAGACTCCCGTCTGCCGGTCACCCACCCCCTCATCCCTCTGTCCCGCTAATTGGAAGAGAGAGAGAGAGAGGAGAGAAGGGAGTCACCTCCGCCAGAACATGAGGGTTGAGGTGATGCGAATTACCCGAGGTGATGTGAAAAGCTTCAACCTGTCGTCCCTGGTGGAATCCCTAGTCCAAAAATATAGGATTAGTGATTTTTCCAATATAATCCTTTAAGATTCTCACAATCCTATAGGATTTTGTGTCACCTCTATCAGAATCATATTGGTATCCTATTGGACTACGTTTTTCCTATTTGAAATAGAAAGTAATCATATTGGGTCCTATAGGGTTCTTGCAGTCCTATAGGATTTTGTGTCACCTGTATCAGAATCCTATTGGATTATGTGTTTTCCTATTGGGAATCAAAAGTAATCCTATTGGACCCTATATGATTCTGGCAATCCTTTAGGATTTTGTATTACCTCTATCAGAATCCTATTGGAAATCAAAAGTAATCCAATTGGATCCAATAGGTTTTTGATCAATCTTGTAGGATTTTGTCACCCCAATCAGAATCCTATTAGTGTCACGATCGTTATAATGAGTGGACCAAGGCGCAGCGTGATATGCGTACATCTTTTTAATGTGTACTTAGCAACACGATACAAATAACAAAACGAAACGTGAAGTCCTCGGTCATACACAAACCTACACGGAACAAGATCCCCTGCTCCTCTCTATGGCGCGCCTCCACCGTCTCCTCCCACGGACGGCGATCCATTCCAGCCTGGATTTCCTCCCAAGTCCAGGACCCCTGCCCGTCCAAGATCTCCTCCCAAGTCCAGGCTGTCTGCTCCTGGACACGCTGCTGCCTAAGTATGGTTCCCAATCAGAGACAACAAGCAACAGCTGATTCTCGTTGCCTCTGATTGAGAACCACCCCGGCCAACATAGAAACACATAACCTAGAACAGAACATAGAAAACAAAACATAGACACTACACAAAGAAACTAACACCCTGGCTCAACATACAAGAGTCCCCAGAGCCAGGGCGTGACAATTAGAACATATTTTCCTTAATTGAACCCATCAAATTATACACTGCAACAGCTGGTCCCATGTTTCATGAGCTGAAATAAAAGATCCCAGAAATGTTCCATATGCACAAAAAGCTTATTTCTCTCCAATTTTGTGCACAAATTTGTTTATATCCCTGTTAGTGAGCATTTTATCCTTTGTCAAGATAATCCACCTGACAGGTGTGCGATATCAAGAAGCTAATTAAACAGCATGATCATTACACAGGATAATAAAAGGCCACTCTAAAATGTGCTGTTTTGTCCCACCAGAGCTTTTGACAGATAATTAAATGTTAATTTCTCTACCATAAGCCGCCTCCAACGTCGTTTTAGAGAATTTGGCAGTACGTCCAACCGGCCTCACAACCGCAGACCACATGTAACCATGCCAGTCCAGGACCTCCACATCCGGCTTCTTCAACTGTGGGGCTGCGGAGGAGTATTTTTGTCTGTAAAAAAGCCCTTTTGTGGGGAAAACTCATTCTGATTGGCTGGGCCTGGCTCCCCAGTGGGTCGGCCTGGCTCCCAAGTGGGGGGTCCTATGCCCTCCCATGGCTGCTCCCCTGCCCAGTCATGTGAAATCCATAGATTAGGGCCTAATGAATGTATTTCAATTGACTGATTTCCTTGTATGAGCTGTAACTCAGCAAAATTGTTGAAATTGTTGCATTTTGCGTTTATATTTTTGTTCAGTAGTTTGTTGTCATTAATTCCAGTACAATACAACAACATTAATTACATTTTCGTTGATTGGAAACAACAGTTCTATATTAATTTCTGTTTTATTCACCTGTGAGAATGACTGTTCCTTTAAGAGTTTTAACGTCACAGCAAGCACGAGCTCGTCAGTGTTAGCCTAACTCCCAAATTTAGTGTGCCACCTGTGGCTGTGCGGAGAACCTCAGGTTTTCTAACATTATTATTCTAACTGTTTTATCCTACACTTTGCTGTGCGTAAATGCATGAATTGTGAGTACAGTAGTTGTTTCCTTATGTTCCTGACGAAAATTAGGCTGTTGCTGCTTCCTGTTGACAATAACTTTTGATAAATAGCCCAATGTCAAAACACAGTTTTGAAGTGTTCAAATCAATAAACAGTTTGTGATATATTGAAAACATAAACATAAAATGTACTACCTACACATACATGTGCCACAATTTTGTATTTTTTTTAACGAGCACCTTATAAACTGCATATGCACCAAAACCCTGTTGTTTTGACAAGTGGCAATTAATCACTCATATTGATTATTGGGGAAATCAGGTTGTATGCGCTGTTGAAACTAACACAACTCAAAAACCACATGGAAACTGGAAATATTGTTTACATCACTTGTTAGAGGACAACCTGCTGAAGACAACCAGCTACATTTCGGAGTGATGCATTTTGATTTGGTGGTAGCCAAAACGGAAAGAGAAACGCAACACTTATGTTAATCACTCATATTGATATCATGTTGAAATCAATAGAATGAGAGGGGCAGGTCGGGTTACACGTCCTGTTGAAACTAACCACATGGAATCTGGGAATAACAGTCCAATAGAACTGTGTCCAAAATCTGATAGGACTTTTCTAATGGATTCTTTATTGGAATCCTATAGGATAGAATCCTATAGTAGTCCAATAGGACTGGTTCCAAAATCTGATAGGATTTTTCTACTGGATTTTTGTATTGGAATCCGATTGGATAAAGTCCTATAGGACAGGTTCCAAAAATGTTTTACTTTCCCAGATCAGACAGTTGATGAATCATGCATAAGAGAATTGCCTACATCCCTCAAACTCAACTCTGAACCTTGAAGCCAGTTCCACTGCTTTTTTTCATCATTCCCCTCTAATCAGAGATTGAGACATGGGACACCAGATGGGTGTAATTCATTATCAGGTAGAACAGAAAACCAGCAGGCTCTGAACTTCGTAGGGTAAGTTGAATACCCCTGGCCTACATCAATGGTAAGAGCCTAAATCAAACTTAAATTAACTCTAAAAAATAAAGAATTACAAAAAATGACAATAGGAAAAAAATACATTACGGCTTGCATTTATTTAGATATTTTGTTGTAGTTGCTTATAATTTGTTCCAGTGTAACAATTAACTTATTGTGTTGGTACCAAACTGATGAAAATATGGCATCACATGAATAGTTTGCTCCAAGGTAGTTTCACCTATATAACATCTTATTAAATTAATCCATGTAGTTAAAAAATATGCTGTAATTAGACCTAATATAAAATAACTAAACAATGAATACCTTATCCTCTCCTATAATCCATGTTCACAATACAATTAATCTATTGGAATTGGAAGGAATTCAGCTATTCAAATCCTTATACATTGATTTACTGCAGCAATTACTGCAACACAAAGGATATATCAAGGACACAGCGCAATAAAACAATGATGATAGAGAGAAAAGGATAAGACAAAGACACACTTAAAATGTGACAGAATGTGTGTGGGGGGGACATAGGAAAGGAACAGCTAGCCAGTTTTAGAGAAATGATTTATTTTTCAAATTAACTGCCAATATGCCAACATTCCATTCAAACAATGCAGTCAACCCACAGCCATACACTGGCTGAAATCAGTTGATGATAGAACTTAAGACAAGTTGTAAATGCACAAAGTATATATAATAGCACTCACAGCTTTCCATGAAAACAAAAATGTAGACATTTATGGTCTGTTTACATATATTTTAGAGGCTATTTATACAGAAAATGTGTATAAAACCCCTATAAACTGTATTTATAATTACGGTATGACAATATTTTAGGTTGGCAATAATTCTATTACACAATTTCTGATGTCATATGCCTTACTTTTATTTTCCTGCATAATTAAAGTCAGGATTATACCTCTACTGCCATTCATTCCAATTAGACTGGTTTGGATTTCTCCCTGACCAATATGGCCGCCATTTTTACTCCATTCTGGAACTTTCACGGTTTATGACATAGCCCTTCTAGAAATGTAATAGGATCTCTATGAGTTGGCACTTGGTGGTGGAATGCAAAAGGTCATGGTATGTTCATAGGCTATATAAAAATATACTATTTTAGATTTTTTTTTTTTTACAATATTCTGAGTAATTACTCATAAATACATTGATGTTAAAAGCTATGCCTAAATGCTTGGTGGCATATTTACAGATGTTCTGAATCTGATTATTTTGTAAAATCAACACAGTGTTACCCCTACCAAATGAAGTTAACAAACAACTGCAATGTGTACTTTTGTAAATTGCTGTGTGTAGCCACACAAATGTCCCATCTGATCCCATTCATGTATGTGTTGTAATAAAGCTCACCAGCTTGTAGTCCCCAAAAAAATGGAAATGAGTTACCTTTGGTTCATTCAGCCATTCCTATGGGGGAAATGGGGTTTTGGGATAAACACCGAAAATAGAGTCTGAGGTTAACACAGGCTTAGGAGATCTTATACATTTTGTTCTATGAGATAACCAGGGTTGGGGTCAATACCATTTCAATTCCTGTCAATTCAGAAAGTCCAATGAAATTAAATTCTAATGCCAATTCTCTTCCAATGCCTTTCAATTTGGAAAGGAAATTGGAATTTATGTGCTTGTTTTTATTACATAAATGCTTAAAAATTCACAAAAAGTGACATTAGCTGATGAAGATTATCTCATAGAACAAAACCTATAAGATCTCCTAAGCCTGTGTTTACCACAGACCTTATATTCAACGTTGAGCCCCAAAAAAAATGCATTTCCCCATAGGCTTTGACCAACGAGCCATGGAGGAGTTAGTGCCTACGAAAAGATGCCATTACTATTGCTCTCTATAACCAGGTTTCCATCCAACCTTTTTATGTGAGTAAAGTACATGTTGGATAACATTTTTTTATGACAGCCCTGATGGAAACAGAACATTTGTCTGTAAACTTTTCAAATGTCAACAAAACAAAATACGCTAGACAAGGTGGGATCTTTTTGTGTCTGTAAAATTAATTACGCAAGAAATGTCAGTGGAAACGCTTTTATGCGCAAATATTGATATAATAACCATCACATAGAAGTAAACTTGGAGTCACGCGATAACATGTGTGGTCCTTCCACTACGACTCGTCGGAAAAGCATGCAGTTTATTAAGATAGACGAATAAATTATGAACTTCACAGGGTGGTGAAAGTGTAACGTGATGAGCTTGAAGCTCCTTTCCAATAAATATCTTGGGTCTTATTCTGGTGACATGATCATCGATGCTAGGGTGCCGTTTCACAAATATAAATAATCTCGCTCTTTTGCCCATACTAATCTCATGTACCCGCACTGTATCTGCGAGCTGTTGGCTAGAGCACACTTGCCAATACAAGAGTGGGCACACGCAGTATAACGCAATTTTTTTGTGTGAGAAAACCATCAGTAGAGTGGAAAATGCGATGGAAACCCGTTTAACTGGTATTTTTCATTCGGGAAATGTGAATTTAACCGCAAAAGGTATTTTTATGTGCACCACGTCATCACGCAGTCTTTTATCCCAAACAAGTCAATTTGATGGAAACATCTTTGGTGGGAAAATGTGCATATTGTTTTTATGTGGATTTTAGAATATTCTTATGTATCGGCAATTGGATGGAAACCTAGCTTTTAACACCCATGACTTCAATTCACTCTTCCTTGTGGTTGTTATTGTTCTGAGCAGTGCCCTCCTGTGGCAAAGAGAAGAGACGCAGTTTGCTATGCAGCTGGACACTGAGGTAGGCACAGTCCTGTGTATCCAGGGAGTGAGCCAGGGCCAGGTAGGCCGAAAGACTCCCCGCCAGCAGCAGCCTGTCCAGGGGCAGTGCAGGGAGGAGCCACAGCACCACAGCCAGCTCCACACACACTGGGTGACGCAGGTGGGCAAAGAGACGCTGAGCCCGGGGGGACTTGAGAGCCAGAGGGTCTCCCAAACCAAGACACTCATAATAAACCTGAGAGGGATGGAAGAGGGAGGATGGAGGGAGACCGGGAGAAAGGGAAAAATTACTTATTGCAGATATTAAACCAGTTATTTATATTTAAATCAGAAGGATATTCTTAATCATTCAATTGCTGACAAATGAATAATTTTATCAGGGTAATTTCAGCTTTGGTATCACATCAAAGAGAGAATTCATGCAGATTTTTTTAATTGTAGGCCTAATACAATGTGATGCATGAAAATGCTTCGGTGTAACCAGTGTCAAAGTGAACAGTATCATTTCCTCCACTGTCCCTGTCCCCTTACTGGCCTCAAACTAGTAGTCCTCTGATCGCAAACACGTGACTGCAATCTTACTCTGCATGGGTTTACTTTACCTGCTTGATGCCCAGTAGTTCAGGATAGTCAAAGATCAGCAGTATACTGCAGATGATGGACCAGCAGAGGAAGTGCAGGGTGAAACAGAGCAGTGGGAACCAGGTATTCCATGGGGCATTACGTACTGACCACAGACAGGGAGCATCCGTCACAGGCTGCCAGTAATGCATCAATATCTATAACAGGGACAAGACAGTCAAGTAGGACAGCAAAAGGGGTATTCAAATGTAGAATTGTCTCTCATAATTCTCCCTTTTTTAAGACCATAAGATTGCATAAATGAAAGTGTGTGTGTGTGTTACCTGGAGAGCCAGAGCGGTGGTGGAGCAGTACATGGCCCGGTTCAATACCCCCAGGACAGACTGGCAGGCCTGCTTGACTGGAGCCCAGGCCAATAGACTGTGCTGGACAGTAAAAAGCCCCAGAAGCCCCAGATCCACAACCACAGACTTGAGAACAGAGCTGTCCCGCAAGGCTACAGACCATGGTACAGAGTCTATATAAAGTATAGAAATATGGACAGAGAGATAAGGATATGGCGTGGTAGGTTAGGTGTTGTTGATTATCAGTGGAAGACAACTACAAAGTATTTGAGCAAAGTATAATGATGAATTCCCATGTTGAAATGATCTTGTTAGTCAGGCTGGGCCCTGTTTCCCAAAAGCATTGGTTCTAACGATGAACATAGCCTTAAGATCCTTTTGGGATACCGGGCCTTGTTCAGCTAACATTGGTTTGCACATGCACATCACATCTCGCGCACAGCGTACGGTTTCGACTGCAGTACTTTCGACTTTTTTCCAGTTCCAAAATAATTTCTTGAGATGAATGAAACATTCGAAAAACATTCTAACTTGCTACTGTAACAATGTCTCCGGAAATTGCAACAGCTGTGAACCTTTTGTATAGTTTGAGACCAGAATTTGCTACTTTTTCTGATGAACACACAACCCTCTGCCAAAGAATCAGGAAACATACCTTGACACAGTGGCGACTCTCCAGTGATGTTATGATATATCGCTCGAAATGAGATAAAACGAACAAAGTCTGCACCGGTTATAAAAACGAAGACAAAGTTTAACAGCGCCAAGATGCAAAGGGTCATACCACGAGCCGTGACTGACGCCATTTCAATATTGACTTTTTCCTCATTAGGCAGCAGAAACAACAGGCGTCGCCTCTTTCTCTCTTATCTTTGCTATCTGGGATCCTTGGGACGTACCGTAACCTTAACCGTAACCATAACCCTTACCTTACTACTGTGTAGTTTCTTCCGGGAGGTGAGCGGTAGGGACAAATATTAACACTCGATGTCGCTGTTGACCATAACTAAAGTTTATAGAAAGTAGCTTGAAGAGGAGAGACCTGGGTTCGAATCCCACGAGGATGTAAATAACTTTCATTTGGCTTACTCAATGCTCATACAGTACATACCTGTCCAATAAAGGAGACCCTTTCTTACTTTGAACTTTTTTATTTATATTATTATTCACATAAAAGCCTCACAAAATGGACAGAAAAATCAACATATGATTCATTTTGTACAGTACAATATCAAATGTATTCAAAAGAAAGCCCAGGTCAGCATCTCGTGGTACACCTCTCTGATTCTCATGTGTAGGTTAATCTCCCAATCAAACATCAAATCAAATCAACCTCACAGTGATAGCACTCCACATGGTAACTTCTGTCCAAGGCCACTACCCGGATGGACTCTCTTGAACCCTAAGGCAAGACAGATATACAGACAGAGGTTCAGATCCTTCTCTGGACAGACAACTAATTATAAACACGCACCAAATAGCCTTATATCATAGCCTGTGTGCCAGTCTGCTTGGATGAGCGCAGAAACAACTGGCACCCAGGCTATTATACCATGCTTTTAGTTAGAACCTGCTCAAACATTCAAAAGCAAGATATCATAGCTAACCTCAGATGGCAGAATTGGCTGGCCACAAGTCGCACAGCTAGGTGCCAGAAGTCTGAGAATAAAAGGACAAGATGTAAATGAAATAGAGAAATGTGATTGACTCAATTGTGGTAATATATTAATCATTATTGCTATGCTGTATGAGGGTGTGTCTGTGACAGGGTGTTGATGTTGATTTAAGGGTGTGTGATGGTCTTGCTCATTGTGTTGGAGTAGCAATGCAGTCAAACTCACCTGTGGTAGTCTCTGACACAGTAAACCTGTTAGTCCCCTGTAGCTCAGTTGGTAGAGCATGGCGCTTGCAATGCCAGGGTTGTGTTCGTTTCCCACGGGGGGCCAGTATGAAAAGTGTATGCACTCACTAAATGTAAGTCGCTCTGGATAAGAGCGTCTGCTAAATTACTAAAATGTAAGTAATGTTGTCGGTGTCCACAGTGAAGGGCATTCCTTCTAGGCTCTCATTACAGGTGACATATCGAAAGCAGGCAAGATGGTAGGAATTCCCAAGAGCCTGTAGTACCTGGTTAGATTGAGTGTGGAGAGGTCACATAATGGGAAAACACACTCTCTTTTATGTACTACTTTGCTCAACACTAACACAAGCACATACAAACAAATCTACCCTCATATTCTCATTAATCTACTCACCATTTATTTTATTAAATATCCACAGACATTACAGAATTCTGGAGACTCACGAGCACCTGAGTACTTTCAAAGTAATTGAAAAATAAAGTATATTTCATCAAATTCTCATAACAAGAGACAGTAATTGATTAACTAATTGAAAGAGAGTTCAAATGAGGGATAGTGAGAGAGTGTGGGGTGGGGTGAAAAGTATTCCAGTCTGAATAGCCACAACTATAACCAAAACACAGCTGAATTAAAACAGGGAGGGCTGTTAATGAAATGACATTTGTTTTTTTGTGTGCATGTTTGTGTGTAGAATAGATGCATGACATGTATAGGTCTACTCTGGCACCCCAATGGTGGAACAAGCTCCCTCACGACGCCAGGACAGCGGAGTCACTCACCACCTTCCGGAGACATTTGAAACCCCACCTCTTTAAGGAATACCTGGGATAGGATAAAGTAATCCTTCTACCCCCCCTTACCCCAACCCAAACCCCAACCCAAAAACAAAAAAACAAAAACAAAAAAAACAAAAAAAACATTGTGAAGTGGTGATCCCACTGGCTATAAGGTGAATGCACCTATTTGTAAGTCGCTCTGGATAAGAGCGTCTGCTAAATGACGTAAATGTAAATGTAAATGTACTCACTGCAAGCACTGCAGGTGAAGCAGGTGTCATGGTATAGCTTTCCCATCGCCTGGCAAGCCCGGCCAACACCATATACTGCTTCACTGCATCTTACACAGCTCCCTGAAAATGGCAGACCACACACACAATGCACACAAAACAGGAATACACACAAACTACACACTGTAACCACATGTTTCTTTCAGTATCCCTCGATCCTCCAGCAAGAGCTGCACGGTCAACTGAAATACTCTGACACCTGATCCTTTCCCCAATCACAAATGCAAGCAGCCAAGCACACAATCACACACTGCAGAGCTATCAAGAGCTGTTAAATACCAGAATAGAGTACCCCAACATAAAACAGGTATGCTGTTGCTTGCTACAGTATAAAAGGGAACCTAACGTTCGACCAAAGCTGTGGTTTTGATATCTGCCTTACCAAAGTAGATGTCGGTACTGGTCTGGGAGTCCATCTCCACTTCCAGAAGCCTCTCTATGTGAGCTTCTAATTTTATGTCTGGTGCATGACAGCAGAGTCTCTGGCTGTAAGGGGAGCCCCTGTCTGGGTTTATAGGAGATCAAGAGGAGCTTGTGGTCTGCTGGTCTCCCTGTGGGGCCAGCTAGCCCACTGGCTTCTGCAGAGAGGGGTAGGACTGGCTGAGAAAGGACAGACGAGTCCAGCTGGCCACTCAACAACTTTAGCAGACATTCGCAGGTTAAGATTTTTCACCTAGTCGGCTCGGGGATTAGAACCAGCGACCTTTCAGTTACTGGCACAACGCTCTTAACCACTAAGCTACCTGCCGCCCCAGGGTTGAGCAAAGCTTTGAGATATTTGGAACAACATAGCAGGGGGGAGAAGGAGATAAATTATGCTGCGTTCGTAACCAAGTGGGAAGTGGGAATTAACCACGTACGACTGGGGAAAATCCACTTGAACGGCCTTCCAACTGGTAATTACTAGTGGGAAACTCCTCTATCATCCTGAGCTCCCACTTCTCCCACCTGTTGATAGCTTGCTCATTTAAAGTAACTGTCCGGTAAAAATCTCACTTTTAAAAGTTAATATTCTGTTAACTCATACCCAAATAGTGTTGTTGACTCGTCCTATACTTGTATTTGTGGCCAAAGCATAAATTGTAAGTAATTATAGGTAATATTTAATAGAAATTAGGAAACACTGGGCAGTTACTTTAATCAGTGACCATTAGTTGTGTGTTGCTGCCCTCATGTGGTCTTCCTAGGGTTCCTATCTTGTGCCCTGGGCTCCATCTCAGGAATGCTAGCTCATATGGCATAAGGCATGTGGAGGCAGGAGGATGTCTCAATAGTGCAGTGAGAGAAAAGCCCAAATGTTGACATCTGCACAGGTCCACTGAAAAAAACCCTGATACATGATGACACTGTGGCAGATACTGTGGTTTATGAAGTATATCTACTTGGTAATACTTTGTAACAAATAACACAGGTTAGCCTATATCTAAACATGTCATAAGCATTCTGTAAAATAAAAAAATATAGCCTAAACTGCACCTTCTTCTTTATTTTTTCTAATTGTCTGGGGAAAACACAATCTCCCTTTCGCAGTCTACTAAAATATTGATGTTACAGAAAATAAATAACACATAACCCTAGAAGTGGGCCTTCCCTCTGCAATATAATCAACACAACACACAATGAGGGATGCACAATGTTTGCCCAAAGAATGCTGCACACTTTTAAAATGCAGTCTTGTCACTTTAATGAAATATTCGAATTCATTGTAGGGCATCAATAAAACTAAAACAGAGAGAGAGGGTGTCAAGGCTTCAACGGCAACCTGGACTCATGGGTAGACGTAACATAGATGCGGTAAAGGTGTCCATTGACCAGGCGTTCCATTGACCAAATTGGCGCTCATTCAACAAATCTGATCAAACAAAGTGCATATTCGTCAAATCTGTCATGGTTTATGTATTGTAACTGGTCCACAATGTGGTTACTGATTTTGATATGTTTGGCTGTTTTGCTGCATAACATGTAGAAGTTGTCCCTTTTCAGGTTTAGAAGAAGTTCGTATAAGCTGGTTAGCATAGCTAGCATACAGAAATCGGCGGTGGTAGTCAAATTCGTTTTTAACTGTAATGCAGTTGATTGGTAAAGATGACATGACCATGTGTTGGGGTTGACATCAGTGGAGGCCATCCTCCTCAGTAAATTTCATACCAATAAAAATAGTAAAACATTACAAAAGTTATCATTTTTAGATAAAACTATACTAAATATAAGCACGTCACCAAATAGTTTATTGAAACACACTATTTTGCAAAGAAGGTCTACAGTAGCCTCAACAGCACTCTGTAGGGTGGCACCATGGTGTAGCCGGAGGACAGCTAGCTTCCGTCCTCCTCTGGGTACATTTACTTCAATTCAAAACCTAGGAGGCTCATGGTTCTCACCCCCTTCCATAGACTTACACAGTAATTATAACAACTTCTGGAGGACGTCCTCCAACCCATCAGAGCTCTTGCAGCATGAACTGACATTTTTCCACCCAATCAAAGGATCAAATAATTAATCTAGTACTGAAAGCATAAGCAACAACTAGCTAGCACTGCAGTGTATAAAATGTGGTGAGTAGTTTACTCAAATAGAGAGAAAGACAATAGTTGAACAGTTTTGAACAAATTAATGTCTTCCAAAATGAAGGAGACGCAAGAGAGAAATAGAGAGAAAGAGATTTGTCGTAATTTTTTTCACTTTCACTTTCACTTACTTAGCTAGCAAATGCAGCTAGCTAGTTTAGCCTACTGAAACACCCTGCTCAAACAGAGGGCTGCTATGTTAGCTAGCTGGCTATGACTTTCCAACACAACACTGGAACTCTTCCAAGTCAAGGTAAGCTTTTGGTTGTACTAATTAATTGCCACCGGGGCCCGCCGGTGTAACTGCTTACTGACTGTACACTAACGTTACTGCATGATTGTAGTGGGTTTAATAACACATTAGTTCTATTAGCTATGACGTTACTTTAGCTAATATGGTGACAACGATGTAGGCTGTGTGTAGCGGTTTGGCTTGGAAAGGTTTTTTCGCCTGGGCACATGTGTTGTGCATTGAAGTCCACAAGCGAAGGTAAGAGGTGAGAGGAGAAGTGCACATAGACGCAAGAAGGAATACAACGTGGCTGCTATGAAAGTGAACTGTGTTTACGCGTGATCGGGGAGGATTCTGTTGAAAAAAGTTTCTTAAATGGAAGCAAACAGAACAAAACGAGGATAAACATACCTGTTGGAGAAATGATTACACCCGATATCAGCTAGATGCAGGCAAGAGTGTGCAAGGCAGTATTGAATGTCACTGTCTGTCCATGTGTCACTGTCTTGTCACCTCAAATGTGTCTCTCGACCTGTGTGCACCTACGTTGTAAACTTTCATTCATAGGCTAGGTTGTAGCAATCTCATGATGGGTATAGGGAAAATTAGAGTATCATGTAGTAGCCTAAACCTATCGCTGTTACATTGAACTGGGTGAATGGAATATGAATGAGAGTCATCCAATATGCTGTAATAGAAATAAGGCGATGCTCATTAAAAAACAATTGTCCTCCCTCATCTTAAACGGCACTGACCGCCACTGGTTGACATCCATACAAGCATTATACTCTGATTTTTACCTCAACATAGTGTGAAATGCACATATAAACAGTAGGCTAAATGTGGGCTAATTTTGCTGGGAGGCAATGAGGAGACTCAGGATCTTTCCCCCACACCCTTTCCTCCACGCATTTCCATGTAAATTCCATTGTTTTGGTCGAGTTCGATTGACCTCTTTACCGCATCTATAGTTTAAAAAATCCGGGACACTCAAATTAGTATGATATGTTACGTTAGGCATGGTATGTGTTCATTTGTGGATGTCCATCATTCATTTCGTATGATATGTTACGAATTACAATTCGTATGATATATTACAAACTGCAATTTGTACAATATGGTACGAATTTGCAATACGTATGATATGTTACAAATTCCAATTTGTTGTAGTTAATATTAGCTAGGTGGCTAATGCTAATCTTAGCTAGGTGGCTAACATTAGCTAGGCTAGAGGTTAAGGTTAGGGTTAAGGTTAGGTCTTAGGTTAAAGGGTTAAGGTTAGGGGAAGGGTTAGCTAACATGCTAAATAGTTGCAAAGTAGCTAAAAAGTAGTAAGTAGTTGCAAAGTTACTAATTAGCTAAAATGCTAAAGTTGTCCGTGATGAGTTTCGAACAAGCAACTTTTGGGTTATACACCCGACCAACCACCTTCCTTTAATTTTGGCCTTTATTAACTGTATTTCTTATGTAACCATACAATTTAACATATACTAATTTGAGTGGCCCGGGTTTTCGTTTACTATGTTACGTGTAGTCTATGAGACCAGCCTGTCAACGGCTATAATCTACCGTCAAGTTTCGACAGACCGATTTACGGTAGCCTACACGCCCCACTCTGCGTGAAACAGGTAATGTAAATCAGGAAGTTAATGGTCTGTCACGGCCATCGATTTTTTTTTAACAAAAAGCAAATATCGTAGTTTTGATAACATTTATCCGGAAATATTTTTTGGTCGTTTTATCAGGGGACATGCGGCTCACTACAATTTGCGCTCGAGAGCTCCTGGGAATTGTCATTTTGTTGCTCCTCAACCTGTCAGGTGAGAGAACATTCAAAACAACCTTTCAAACAAAGCAAGCAGACGTTAACAATAAGTTACAAATCATGTACTGAGTGTGGCCTTTACATATTCACAATGTTGCAAAATATGATGATGTCGATAAACTTAAGAATTATATTATATTTCAGTTTTACAAGTTTTTAGTTTGATATATTTGCGAGAATTGTTTTATTATTATACATGATTGTGAAAGTATTTCATGTAATCTGTAACCGCATTCTGCATATTCTTGATCCACTGCAATTGGAAACAGTTTACAAATGACATTTAACGTTAGACAGGAAGGATAGACTTAAAACTGAGAAGTGAAAAGCTGAAAACGACGTCTTTATACTGATGTTCATTTCAATAGAACACAAAGAAGGCTGAACTTAAACTGCACTTGGGCTCAATTTGTACTAAAATAGTCAGACATCTTTCTCCAACTTGTGTCGGATATCATGTTGATTGAGTTGACACTGAAATGTGAGGCCTAACACATAACATGCAAGCAACATACATTGCTAGAGTTTGCACACCAGATAATGTGATATAAATAACCAAAGATGTGTGGACGTTACAGGTTCCATACGCTCTTTGTTCTCGATTCTGGAAAACAGTGATCTTAGAAATGATTGATGGTGGGGTGGGAGGGGCTCGATAGTTACATATCGGGAAATTATTTTGATCATACATCGTTTTGACAATATTGCAATATAATTGTTGCGCTAGTTAATTGGCTGTACCTGCACCAAAACTCCAGTATTTTTCCTTCATAGCTTGTTCTATATCTACTTTTTAAATAGGGAGCCAATTTGTTTTCAGCACTTTTCTTTCCATGACTGATCAAAACTCCTCTTCCCATGGCTCTCTCTTGTCCCTCTGCAGCAGACATATGGTGAGCAATATGCTTGGAACATCAAATCGCAATAAAATCACAGTATCCAATCACAATACATATAGAATCGTGACAATCGCAATACATATCGTATCGGCACCTAAGTATCATGATAATATCGAATCGTGACGTCCCTGGCAATTCCCAGCCCTGTAAAAAAAAAAAAAAAAAAAGGATGTAGAATAATGTTATATTGAAGAGGAGGGGACCTAAAAAAATGGAGAATAATGTTATAATGAGGAGGAGGGGACCTAAACATGAAGGGTAAATTATATAGCAGACAAGCAAGGGTTATACTCAGCTGAGGGTATGTTGTTGCTACAGTTTGTACGCCAGATAATGTGATATAAACAGTTTTTTTGTGTCCATTAGTGGACGTTACAGGTTTGCCCATACAAACTGCCGCCATAGATTTTTCAGCTAACCTGGTATTGGCGATACTCTCTTCGTTCTCGATTCTGGAAGACCGTTACCTTATAAATGTCTGTGTCCAGTTGCAGGTGGTTCTACAAACACCAGAGAAAACACAGAAAGATAGTAAATCAATGTTTTAAATCGCGCAAGGAGGTTCCTCGCCATCTTAGCTGCTGCACATCTAGCATTTCCTAGCATCTTTGCCGGAACTAGTCGTTTATATGCTACGCGGGCACGGCCACATGTAGAAGTAGATGACAAAGATCAATACAAAGATCTACACACATGCAAGAGGCATATCTCACTTGATACAAAACATGGATTTACTGTTTACTACTATTTACTATCTTGTTCCTGACATACCTCTTATTTACATTCATGTTCACACAGTCTGAGGCCATTGTGAGCTGAGCCTACACAGTACATATGGGTGATTCCTCACAAAACTAGGAACAAAAAAGATCCCAGAAATGTTCCATATGCACAAAAAGCTTATTTCTCTAAAATGTTGTCCACAAATTTGTTTGCATCCCTGTTAGTGAGCATTTCTCCTTTGCCAAGATAATCCATCCACCTGACAGGTGTGGCATATCAAGAAGCTGATTAAACAGCATGATCATTACACAGGTGCACCTTGTGCTGGGGACAATAAAAGGTTACTCTAAAATGTGCTGTTTTGTCACACAACACAATGCCACAGATGTCTCAAGTTTAGAGGGAGCATGCAATTGGAATGCTGACTGCAGGAATGTCCACCAGAGCTGTTGCCAGAACTGAATGTTAATTTCTCTACCATAAGCCACCTCCAACGTCGTTTTAGAAAACGTGTGTATGGTGTCGTGTGGGTGAGCGGTTTTCTGATGTCAACGTTGTGAACAGAGTGCCCCGTGGTGGTGGGGTTCAGGCATAAGCTACGGACAACGAACACAATTTTATTTTATCAATGGCAATTTGAATGCACAGAGATAACATGAAGAGGCCAATTGTCGTGCCATTCATCTGCCGCCATCACCTCATGTTTCAGCATAACAATGCAGGGCCCCATGTCGCAAGGATCTGTACACAATTACTGGAAGCTGAAAATGTCCCAGTTCTTACATGGCCTGCGTTCTCACCAGACATGTCACCCATTGAGCATGTTTGGGATGCTTTGGATCGACGTGTACGACAGCATGTTTCAGTTCCCGCCAATATCCAGCAACTTCGCACAGCCATTGAAGAGGAGTGGAACAACATTCCACAGGCCACAATCAACAGCTGGATCAACTCTATGTGAAGGAGATGTGTCGCAATGCATGAGGTAAAGAGTGGTCACACCAGATACTGACTGGTTTTGTGATCCATGCCGCTACCATTTTTTTAAAGGTACTTTATCTATGACCAACAGATGCATATCTGTATTCCCAGTCATGTGAAATCCATAGGTTAGGGCCTAATGAATTTATTTAAATTGACTGATTTTCTTAAATGAACTGTAACTCAGTAAAATCTTTTAAATTGTTGCATGTTGTGTTTATATTTTTGTTCAGTGTAATTCCACACCTATAACAACAGATTCAATTAAGTAAAGTAAGAGGGAGAATGGGTGAGTTGATGAGCGAGGGGAAGCGAACAATGCATAAATATGTAATCACCAATTGTGAATGAAGATCAGGGCAGGCCAGTCTATTGTATTGATCCATTCTAATTATAATCTTAAAATGGTATGTACCCTATATCAGTCCACCGAATCAAAGCAGTCTTAACAGTCTACTCTGGCCTACTTGGAGTAGGCTACACAGCGAGAGTGTGTCTAACTGTACATGTTCAATGGCTTTCAATATCTGGGAAAATATCTGCAGCAGTTGAGTGAGTGTCGGAGAATGTGGTGATGGGGCTTGTGTAACCTTACATTGGCAAGGGGAGAAATGTCACCATGGACAATTTCTTAACTTCACTGTCATTGGCGAACAATTTGCTTGCAAAGAAAACAAGTCTGGCCGGCACCATGAACAAAGTGAGATGGGGGCTCCCTCTGCGCAAAATAAGGCACCTGCACAGCTGTGCTGAAGAATGACAACACAACGGGGACACAATAAAGAGAGAACTGGAGACTATTACGCACTACAAACCAAAGAAAAGTATGTAAAAGTTAAAAAACTTGGGTCAACTGTTAGGACAAGGGATAACAGCTAAATTAAATCCAACTGATGCCATTGCGTGAAGATGCAAAGAATATGCAGTGTATTCGGAAAGTATTCAGACCCCTTGACTTTTCCAAATGTTGTTACGTTACAGCCTTATTCTAAAATATATTTAAATCGTTTTTTTCCCTCATCAATCTACACACAATGACAAAACAAAACAGGTTTTTTTGATTTTTTTTGCAAAAGTATAAAAAATAAATTAACGGAAATATCACATTTACATTAGTATTCAGACCCTTTACTCAGTACTTTGTTGAAGCACCTTTGGCAGCGATTACAGCCTCGAGTCTTCTTGGGTATGACGCTACAAGCTTGGCACACCTGTATTTGGGGAGTTTCTCCCATTCTTCTCTGCAGATCCTCTTAAGCTCTGTCAGGTTGGATGGGGAGCGTCGCTGCACAGCTATTTTCATCCAGAGATGTTCGATCGAGTTCAAGTCTGGGCTCTGGCTGGGCCACTCAAGGACATTCAGAGACTTGTCCCGAAGCCACTCCTGCGTTGTCTTGGCTGTATGCTTAGGGTCGTTGTCTGAGGACCTGAGCGCTCTGGAGCAGGTTTTCATCAAGGATCTCTCTGTACTTTGCTCCGTTCATCTTTCCCTCGATCCTGACTAGTCTCCCAGTCCCTGCCGCTGTAAAACATCCCCACTGCATGATGCTGGCACCACCATGTTTCACCGTAGGGATGGTGCAAGGTTTTCTCCAGACGTGACGCTTGGCATTCAGGCCAAAAAGTTCAATCTTGGTTTCATCAGACCAGAGAATCTTGTTTCTCATGGTCTGAGAGACCTTTAGGTGCCTTTTGGCAAACTCCAAGCGGGCTGTCATGTGCCTTTTTACTGAGGAGTGGCTTCCGTCTGGCCACTCTACCATAAAGGCCTGATTGGTGGAGTGCTGCAGAGATGGTTGTCCTTCTGGAAGGTTCTCCCATCTCCACAGAAGAACTCTGGAGCTCTGTCAGAGTGACCATCGGGTTCTTGGTCATCTCCCTGACCAAGGCCCTTCTCCCCCGATTGCTCAGTTTGGCTGGGCGGTAAGCTCTAGGAAGAGTCTTGGTGGTTCCAAACCTCTTCCATTTAAGAATGATGGAGGCCACTGTGTTCTTGGGGACCTTCAATGCTGCAGACATTTTCTGGTACCCTTCCCCAGATCTGTGCCTCGACACAATCTTGTCTCGGAGCTAAGCAGACAATTCCTTCGACCTCATGGCTTGGTTTTTGCTCTGACATGCACTGTCAACTGTGGGACCTTATATAGACAATTGTGTGCCTTTTCAAATCATGTCCAATCAATTGAATTTACCACAGGTGGACTCCAAGTTGTAGAAAAATCTCAAGCTGATCAATGGAAACAGGATGCACCTGAGCTCAATTTCGAGTTTCATAGTAGAGGGTCTGAATACTTATGTAAATAAGGTATTTCTGTTTTTAAATATGTTATACATTTGCAAATATCTAAAAACCTGTTTTTATTGATTTAAAAAAAAATCAATTTTACAATAAGGATGTAACTTAACAAAATGTGGAAGAAGTCAAGGGGTCTGAATACTTTCCATAACAAAATGTGGAAGAAGTCAAGGGGTCTGAATACTTTCCAAATGCACTGTAAGCACGAGCTGACACGAATTGACTATTTTTGACTGCTGTCATATCGACACATTCATTATAATGCCATTATTGTTTTTGTGTCAAGGGCACATGGCGCTAATGATGTTCAGGCTACTAATGTTTTCATCATTTGACCGCGCGTCTTTGTGGTTGGGGTATTTTTTATTTTGTCGTTATAAAAATAAGCTGTTACTGTGTAAGAACAAATATGCTGTCAGTTTCATAGTTGTGTAACAAAGGCACTCCACAAATAAAATTGATTGAACACTTGAATTTTGGCTTTAAAAAAGTAATTATATAGCCTACAGTAACATAAATGAATGCAAATGCTATTGTGTTATTTGAAATAAAATAGAAAATCATATTTGTTTAACAAAAGCCTTCATAAACACAACCAAATGATTATTTTTACGATGGGTAATATTAAATATATTAATTACATTGTTAGAATGTTGCAGTCAGAATGATTGCTCATTTGCTTGAAGGGCGGGGGGGGGTCTATCGAGGCCCAGCGGTTCTAGTGTTAATCAGTTATTAGTTCATCAACAAAATTTAAATCAGTAAAATCACTATACCTAATTGGTAGGTCTACCATTACTTGTTACTTCTGTGAACTTTCATTATCCTTCCTCTTCATGAGGGCGAGAAATTAGAGTGTATACTCATGTGAATAATGACCACCCCCCTTTTCAAGATAGACAAAAAAAGAAAACATGTGTTCAAACCTTTTAAGTAATACATTTTTGTACATTACACTAAATTATTAGCCTCTATATCTAAGTACCCACAACACCGAATATCGAAACGAACCCTATTATATTTCTGCCTTTTTCTTGCTATTTTGAAACCGATAAGCTTTACTTTGTGTTTAGTGCCAGTTGCCCAGAAGGGTTGGTCCAATAGGTTGATTATCGATTAGGAGTCATACACTGAAGGGACATTTTGGACAACAGAAAAAACAAGCCTAAAAAGCTTATTTTCCCTCTGCTGGTAGAGCATGAGCTGAAGAGGTTGTTGTAGGACATGCTCCTAACAGTATGGGGGAAGAGTTGAATTCCATCCATAGAGATAGAAAGGGGACTCCAGTGCCTAAAAGCCAGTTTTAGCATGGGCAAGCCATTGAGGACTTTCACCATTTTTAAGTAGTCAACTTGTTAGGACTTACTATGGGTTATGGAAGGATCACATGATTCCATCTGGGTCATAAGGAGGGATCAGCCAATTAATTATACTTGTGAGCAAACATTCCATAACTGCAGGTGGCAGTAAATCGCCAACCTAGTCTTTATACCTGTTCAAAAAACACACTCCAGGTGGCACTATGCACCTTTTCAGTTTGTTTGCCAACTCATAGAAGTAGTAGTAGAAGAAGAAAATTGACTACTTCAAAATGGAAATGGCCTCAATGATGCTGCCCATACTCTCACAGATGCCATAATGGGACAGATGCAATGATTTGATTTCTGTCAAAGTCTATGATTCCATTCTATACCATAGGACAAGGAGTAACAACTGGGAGGCACGTCCAACATTTGATTAGGGGAAATTCCAAATGTCCCGGCCACTGTGTGTAATAATGCCCATCCTCCTACATTAGACTCCTAGATATGATTCAATAATATCATGCAGTACTTTGCATATGAACTTTACTACTGTACCTAGTAAAAAAAATATCCTGGTTGCCCATTTAATTCACTTGTAATCTGTTAATGCTTTTTTGTAATTTGTGTGTAGAGATTTCCTGCCTACAGGAGAGATTTTCCTTTTTGCATGCAATGTGTTCTTACGGGGAATGGCACAGTGATGCTAATACTGTATGATACTGATACAGCCACTAGGGCCAGGAACGAGGAGCTCCGGTCCAGTTGGGCCACATAGGTTTTTATAGTGTTTCGGGACTCGAGTCGATCCATATTCACCAAACCTGATCTGATCTTTTGGGTACAAAAAACTGTTGTTGAGTGGTGGGAAACCTTCTCAACAACTGAATTGCTTCAGGTGGCAGTATGAAAAATGTATGCACTCACTAAATGTAAGTCGCTCTGGATAAGAGCGTCTGCTTTATGACTCAAATGTAAATGTAAATGTAAAACATCTTCAAGATATGTGGGTTTTTGGTAACAGAATTACAAGGTAATATTTCTTAAATTTACAGAAGACACATTTATTTTGCCAAAACTAAATATAAGTGTTATTAGTTGGCAAGGGTATTAACTTCAACATTATCGTTTTTTAAATGTATTTTTGATGTATTTCTAATACCTTTTTGATCTTTTTGACTAGAAATCAAAGCCTTTTCTTATTCCTAATTTTAGAATAAACAATTGTTCAAATGTATTTATGCCTTATTTTCTCAAAAGTATAGAGACTTCGCTTTCATTTGACACCAAATTTGATGTGCTACTATGAACTTCACATTTTGGTGCTCATGGGTCCTTCTAAATTGAAATAGCCATGTGCTACAAAGCAGAAAATGGTGTCATATGAAGCTTTACCGCTTGCTCTGTAATATGGCTAGTATTCTTATTTCAATACAATTTTCTTACATTCATTTATGAATATTGGAAAATATAAACATGAATATTGAAAAATATACAATTTTTGATTTGGCTACTTTTTAAATATATTGTTGAACATAATATACTCGGGCATATCAAAGTTCCAGAGTGGGATCTCTGATAGTTTTAATGTTATGGCCCATTTTATACAGAGAAATTGGCTTAATAGGCAATATAAGCGATCACGGCCCTCTGTTTAGTTGTACCATTGCACGTCCTGCAAATCACTAGCAGAGGGTGACCATTTTGAATCCATTTTCACATTCACTCTGTTGATAGCCTCGGCTTCCAGGCCTGCATTCAGTACGAATTTATTTTGTTGGTGGAATGTTCAATTAAACGGAAACGGTGCTGTACTGAACGACCCAGGTGGGGTTGGGTTGTGGGTTCAAAATGCATATTCATATTGGAAAGGTAGGTATGAATGGAGTGCTGATTGCCAGCGGCTGAATAGAAATAAAAACATTTTTTAAACAACCACCCCTTCCATCCCTCTTCAGAAGCCAAAATTATCTAGAGTATGCTAATTTATGGTAGTAGAATTGCTAGCATACTATATTTTAGAAAATTGATATTTCTGAAATTGTTTACTTTTATTTTGTATATAATTTGGTTGAAATGACACTACTCCACGTCGGAATCTGTGAAAATGATTTGCTTTCAGTTTCAATTCTTCGCCTCTGTTTGAACGTGCCTATTCCAATGGTTGGGAGGGGCAAAGGTCTTAGATACACCAAAGATTGTGGATAAATTTAAGATGAATGACTGAAGCCGCTTAACATTGGTCGCGTTGCCCTGCTCCGACATTGCGTGCATCAACCAATGGATGTGTGCCACGTCATCAACTGTGTCATGCAACGTCTTCATGCATGCAACGTCTGAGCAGGGGAACGTGATCAATATCTGGCATGCTCACGTGAGAGAGGGAACAGCTGGCTCTATCCTACTTATTGGTCGCGGTCCCTGCTCAGACGTTGTGTCATCGACTGACAGATTGCTATAACATATGATGTGGTTAGCTGATACTGTACGTAAAATACCTATCCAGGCGTTGTAAGATCTGGCAGGCATCAGCAACGTGAGCAGAGGAACGTGCCCATTGTCCCCTCCCCGCATGCCTTGAGCTAGTGAGATGTCTCGCTCTGGGACACCTCCTCCACGGGGTGGGGGCAATAAGCAAACGAGCAGCCCCGCCCCTATCAGAAAATAATAGGGAGCCGGATGTCTCTTCAATCTCTGTATACATTCCACCTTCTTTAAGCCTATTTCTGACAAGGTCTTCCACAGGCTTTCATACGAAAGTTAAGGTGAAAGCCTGGTAGAGGCTACTCTGTTGGGAATGCTTAAATTGGATTATAACTCAAAGTAGCAGAGATCCCACTTTGGAACTTTGATATGAGTATACAGTGGGGGGAAAAAGTATTTAGTCAGCCACCAATTGTGCAAGTTCTCCCACTTAAAAAGATGAGAGAGGCCTGTAATTTTCATCATAGGTACACGTCAACTATGACAGACAAAATGAGAAAAAAATATCCAGAAAATCACATTGTAGGATTTTTAATGAATTTATTTGCAAATTATGGTGGAAAATAAGTATTTGGTCACCTACAAACAAGCAAGATTTCTGGCTCTCACAGACCTGTAACTTCTTCTTTAAGAGGCTCCTCTGTCCTCCACTCGTTACCTGTATTAATGGCACCTGTTTGAACTTGTTATCAGTATAAAAGACACCTGTCCACAACCTCAAACAGTCACACTCCAAACTCCACTATGGCCAAGACCAAAGAGCTGTCAAAGGACACCAGAAACAAAATTGTAGACCTGCACCAGGCTGGGAAGACTGAATCTGCAATAGGTAAGCAGCTTGGTTTGAAGAAATCAACTGTGGGAGCAATTATTAGGAAATGGAAGACATACAAGACCACTGATAATCTCCCTCGATCTGGGGCTCCACGCAAGATCTCACCCCGTGGGGTCAAAATGATCACAAGAACGGTGAGCAAAAATCCCAGAACCACACGGGGGGACCTAGTGAATGACCTGCAGAGAGCTGGGACCAAAGTAACAAAGCCTACCATCAGTAACACACTACGCCGCCAGGGACTCAAATCCTGCAGTGCCAGACGTGTCCCCCTGCTTAAGCCAGTACATGTCCAGGCCCATCTGAAGTTTGCTAGAGTGCATTTGGATGATCCAGAAGAGGATTGGGAGAATGTCATATGGTCAGATGAAACCAAAATAGAACTTTTTGGTAAAAACTCAACTCGTCGTGTTTGGAGGACAAAGAATGCTGAGTTGCATCCAAAGAACATCATACCTACTGTGAAGCATGGGGGTGGAAACATCATGCTTTGGGGCTGTTTTTCTGCAAAGGGACCAGGACGACTGATCTGTGAAAAGGAAAGAATGAATGGGGCCATGTATCGTGAGATTTTGAGTGAAAACCTCCTTCCATCAGCAAGGGCATTGAAGATGAAATGTGGCTGGGTCTTTCAGCATGACAATGATCCCAAACACACCGCCCGGGCAATGAAGGAGTGGCTTCGTAAGAAGCATTTCAAGGTCCTGGAGTGGCCTAGCCAGTCTCCAGATCTCAACCCCATAGAAAATCTTTGGAGGGAGTTGAAAGTCCGTGTTGCCCAGCGACAGCCCCAAAACATCACTGCTCTAGAGGAGATCTGCATGGAGGAATGGGCCAAAATACCAGCAACAGTGTGTGAAAACATTGTGAAGAATTACAGAAAACGTTTGACCTGTGTCATTGCCAACAAAGGGTATATAACAAAGTATTGAGAAACTTTTGTTATTGACCAAATACTTATTTTCCACCATAATTTGCAAATAAATTCATTAAAAATCCTACAATGTGATTTTCTGGAGAAAAAAAATCTCATTTTGTCTGTCATAGTTGACGTGTACCTATGATGAAAATTACAGGCCTCTCTCATCTTTTTAAGTGGGAGAACTTGCACAATTGGTGGCTGACTAAATACTTTGTTTCCCCACTGTATTTCAGACAGAAAACACTACTTACATTTGTTTAACCATTACATTAGGTATTGGGATTAGGCTCTGCTCTTCCGGGGCATCTCACTGTCAGAGCAAGCCTCTTTCGTTAAGATAATAAAATAACTACAGTGTGCTCGATATGCTATATCAATCCCCCTGATTGAAACGGAAGCAGAGCCAAATCGATGGAGGCTGGGGTGATGGTGGGCTAGCAAAATCAGACAAGCATAGCACGTAACGCAAGTTGGATGTGTGTGCGGAAATTGTCAATTTAAATAGAACACCATGTAAAGGTAGAGTGATGAATCTAATTGGTGCAATATCGGCTGATGCCATCACCTGATGCCGGATGCACACTCAGGTTTTCTTTCTGAACTGGTTTCGCTTTTTATTATGTTCAACAATATACAGTACCAGTCAAAAGTTTGGACACACCTACTCATTCAAGGGTTTTTCTTTATTTTTTTACTATTTTCTACATTGTAGAATAATAGTGAAGACATCAAAACTATGAAATAACACATGGAATCATGTAGTAACCAAAAAAGTGTTAAACAAATCAAAATATATTTTATATTTCAGATTCTTCAAAGTAGCCACCCTTTGCCTTGATGACAGCTTTGCATACTCTTGGCATTCTCTCAACCAGCTTCATGAGGTAGTCACCTGGAATGCATTTCAATTAACAGGTGTGCCTTGAATTTCTTTCCTTCTTAATGTGTTTGAGCCAATCAGTTGTGTTGTGACAAGGTAGGGTTGGTATACAGAAGATAGCCCTATTTGTTAAAAGACCAAGTCCATATTATGGCAAGAACAGCTCAAATAAGCAAAGAGAAATGACAGTCCATCATTACTTTAAGACATGAAGGTCAGTCAATACGGAACATTTCAAGAACTTTGAAAGTTTCTTCAAGTGCAGTCGCAAAAACCATCAAGCGCAATGATGAAACTGGCTCTCATGAGGACCGCCACAGGAAAGGAAGACCCAGAGTTACCTCTGCTGCAGAGGATATGTTCATTAGAGTTAACTGCACATCCGATTACAGCCCAAATAAAGGCTTCACAGAGTTCAAGATTTCAGAGGAGACTGCGTGAATCAGGCCTTCATGGTCGAATTGCTGCATGGAAACTACTACTAAAGGTCACCAATAAGAAGAAGAGACTTGCTTGGGCCAAGAAACACGAGCAATGGACATTAGACCGGTGGAAATCTGTCCTTTGGTCTGATGAGTCCAAATTTAGATTTTTGGTTCCAACCGCTGAGTCTTTGTGAGACGCAGAGTAGGTGAACGGATGATCTCCGCATGTGTGGTTCCCACCGTGAAGCATGGAGGAGGAGGTGTGATGGTGTGGGGGTGCTTTGCTGGTGACACTGTCTGTGATTTATTTAGAATTCAAGGCACACTTACCCAGCATGGCTACCACAGCATTCTGCAGCGATATGCCATCCCATCTGGTTTGCGCTTAGTAGGACTATCATTTGTTTTTCAACAGGACAATGACCCAAAACACACCTCCAGGCTGTGTAAGGGCTATTTGACCAAGAAGGAGAGTGATGGAGTGCTGCATCAGATGACCTGGCCTTCACAATCACCCGACCTCAACCCAATTGAGATGGTTTGGGATGAGTTGGACCACAGAGTGAAGGAAAAGCAGCCAACAAGTGCTTAGCATATGTGGGAACTCCATCAAGACTGTAGGAAAAGCATTCCTCATGAAGCTGGTTGAGAGAATGCCAAGAGTGTGCAAAGCTGTCATCAAGGCAAAGGGCGGCTACTTTGAAGAATCTAAAATGTTAAATATATTTTCATTTGTTTAACACTTTATTGGTTACTACATGATTCCATATGTGTTATTTCATAGTTTTGATGTCTTCACTATTAATCTACAATGTAGAAAATAGCAAAAATAAAGAAAAACCCTTGAATGTGTAGGTATGTCCAAACTTTTGACAGCTACTGTATATAAAAAAAATTGCCAAATCAAAAATGTTGCATTTTCAATATGCATGTTTATATTTTCCTATATTCATAAATGAATGTAAAAAAAACTTATTGAAATCAAAATACTACCCATATTACAAAGCAAGCGGTAAAGCTTCAAATGACACCAATTTTTGCTTTGTAGCATCTATAAAACATTATGGAGTCTTTAAAGGAGGCCTGGGTAAGACCAAAATGTAAAATATTCCAACTTCACTGAATTCTTTCTCAAGTATGCTTTAAGATACAAATGTCAAATATTTGTCAACAATCCTTCCTCCAAAGGACCCTTTTTTATTTATTTTTATTTAAATGTCGTGAAAATACATAGTTTCATGAGGATTCGCCCATATACGGCAACACTTTTCACAATTCAGTGTGAATGCTGTCGTATTGTTCTGGGCTTGCTTCAAGTCTCTGCAAGTTTAGGTGATGAACATTTCCTGCATGTTCTTGTAGGTGCACTACAAGAGTATTTTTCTCACAGAACAGCCTATGGAAATTGTGTTAACCATACCAAACTCCCATCTTAACACCATAAGATGTACACCATGTAACCACTAGACTTTCCAAATCTTTGAAAGAGGCCAGACTGATTTATTTCACTTTCAAAATATTGAGGTTTTCAAATAAAGGAAGAGTTTCTCAAACATTATGAGAGTACACTACTTTTTCTTCAAACACCCTTGTTAGATCACCTACAGAACTGTAACAAGGGCTTTGATAAGACTTCAGTCTATGAGTACTGACTTAATTGTGGGTGCTACTTAACAGTCGAGTACACAGTGGCCGGTGTGCTTGGAACCCGCTGTTTGTTATTAATGTTGACTTTTTTATATGTCGATATGCTATTCAAAGACAAAAGAGCTCCTACCGTGGTAGGTTTGGGCACAGACCAGTCATCTGACACTGGACTTGATACAGCCTACTTCCTGTCAATTTGAATGTCACAGAGAACCTCTTCATATTTTCCTCTGAAAGAAAATATAGCCTAGTGTTCTGGAAGGATGTGTATTTGTGCAATAACCAGTGCAGCCTCGAGTCCAGACATGCAAATAGGTTCTAGCCTACTCCCAATGTTGAGTGAAACTTAACTGCTATGTCACTGTTTTATAACCTTTTTCTGTCATCATGTATTTGTTGTTACCTTCACCTCAGAAATCTTAGCCTGTTCATTGATTGAAACAACAGTTTTACTCCTCAAACAATGACATAGTAGTGGACTAGCCTTTTCTGTTTGGACTGCAAAATATGAAAAATAACCTTTTCTTTGTTCTGTTCCCTCAGAATGTCTGCGCATGAATGTCCACCCTGACAAAGATGCCACTGTGACTGTGTCGTCCTCACTGTTCCTTCCGTTGGAACAGTGTTCTGTGTGCACAGTCCGTGGTGGTGAGAATGACACCCAGACAGCCTGTCACTCATCTCTGGCCCTGGTCCCAGATGAGGACATCACCTTGCTCTTCAACTGTACTGAACCGCCACAGAGTGCCTTCACCATCCAGATCCACAGGAAAATCGGTGAGTCTAGAGAAACATTGTAGTATTGGGTTTCCTGTTAGATTGCCAGCTCAATTCGATCAAACCAGTCAAAAAGACGCACAACACAGACAGCTGCTTCAGAATTTGACATGTATGCTGGGGGTGGTAGTTGTGTCAACAAAGATACTGCATAAAAACCGCAAAGGCCACCTTTCAAATCTGGCACTAAGGGTGAACCGTTAAAGCAGGTTTTGTTTGGATTTCTTCTCCTCTTACTTGTTATGTGATTTTATTTTACCCAGAATGCACCGAGGACTCCTGCAGCCCTGCCACAGGTGCAGCTCAGCCTTCCCTCTTCCCAGAGTTCATTAGAACCCTCGTCTGGCACATAAATGTGCCAGAGAAGACCATTTTGAGTTTGGACTTCCCTAGTGACAGGCTGAAGGAGATGACTGAATCTGAGATGTGTCAAGATGGCTACCAGTATGCTGTAACCAGGACCAGCACTGAAGAAGAGGTCAAAACTCAGACATACTGCAGGAATGGCTTTGTGGCTCACCTAGATATAATGAGCAACGCCACAGTGTCTTTTCAAGTTCAAAATGGCGGAGAGGTGAATTCCTCTATATTCACGGCCACTGCCAAACTAATGGAGAAACGTAAGCTCTGTCAACTCTTCTGTTCATGCCTCACAATAATGTGAGCAATGTACACTATATATAGAAAGGTATGTAGACACCCCTTCAAATTAGTGGATTCGGCTATTTCAGCCACACCCGTTGGTGACAGGTGTATAAAATCGAGCACATAGCCATGCAATCTCCATAGACAAACATTGGCAGTAGAATGGCCTTACTGAAGAGCTCAGTGACTTTCAACGTGGCACCGTCATAGGATGCTACCTTTCCAACCAATCCACATACTTTTGGTAATGTAGTTTATGTACAATAAATTATATTTTGTTGAAAACAGAACATTCAATATACTGAACAAAAATATAAATGCAACATGCAACAATTTCAAAGATGTTACTGAGTTACAGTTCATATAAGGAAATCAGTCAATTGAAATAAATAAATTAGGCCCTAATCTATGGATTTCACATGACTAGGAATACAGATACAGTGAGGGAAATAAGTATTTGATCCCCTGCTGATTTTGTACGTTTGCCCACTGACAAAGACATGATCAGTCTATAATTTTAATGGTAGGTTTATTTGAACAGTGAGAGACCGAATAACAACAAAAAAATCCAGAAAAACGCATGTCAAAAATGTTATAAATTGATTTGCATTTTAATGAGGGAAATAAGTATTTGACCCCTCTGCAAAACATGACTTAGTACTTGGTGGCAAAACCCTTGTTGGCAATTCAGCTCCCTCCACAGATTTTCTATGGGATTAAGGTCTGGAGACTGGCTAGGCCACTCCTGGACCTTAATGTGCTTCTTCTTGAGCCACTCCTTTGTTGCCTTGGCCGTGAGTTTTGGGTCATTGTCATGCTGGAATCCCCATTTACGACCCATTTTCAATGCCCTGGCTGAGGGAAGGAGGTTCTCACCCAATATTTGACGGTACATGGCCCCGTCCATCGTCCCTTTGATGCGGTGAAGTTGTCCTGTCCCCTTAGCAGAAAAACACCCCCAAAGCATAATGTTTCCACCTCCATGTTTGACGGTGGGGATGGTGTTCTTGGGGTCATAGGCAGCATTCCTCCTCCTCCAAACACGACGAGTTAAGTTGATGCCAAAGAGCTTGATTTTGGTCTCATCTGACCACAACACTTTCACCCAGTTCTCCTCTGAATCATTCAGATGTTCATTGGCAAACTTCAGACGGGCCTGTATATGTGCTTTCTTGAGCAGGGGGACCTTGCGGGCGCTGCAGGATTTCAGTCCTTCGCGGCGTAGTGTGTTACCAATTGTTTTCTTGGTGACTATGGTCCCAGCTGCTTTGAGATCATTGACAAGATCCTCCCGTGTAGTTCTGGGCTGATTCCTCACCGTTCTCATGATCATTGCAACTCCACGAGGTGAGATCTTGCATGGAGCCCCAGGCCGAGGGAGATTGACAGTTATTTTTGTGTTTCTTCCATTTGCGAATAATCGCACCAACTGTTGTCACCTTCTCACCAAGCTGCTTGGCGATGGTCTTGTAGCCCATTCCAGCCTTGTGTATGTCTACCATCTTATACCTGACATCCTTGGAGAGCTCTTTGGTCTTGGCCATGGTGGAGAGTTTGGAATCTGATTGATTGATTACTTCTGTGGACAGGTGTCTTTTATACAGGTAACAAGCTGAGATTAAGAGCACTCCCTTAAAGAGTGTGCTCCTAATCTCAGCTCGTTACCTGTATAAAAGACACCTGGGAGCCAGAAATCTTTCTGATTGAGAGGGGGTCAAATACTTATTTCCCTAATTAAAATGCAAATCAATTTATAACATTTTTGACATGCGTTTTTCTGGATTTTGTTGTTGTTATTCTGTCTCTCACTGTTCAAATAAACCTACCATTCAAATTATAGACTGATAATTTCTTTGTCAGTGGGCAAACGTACAAAATCAGCAGGGGATCAAATACTTTTTTCCGTCACTGTATGCGTACACTACATGACCAAAAGTATGTGGACACCTGCTTGTCGAACATCTCATTCCAAAATCATGGGCATGAATATGGAGTTGGTCCCTCCTTTGCTGCTATAACAGCCTCCACTCTTCTGGGAAGGCTTTCCACTAGATGTTGGAACATTACTGCGGGGACTTGCTTCCATTCAGCCACAAGAGCATTAGTGAGGTCGGGCATTGATGTTGGGCAATTAGGCCTGGCTCGCAGTCGGCGTTCCAATTCATCCCAAAGGTGTTCGATGGGGTTGAGGTGAGGGCTCAGTGCAGGCCAGTCAAGTTCTTCCACACTGATCTTGACAAACGATTTCTGTATGGACCTTGCTTTGTGCACGAGGGCATTGTCATGCTGAAACAGGAAAGGGCCTTCCCCAAACTTTTGCCACAAAGTTGGAAGCACAGAATCGTCTATAATGTATTTGTATGCTGTAGCATTAAGATTTCCCTTCACTGGAACTAAGGGGCCTATCCCGAACCATGAAAAACGGCCCCAGACCATTATTCCTACTCCACCAAAGTTTACAGTTGCTACTATGCATTGGGGCAGGTAGCGTTCTCTTGGCATCTGCCAAACCCAGATTAGTCTGTCAGACTGCCAGATTGTGAAGTGTGATTCATCACTCTTGAGAATGTGTTTCCACTGCTCCGGAGTCCAATGGCGGTGAGCTTTACACCACTCCAGCCAACGCTTGGCATTGTGCATGGTGATCTTAGTGTTGTGTGCGACTTCTCGGCCATGGAAAACCATTTCATGAAGCTCCCGACAAACGGTTCTTATGCTGACGTTGGTTCCAGAGGCAGTTTGGAACTCGGTAGTGAGTGTTGCAAACGAGGGCAGATAATTTTTTATGCGCTACGCACTTCAGCACTCGCCGGTCCCGTTCTGTGAGCTTGTGTGGCCTACCACTTCGTGGCTGAGCCGTTGTTGCTTCTAGACGTTTCCACTTCACAATAACAGCACTTACAGTTGACCGGGGCAGCTCTAGCAGGGCAGAATTTTGATGAACAGACTTGTTGGAAAGGTGGCATCCTATGACGGTGCCACGTTGAAAGTCCCTGAGCTCTTCAATACAGGCCATTCTACTGCCATTGTTTGTCTATGGAGATTGTATTGCTGTGTGCTCGATTTTATACACCTGTCAGCAACGGGTGTGGCTGAAATAGCTGAATCCATTCATTTGAAGGGGGGTCCACATACTTTTGTATATGTAGTGTACCTTGAAAAAAAAATATGGGCCTCACAATGGGTCTGCGGTTGTGAGGCCGGTTGGACGTACTGCCAAATTCTCAAAAACGATGTTGGAGGTGGCTTATGGTAGAGAAATGAACATTCAATTCTCTGGCAACAGCTCTGGTGGACATTCTTGCAGTCAGCATGCCAATTGCACGCTCCCTCAACTTGAGATATCTGTGGCATTGTATTGTGTGACAAAACTGCACATGTTGGAGTGGCCTTTTATTGCCCCCGGCACAAGGTGCACCTGTGTAATGATCATGCTGTTTAATCAGCTTCTTGATATGCCACACCTGTCAGGTGGATGGATTATCTTGGCAAAGAAGAAATGCTCACTAACAGGGATGTAAACAAATTTGTGCACAACATTTGAGAGAAATAACCTTTTGTACGAATGGAGCATTTCTGTGATCTTTTATTTCAGCTCATGAAACATGGGACCAACACTTTACATGTTGCATTTATATTTTTGTTCAGTGTAGTTTGAGTGCTTACGTTTCAAATCTTCCTCAGAGAGCCGGATGATGTCAGTGACCCCAGAGCCAGACACTATCGTCACCATCAGCAGAGACACCAAAGCCAAAGAGTGCAGTGTGTGTGTTGGGGAGGGGCCTACCTGCACCTCCAAAGAACTCGTCCTGAGAGACGCCCGCAACACCTCTGTGAAGTTCACCTGCCCACGGCCACAATATGTCTTCAGTGTGCAGATCAACAGGGAAATTGGTAAGATGCCTCCGACCCATTTTCCTCGCCTCAACAGGGCCCTGACCAGACCTGTTTTCTTGTAGCACTTGATTGAGCTTGCCTGGCACAATGGACCCAATAAGAGAGTCTCAAAAGTGTAAACCCTGCTCATCAGTTAGCTTCACTAACCACGATTCCATCCAAATATTTTATGCAAGTAGAGTCATACCCCATAAAAACTAAATCACGATGGAAACAACAGGAGGTTTCGTTACAATTTTTTAAATGGCGATAGATAATTTGTTCGTTAGACATGGTGGGAACTTTTTGTGTCTAAAATTAATTATGCGCAAATATTTATATAATAATCATCATATCGAAGTAAACTTGGAGTCAGGCTATAATATGATGTGTGGTCTTCACACTACGACTGGGGAAACCATTCAGTTTATTAGGCTACAGATTAAATAAATTATGATGAACTTCACAGGGTGTTACACAGTGATGAGTTTGATGCTCCTTTTCAATAAATATTGAGGGTCTTATTCTGGTGACATGATGATCGATGCTTGACTGCCGTTTGACAGATAATAACATTCTCTCTCTTATCCATAATAATCTAATCATGTAGACTAGTCTACCCGCACAGCCTACCCGTACTGGATCTGAGCGGTTGGCTAGAGCGCACGTGCCAAGACCAGAGTAGGCACATTTGCTATTTAACGCAACAGTTTTTGTGACCAACCTATTGGCAGAGTTGAAAATGCGATGGAAACACATTGAACTTTTAGATTTTTATTCGGTACATTAAAACGTAAGTGAAAAAGTACATTTTGTGTGCACCACATCATCACGCACTGAAACAAGTTAGTTTGGTGGAAACACACCATGGGTGGAAAATGCGCATATTTTCTTTATGCAGATTTTAGAATATTCGCATGATCTGTCGCCAATTGGATGTTTTTCCTCCTCCAGATTGCACAGAGATCGCCTGCAGCGGGAACATCGTCCAGGCGGAGTCCTCCCTCTTCCCAGACTTCAACAGAACCTTCACCTGGGACCTGAAGGTTCCACCCCGCCTGTCCTTCCAGCTGGACTTCCCATCGCCGGGAATGAGACAGATCCCACCCTCTGAAACCTGTCCTGACGAGCATACCTACACCATCATCACGTACCAGCGCACCGGGCCCGCCACCATCGGCATGTTCTGCCCAGATGGCACCATCACCACGGTCCAGGTGCTGTACAAGGGCCGAGTGTCCCTGCAGGTCCCTGGGAACAGGAAGCTGGAGCCGCTGGACTTCAAGGTCACTGTTGGGCCGGAGATTAAAAGTGAGTGTCTGGCAGCTGTTGGAGGAGCCATAGAAAATGAATGCCTTTTGAGGTCACTGAGGTAATCTCTATTAGCCTATATTTATTCAGTAGACCTCCCTTGACAGAATTACTCATGTCATTATACCTAATTTAACCCTCTTCCTTCCAGTGTTGGCTGTGGTAAAAGTCAGTCTACCTCGAGGGGTGTCAGATACAAACTTTCTCTCAGCCAACTACCCTAGAGGTTTTCCTGACGATGACCTGATGAGGTGGGACTTCATGGTGCCCGGCATGCATAACTACACAGTTAACTTCCTAAATCACACGGCGCCTCTCTGCCGGAAGAAGAAAGTAATGGTGATGTACGACAAGGAGGGAGGGGAGGTGGGCATCCAGAAGACCCTGGTGGATCCCCAGCCAACACACAGGCAGGGCAGCTTCACCATGACCATGTTGAACTGTGAGACAGACAGGACCAAACAGGGCTTGTCGCTCCACTTCAGGCTCTCTGTAATGAGGAGCGGCCATCCAGGTACAAAGACTATTGGCGATCATAAATTGTTATATGACATGATTTGTGTTGTAATCAATCACAAATAAGATCCAAAGATGCTTATTTATTCTTTGCATGCAATCTGTTAAACCAAACCTAGACTTTTCCAAACCAATATACCACTAATATTTCCATTATAAACTTTTGAATAAACTTATTGTGGCATAAAATTAGCCTGATCATTCATTCAATCAAATTAATTGAGTGGTGATCAGTAACCTATTTCTCCGAGGATGATTGTGCCTGTCTGTCTTGTATTCCTGGTCAGTTCTCTGCACTATAAATCTGTCAGAGGAGGAAGGGCCATTCCTCCACATTGAGAAGAGGGGCTCTGACTCCAACTGTGAGATGAGGAAGGACTCTGTGGTCCAGGAGGAAATCACAGTTCCCTCAGGGACCAAAGCCAGCCTTTCTTTCCTGGACTGTCCAAGTGAAGACCTACATCTGACAGCCAGCAAAACCATAGGTACTGTAACAATACATACAGTAGCATTGCATGTATTGCCTCCAAAATAACTTAACTTGACATAGGAACTATAGTACTATGGACAGTATTTATGCCATTCTCACTTAAGCTTGTTGTTAGAGTATCTTTGTGACAAAGCTAGAACAAATGGTCTTTGTGTTTGTGTATTATCCAAATCTAAGGATGTGATGCACCAATAATATTCATGTACAGTGCCTTCAGAAAGTATTCACATCCCTAGACTTTTTTCACATTTTGTTGTTGAGATGTGTCATGAGATGATAAGTATTCAACCCCTTTGTTATGGCAAGCCTAAATACGTTCAGGAGTAAAGATTTGCTTAACAGGTCACATAATTAGGTGCATGAACTCACACTGTGTGCAATAATGGTGTTTAACATGATTTTTGAATGATTACCTCATCTCTGTACCCCACATATACAATTATCTGCAAGGTCCCTCAATTGAGCAGTGAATTTCAAACACAGATTCAACCACAAAGAAGGTTTTCCCATGAAAAGAAGGGCATATTTTGGTAGACTACTTAAGTAGTTTTTTTTTAGGTATCTGTAATTACTATTTATATTTTTGACAACTTTTAATTCACTACATTCGTAAAGAAAATGATGTACTTTTTACTCCATACATTTTTCCTGACACCCAAAATTACATTTTGAATGCTTAGCAGGACAGGAAAATGGTCTAATTCACACACTTATCAAGAGAACATTACATTTACATGTACATTTTAGTCATTTAGCAGACACTCTTATCCAGAGCGACTTACAGTTAGTGAGTGCATACATTTTATTTATCGAACCCACAACCCTGGCGTTGCAAGCGCCATGCTTTACCAACTGAGCTACACGGGGCCCAGTTGGTCATCGCTACTGCCTCAGATCTGGCGGACTCACTAAACACATGCTTCATTTGTAAATGATGTCTGAATGTTGGAGTGTGCCCCTGGCCAGCCTTAAATTAAAAATATTAGAAAATGGTGCTGTCTGGTTTGATTAATATAAGGAATTTGAAATTATGAATACTTTTACTTTTGATACTTAAGTATATTTAAAACCAAATACTTTTTGACTTTTACTGAAGTAGGATTTTACTGGGTGACTTTCACTTTTACTTGAGTTATTTTCTATTAAGGTACAGTACCAGTCAAAAGTTTGGACACCTACTCATTCAAGGGTTTTTCTTTATTTTTACTATTTTCTACATTGTAGAATAATAGTGAAGACATCAAAACTATGAAATAACACATATGGAATCTTGTAGTAACCAAAAAAGTGTTAAACAAATCGAAATATATTTTATATTTGAGATTCTTCAAATAGCCACCCTTTGCCTTGATGACAGCTTTGCACACTCTTTGCATTCTCTCAACCAGCTTCACCTGGAATACTTTTCCATCAGTCTTGAAGAAGTTCCCACATATGCTGAGCACTTGTTGGCTGCTTTTCCTTCACTCTGCGGTCCGACTCATCCCAAACCATCTCAATTCTGCAGCACTCCATCACTCTCCTTCTTGGTAAAATAGCCCTTACACAGCCTGGAGGTGTGTTGGGTAATTGTCCTCTTGAAAAACAAATTATAGTCTCACTTAACCCAAACCAGATGGGATGGCGTATCGCTGCAGAATGCTGTGGTAGCCATGCTAGTTAAGTGTGCCTTGAATTCTAAATAAATCACAGACCGTGTCACCAGCAAAGCACCCCCACACCATAACACCTCCTCCTCCATGCTTTACAGTGGAAACTACACATGCAGAGATCATCCGTTCACCCACATCCGCGTCTCACAAAGACACGGCGGATGGAACCAAAAATCTCCAATTTGGACTCGAGACGAAAGGACACATTTCCACCGGCCTAATGTCCATTGCTCGTGTTTCTTGGCCCAAGCAGGTGTCTTCTTCTTATTGGTGTCCTTTTTAGTAGTGGTTTCTTTGCAGCAATTCGACCATAAGGGCCTGATTCACACAATCCCCTCTGAACAGTTGATGTTGAGATGTGTCTGTTACTTGAACTCTGTGAAGCATTTATTTGGGCTGCAATTTCTGAGGCTGGTAACTCTAATGAACTTATCCTCTGCAGCAGAGTTAACTTTGGGTCTTCCATTCCTGTGGCGGTCCTCATGAGAGCCAGTTTCATCATAGCGTTTGTTGGTTTCTGCCACTGCACTTGAAGACACTTTCAAAGTTCTTGACATTTTCCATATTGACTGACCTTCATGTCTTAAAGTAATGATGGACTGTCGTTTCTCTTTGTTATTTGAGCTGTTCTTGCCATAATATGGACTTGGTCTTTTACCAAATAAGGCTATCTTCTGTATACCAACCCTACCTTGTCACAACACAACTGATTGGCTCAAATGCATTAAGATGGAAAGAAATTCCACAAATTAACTTTTAACAAGGCACACCTGTTAATTGAAATGCATTCCAGGTGACTACCTCCATGAAGCTGGTTGGGAGAATGCCAAGCATGTGCAAAGAGTGGCTATTTGAAGAATCTCAAATATCAAATATATTTTGGTTGTTTAACACTTTTGGTTACTACATGATTCCATATGTGTTATTTCATCATTTTGATGTCTTCACTATTGTTCTACAATGTAAAAATAAAGAAAAACCCTTCAATGAGTAGGTGTGTCCAAACTTTTGACTGGTAGTGTATCTTTACTTTTACTCAAGTATGACAATTGGGTACTTTTTCCACCACTGTTCATTACACTTTGGATGGTGTATCAATACACCCAGTCACTACAAAGATGCAGGTGTCCTTCCTAACTCATTTGCCGGAGAGGAAGGAAACCGCTTAGGGATTTCACCATGAGGCCAATGGTGACTTTAAAACCGTTAGAGTTTAATGGCTGTGATAGGCGAAAACTGAGGATGGATCAACAACATTCTAGTTACTACACAATACTAACCTAATTGACAGAGTGAAAAGAAGGAAGCCTGTACAGAATAAAATATTCCAAAACATGCATCATGTTTGCAACAAGGCACTAAAGTAATACTGTAAAAGATTTGGCCTGAATACAGTGTTATGTTTGGGGCAAATACAACACATTATTGAGTACCACTCTCCATATTTTCAAACACAGTGGTGGCTGTATCATGTTATGGGTATGCTTCTAATCGTTAAGGACAGTTTTTCAGGATAAAAAAAGAAATGGAATGGAGCTAAGCACAGGCAAAATTCTAGAGGAAAACCTGGTTCAATCTGCTTTCCACCAGACACTGGGAGATAAATTCACCCTTTAGCACAAAGCCAAATCTACATTGGAGTTGCTTATCAAGAAGACTGTGAATGTCGAGTTAGTTTTGACTTAAATCTGCTTGAAAATCTATGGCAAGACCTGAAAAATGGTTGTCAAGCAATGATCAACAACGAATTTGACAGAGCTTTTAGAATTTCTTTAAAGGATAATGGGCAATTGTTGCACAATCCAGGTGTGGAAAGCTCTTAGAGACTTACCCAGAAAGAGTCACAGCTATAATCGCTGCCAAAGATGATTCTAACATGTATTGACTCAGGGGGTTGAATACTTATCTAATCAAGATATGTGTTTTATTTCTCTAGATTGTTTTGACACATTTTATCATTTTTCTTCCACTTTGACATTGGACTATTTTGTGTAGATCATTGACAAAAAATGACATCCATTTTATTCCCACTTTGTAACACAACAAAATGTGGAAAAAGTCAAGGGGTGTGAATACTCTGAAGGCCCTGTCTGTAAACTATTATAACATCTCAAGCCTTTGTGGATCTATTCCAGGATGCCAGAGTTTGGAGTCGTGCTCGGTGAGTGGGACTCTTCTCACGGTCCCCAAAATGCCGACGTGCCTCCCTACGCTACTAGAAAGCTTCACTTGGCACCTCAACATCCCAGTATATGGCACCGTGGATCTACTGTCCCCCACAGGAAACCTCAGGCAGTCCCTGCCAGGACAGGAGTGCAATGGCAGTGTCTCCCTTCACATAGCCGAGGGTGATGGGTCCTCCATTGGCTACTTCTGCTCCGAAGGCGTCATTCACAAAGTCCAAGTGCACTCCAACGTCTCTGTCACTGCCACAGCCAAGGACCTTAGCCTGATTCAAGGGCCTTTCCTCAATGTGTCCTTCAGTGACGAAATTTCAGGTAACTAACCATCTTTGCAATCTTTTGTTTTTCATGTTTTAAATCTTTTAAAGTAACTGTCCAGTGAAAATCTCATATTCTGTTAACTTATACCCAAATGGACTCATCCTATATCCCCATTGGTGGCCAAAGCATAAATTGACTTTAAAAACTTGTATCAAACTTGTATCTCAAACAGACCGTTTAAAAAGTATTTGCTATTTCCTCAGAGTATGATATCATACTCCTGAGGAGGATGAGCTGGCCAATCAGCAGTCTATTTATAATTAATATTTTTAATGACCGGTATACGCCCACACCATTCTGTTGTTGGGGTACGCCTAGAGCTGTTACGTTGACCGTATTAACGCCACACCGGCGGTCACGAGTCATGAAGGCAGTCAAATTCCATGTGACCATTTAGTCACTGTAATTAGGCTTCTCCAAGTGCTGATGCTGCTGATGGTTATTAGTAGCCTACCAAACTTGCTAACTGCCTGGTACTCAGCACTCTATTGTCCCTATAATCACTCTTACATCAAAGCAAATGTCATCGAAAATCTAATCAAACACTTCATGAGAGCTCAAAAGAGTGATGGCCTCTATTAAAAAGAGGAGGATCCCATCAGCTTTCTATAGGCTTACTATTTATTTCTCAACATTCCTAATGTTAAGCACATTGCTATTCTTTACAACCCGAGTATAGCCTACCTGGCTGGCATGAAAATGAACGACGGGAAAAGCATCCTCCATTCCCTGTTTAAGTTCATAGATGACGTATTTTTTTCCCCTGCCCCTGTTCCGAGACAGGTGCATGATAATGGTCCATTCTAAATCAAAACTAATTTCACACACATTATTTATGATATGTAAAGACAAGATTAAATCAAGAATAGTCTGATGGGTGACAATATTAGTCTATCACTTGTGAATGATATATTATCACTTCTGAATGATGATAAACGGGCGGCAGGTAGCTTAGTGGTTAAGAGCGTTGTGCCAGTAACCGAAAGGTCGCTGGTTCTAATCCCCGAGCCGACTAGGTGAAAAATCTGTCGATGTGCCCTTGAGCAAGGCACTTAACCCTAATTGCTCCTGTAAGTCGCTCTGGATAAGAGCGTCTGCTAAATGACCAAAAAAAAAAAAAAAGATAAACAAATAATTAAAATAATAATAATAATTTAAAAAAATAAAGTAATCCTTCTACACCCCACCCCCCCATTAAAAAATAAATAAAATAAATAAAATAAAAATAGTGGTTGTCTCACTGGCTATCATAAGTTGAATGCACCAATTTGGAAGTCGCTCTGGATAAGAGCGTCTGCTAAATGATGTATATGTAAATGTAATGCCCAGTGTAAGGCAAGAAACAATGCCTTTTTTTGCGACTTTTTCTAATCATAGTCACACACCTCATGTAGCCTAGCCCATAGGCCTACAGTGGGGGAAAAAAGTATTTAGTCAGCCACCAATTGTGCAAGTTCTCCCACTAAAAAAGATGAGAGAGGCCTCTAATTTTCATCATAGGTACACGTCAACTATGATAGACAAATTGAGAAGAAAAAAAATCCAGAAAATCACATTGTAGGATTTTTAATGAATTTATTTGCAAATTATGGTGGAAAATAAGTATTTGGTCACCTACAAACAAGCAAGATTTCTGGCTCTCACAGACCTGTAACTTCTTCTTTAAGAGGCTCCTCTGTCCTCCACTCGTTACCTGTATTAATGGCACCTGTTTGAACTTGTTATCAGTATAAAAGACACCTGTCCACAACCTCAAACAGTCACACTCCAAACTCCACAATGGCCAAGACCAAAGAGCTGTCAAAGGACACCATAAACAAAATTGTAGACCTGCACCAGGCTGGGAAGACTGAATCTGCAATAGGTAAGCAGCTTGGTTTGAAGAAATCAACTGTGGGAGCAATTATTAGGAAATGGAAGACATACAAGACCACTGATAATCTCCCTCGATCTGGGTCTCCACGCAAGATCTCACCCCGTGGGGTCAAAATGATCACAAGAACGGTGAGCAAAAATCCCAGAACCACACGGGGGGACCTAGTGAATGACCTGCAGAGAGCTGGGACCAAAGTAACAAAGCCTACCATCAGTAACACACTACGCCGCCAGGGACTCAAATCCTGCAGTGCCAGACGTGTTCCCCTGCTTAAGCCAGTACATGTCCAGGCCCGTCTGAAGTTTGCTAGAGTGCATTTGGATGATCCAGAAGAGGATTGGGAGAATGTCATATGGTCAGATGAAACCAAAATAGAACTTTTTGGTAAAAAACTCAACTCGTCGTGTTTGGAGGACAAAGAATGCTGAGTTGCATCCAAAGAACACCATACCTACTGTGAAGCATGGGGGTGGAAACATCATGCTTTGGGGCTGTTTTTCTGCAAAGGGACCAGGACGACTGATCCGTGTAAAGGAAAGAATGAATGGGGCCATGTATCGTGAGATTTTGAGTGAAAACCTCCTTCCATCAGCAAGGGCATTGAAGATGAAACGTGGCTGGGTCTTTCAGCATGACAATGATCCCAAACACACCGCCCGGGCAACGAAGGAGTGCTTCGTAAGAAGCATTTCAAGGTCCTGGAGTGGCCTAGCCAGTCTCCAGATCTCAACCCCATAGAAAATCTTTGGAGGGAGTTGAAAGTCCGTGTTGCCCAGCGACAGCCCCAAAACATCACTGCTCTAGAGGAGATCTGCATGGAGGAATGGGCCAAAATACCAGCAACAGTGTGTGAAAACCTTGTGAAGACTTACAGAAAACATTTGACCTGTGTCATTGCCAACAAAGGGTATATAACAAAGTATTGAGAAACTTTTGTTATTGACCAAATACTTATTTTCCATCATAATTTGCAAATAAATTCATTAAAAATCCTACAATGTGATTTTCTGGATTTTTTTCCCCCTCATTTTGTCTGTCATAGTTGACGTGTACCTATGATGAAAATTACAGGCCTCTCTCATCTTTTTAAGTGGGAGAACTTGCACAATTGGTGGCTGACTAAATACTTTTTCCCCCCACTGTATATATTTTGAAAAGGTTTGTACCACAACTAAAGTGGCCAAATAACTTCTTAAAATTAAGCACATTAATCCGCTTTACAAGGGGTGTAGAGCCCAACTGGCATACATAAGCAGCGCGTGAGTTTCAAGTTTGGGAAATATAGCATTACACGCATAATCGCATTTGCGGTCACTTTTGATTATGGTGTTTTCCCGCTAATGGAACATTCGCGCTTATAGCCTATTGCCGTGTGCGCATTGCTGCGCTTATAATGTGAAGAAATAGCCTAATAGTTTATCAACATTGTAAGCTAAACGTTCTGATCTGTTGCGTCAGCTTCATTGCGTAAAAAATGTTTTTTGATGCTAGTGGTTGAATTAATTTGGGATCTATAATTTTTTTTAAAAATAAAATAATAAAATAAATTCAAAAACAAAACAAAAACTATATATATATATATATATATATATATATATATATATATATATATATATATATATATATATATATATATATAAAAGATCATTAAAAAATATACTATAAAAAAACAATTTGTAAAGTGGTTGTCCCACTGGCTATCATAAGGTGAATGCACCCATTTGTAAGTCGCTCTGGATAAGAGCGTCTGCTAAATGATGTAAATGTAAATCTATCGCATCCCACACCTGTCCCAGACTATGTTTGGAATATTTATTTCTCGCACAGAATAGAATAATAATAATATGCCATTTAGCAGACGTTTTTATCCAAAGCGACTGACAGTCATGTGTGCATACATTTTTACGTATGGGTGGTCCCGGGGATCGAAGCCACTACCCTGGCGTTACAAGCGCCATGCTCTACCAATTGAGCTACAGAGGACCATTTGTGCTATGGGGGATAGTAGATTGACATAGGCTAGTGCTTTTGCTGTTTGTTAGGCCTACTCATCTTGTTGGCTGACGAAAAGTACATGTGGACAGTTCTTCCAATATCTTCAATATGCACCTCGGAATTGGATAAGGACACGCACAGTTGCATCCCTGATGTGTCTGTCTTCACATGTAGCCTGTGAGAAAGACCCGATCACATGATGGAGAGCCATGTGAGTGAGAGGCGCTTCGTAGCACTCAAGGAGAGGGGAATTATAATTCATATATTTAGCCCAAGAGCACAATGGCCACTGGCTGCAAAAGGCATGGATTATTTTGTGGGCATTACAGCCACACAAAGGGGATGCCACCGGGAAATTCGAGGCATTATCAAGTGTTTGTCAAATTGTGAATGAGAGACATTTGAAGTGAAAACTGTTTGCGCAAGCAGGCAACTTTTTTCAAATCATAATTAGAGTCGCATCATGCAGCCTTACAATGTATGAAAAATCAAAACATATAGCCCAACGTTGGTAGGAGAACTAAAGTTAAAAAATTAAGCATATAGGAGTACCTATTTCTTTGTTAACCGCTCAACACAGACTAGCCGCACGTGCTTACTCCCTCAAATCGTTTGGAGAAAATATCCTTTCTATTTTATTCAGCTTTGTTAAATTGTATTCTTCATACTATAAAATAATGCCAAATCTTGTCTGCTAAATGAACTAGTGTAGCCCACAGCCATATGGCATAGCCAGATCAGGGCCTAACAAGAGGACAACTCAGAGTATGCTATTCTGTTTTTCTGAAATAGACTACATTTTCTTCATATCTTGTTTCTTTAGACCTGTCTAAAATAAATAATGGATTTATTGTGAATGAAGGTGTAGACATGGATTTATTACACTTTTTCAAATGTAGATGTTCCAAAGGTCTGCATCAGTGGCTTGTAAGCTATGTGTGGAAGCCAGGAGATGCTAAATGTGTTTATGTTAATTAACGGTCAATTACCGTGAGACCGGCAGTTATTTGCTTGACAATCACCGGCTGACATAATTTCGTGACTGCCACAGCCTAAGGTACGCCTACACCATTCCAACACAGAAAAGCTTATTTTTAACATACTTAATTACACTTTTTTTGGAAGGAAAACTATTTTGCTCATATTGTAATTAATTATAGGTCACATTTCATAGAAATCTGGAAACACTGGACAGTTACTTTATTCACTTACCTTTTTATGATTCCTTGTGTAACATCCACAAGAGGGCACTGAAATACATCAATAGCAAGGGGATTTGTTTAAAAAATGGATTCAGTGGAAAATTGCATTCTCCCTCTCTTCAACCACTGTGTTCAAAATGTTTAGAAAATGATTGTTCCTCATCACTTACTTTGTCTCTCAGAGAGCATCATATATACAGTCCAGCCCAGAATGGGTTTCCCTGCCCTCCTGGCCACCCCAAACTGGCCCAGCGGTATGAAGCCGTACTCCACCGTGTCCTGGATCGTCAATCTGCCGGGCCACCTCCAGGCCAACCTGCTGTTCACCAACATCAGCCAGCCGAAGTGTGGCCAGGGGCACACTTGCATCAAGGTGCAGACCCTGGGCTCTCCAGATGAGATATTGAGTCACAGGGAGGATGAGGAGGCAGAGGACAAGCTGTTGGTCGCCGAGAGCTTCTACCTCAACATGTCCAACTGTTTGCCGGAGGATAGACACTTCAGTGTGCTCAGCAAGGTCACCCTGCAGAAGACTAGCAGTAAGGACCTGTTTGTTATGTTATTATGGAGTTGTGACTGAATTATAATAATATAATTATAATATGCCATTTAGCAGACGCTTTTATCCAAAGCGACTTACAGTCATGCGTGCATACATTTCTGTGTATGGGTGGTCCCGGGGATCGAACCCACTACCTTGGCTTTACAAGCGCCGTGCTCTACCAGCTGAGCTACAGAGAACCACGGTTGTGTTAAGATATCTGCATAATTCTAGCATTTGTCTCTCAAGACCTTTCTGGTTATTTCAATAACTCTTAAGAGATCTTAAATTTGAGGGAAAAAGAAAACAATTGTTTATATTTCTTAAACGACGTCAATACACTTAGTGCACTTATTAGGGATACTTGATGTTCTCATAATCATCAACACTGTATTTAGGGGTGCTGGCAGTGAAGCTTGACTCAACTCAGAATATATGTTCATCCCTCTACTAAGTATGAAAAAAGCTAAGCGATATGTCAAAGATGGAAGAGAAAATCGTAACTTTCTACAAATAAATATTACGCTCTCAATCAAACCCAAATAATTCAACTTCTCTTCGCTCTATCAACTTGAAACTGATTGATGTTCTTGAGGGTAGGAAGGTGTATGCCAAAGCAGGTGTTGATAAAAAAAAAAAAAAAAAAAAAAAACAGCATTCAATTCAGTTGTGAACCTTAACTCAGCATGTATTACTGTCTCTAGTGCGTTTGAGAAAATCTAAGCAATACGTCAAAAGATGAGAAAATGGCATCTTCGTAAAACATTATTTACTTCCTCAATTAAACCCTAATAACTCCACTTCTCTTTGCTCTATCAACTTGAAACTTGCCATAGTGTTTTGAATTGTTACATGGAAGTTACATTGTCACAAGAGAGGATGTACAGTATAATGCTTCCATGCAACTTGTCTTTCAGCCTGCTCATAAACCAGCACCCCATTTCATTGCTACAGTAATTCTTACCATATCTAATCATGATTATCTCCTTGTGTGTGTCTCTGTAGAGCTGCTCCTGAGAGGCATCCTGGGGGCTGTGGGAGCAGTGCTGCTCCTTATGATCATTGTGCTGACAGTCGTCTGCTTGGTGCTAAGGTGAGAACACCTGCCTCACCAAAACAATCTGTATAGATTTTATGTTAAGGTCAATCTGAGGACATTGTACGACTTGGCTGTTTCCTCCACTGTAGATTGTCTGTTTGACTCAACCATTTGTATTCCTCTTTCGTGCTTTACAGGAAGAAGAAAAGAACGATGGTCAATGAGGCTTCCATCTACATAAGGAAAGGGAATATTTTCATCCCAGGCGACGGCGTGTTCCCCAAAACCCGGTCGGACAACGAGTCTCATGTATACGCCTCCATCGAAGACACCATGGTGTATGGCCACCTGCTCCGCGAGCCCAGCTATGTGGGCACCATCCAGGACCACTTCCAAGGACAGCCGGTCGACACCTACCGGACATTCATGCCGCTCCAGGACGGCGTGCCTGAGATCACAGAGACTGCTGCAGACCATGAGCCTGAACTGGTGCCTGAGAATGACATGTACAGACCTTTCCTGGACCCGTCGGAATCCTTCATCCCGTCGAGACCTCGCACGCCCATAGACCGCCAGGACAGCATGGGCTTCATGGACCGCAGGATGGTGGACAATGAGCTGTACACTTTCAAGAGCACTGGGGATATAAATACGATTCGACTGTCGGGTGCAGACCAAATCCTAGATCCAGAGATCTTCATCAACTCGGAGGGGGAGGAATCCATTTAGCGTACTGTGAGATGGACTACTGTTAATCATTTCACATAGCTCCAAGTGTTTCAAGTTCACTGCAGTGTAGAAATGGAGCGGAAATGTGCCTTTGCATAACATTCAGGGAGTCTGTATTAGTGGTGCGTCTACTGCACTAGACCATCAGACAACACTAGTACTACCTTTCATTGGAGCCTCTGAGTCTACGCTTCCTCCAAGCTCCTTGAAAGTAATTTCTGAAACAGCACATGGTGCTGCTCTTCTGTTTTTACCATACTGGTCTACTTGGTTTTTGTGTATATTTCTTGATTGTATTTTATCTTTGTTTTATATGCTAGTATGTACTTAATATAATTAATGTTGCCTGGGCCACTGGTGTGCCATGGATTTAGGAGCAGGGTTGCTTGTTTTGTTTCTTAGTTTTGTACCTAATGAGTAACCTTGGGTTACTTTTATTGCATCGTTTATGCTGTGTGCCAAAGCTTTTTCTCTGCCAATTCTTTTAATAAATTAATTTGACTTTTTGAGTGGTCTATGAAACTGTACAGCATGATATTGTGAATAATACGTTTTTTTAGGATAGATAAGGTAATCAATCCAAAACAAGATGCCTCTTAAAATACTTTAAAATACTAAAGACTTGCAAAGAAAAGACAAGGTTTCCTCCTTGTTGTGATGGGAAAAGTGACATTATTTCAACATTTGGCTAAAACCTGTGACCTTTTAAGTCCTGGCTTGAAGCTTGTTATAACCACAGGAACTACCATTGTTGAGAGGGACTTTTACAGGAAACAACTAAACCTTTAGCCAGATGCCAAGGGACATCAGATTGTGACAATCCTCTTGCGTCAATAAAATGTTGTTTAAAATTTTGTCGTGTCTCCTCTCAGTTCGAAGTAAAAAATATATATATATATATACACAGTGGGGAAAACAAGTATTTAATCAGCCACCAATTGTGCAAGTTCTCCCACTTAAAAAGATGAGAGAGGCCTGTAATTTTCATCATAGGTACACGTCAACTATGACAGACAAATTGAGGAAAAAAATTCCAGAAAATCACATTGTAGGATTTTTAATGAATTTATTTGCAAATTATGGTGGAAAATAAGTATTTGGTCACCTACAAACAAGCAAGATTTCTGGCTCTCACAGACCTGTAACTTCTTCTTTAAGAGGCTCCTCTGTCCTCCACTCGCTACCTGTATTAATGGCACCTGTTTGAACTTGTTATCAGTATAAAAGACACCTGTCCACAACCTCAAACAGTCACACTCCAAACTCCACTATGGCCAAGACCAAAGAGCTGTCAAAGGACACCAGAAACAAAATTGTAGACCTGCACCAGGCTGGGAAGACTGAATCTGCAATAGGTAAGCAGCTTGGTTTGAAGAAATCAACTGTGGGAGCAATTATTAGGAAATGGAAGACATACAAGACCACTGATAATCTCCCTCGATCTGGGGCTCCACGCAAGATCTCACCCCGTGGGGTCAAAATGATCACAAGAACGGTGAGCAAAAATCCCAGAACCACACGGGGGGACCTAGTGAATGACCTGCAGAGAGCTGGGACCAAAGTAACAAAGCCTACCATCAGTAACACACTACGCCACCAGGGACTCAAATCCTGCAGTGCCAGACGTGTTCCCCTGCTTAAGCCAGTACATGTCCAGGCCCGTCTGAAGTTTGCTAGAGTGCATTTGGATGATCCAGAAGAGGATTGGGAGAATGTCATATGGTCAGATGAAACCAAAATAGAACTTTTTGGTAAAAACTCAACTCGTCGTGTTTGGAGGACAAAGAATGCTGAGTTGCATCCAAAGAACACCATACCTACTGTGAAGCATGGGGGTGGAAACATCATGCTTTGGGGCTGTTTTTCTGCAAAGGGACCAGGACGACTGATCCGTGTAAAGGAAAGAATGAATGGGGCCATGTATCGTGAGATTTTGAGTGAAAACCTCCTTCCATCAGCAAGGGCATTGAAGATGAAACGTGGCTGGGTCTTTCAGCATGACAATGATCCCAAACACACCGCCCGGGCAATGAAGGAGTGGCTTCGTAAGAAGCATTTCAAGGTCCTGGAGTGGCCTAGCCAGTCTCCAGATCTCATCCCCATAGAAAATCTTTGGAGGGAGTTGAAAGTCCGTGTTGCCCAGCGACAGCCCCAAAACATCACTGCTCTAGAGGAGATCTGCATGGAGGAATGGGCCAAAATATCAGCAACAGTGTGTGAAAACCTTGTGAAGACTTACAGAAAACGTTTGACCTGTGTCATTGCCAACAAAGGGTATATAACAAAGTATTGAGAAACTTTTGTTATTGACCAAATACTTATTTTCCACCATAATTTGCAAATAAATTCATTAAAAATCCTACAATGTGATTTTCTGGAAAAAAAATTCTCATTTTGTCTGTCATAGTTGACGTGTACCTATGATGCAAATTACAGGCCTCTCTCATCTTTTTAAGTGGGAGAACTTGCACAATTGGTGGCTGACTAAATACTATTTTTCCCCACTGTATATACAGTGAGGGAAAAAAGTATTTGATCCCCTGCTGATTTTGGACGTTTGCCCACTGACAAAGACATGATCAGTCTATAATAAAAAATTAAAAAATTGTGGGCAGAACTGAAAAAGCGTGTGTGAGCAAGGAGGCCTACAAACCTGACTCAGTTACACCAGCTCTGTCAGGAGAAATGGGCCAAAATTCACCCAACTTATTGTGGGAAACTTGTGGAAGGCTACCCAAAACATTTGACCCAAGTTAAACAATTTAAAGGCAATGCTACCAAATACTAATTGAGTGTATGTAAACTTCTGACCCACTGAGAATGTGATGAAAGAAATAAAAGCTGAAATAAATCACTCTCTACTATTATTCTGACATTTCACATTCTTAAAATAGAGTGGTGATCCTAACTGACCTAAGACAGGGAATTTCTACTAGGATTAAATGTCAGGAATTGTGAAAAACCGAGGTTAAATGTATTTGGCAAAGATGTAAACTACTGATTTCAACTGTATGTATGTACAGTGGGGAGAACAAGTATTTGATACACTACCGATTTTGCAGGTTTTCCTACTTACAAAGCATGTAGAGGTCTGTAATTTTTATCATAGGTACACTTCAACTGTGAGAGACGGAATCTAAAACAAAAATCCAGAAAATCACATTGTATGATTTTTAAGTAATTAATTTGCATTTTACTGCATGACATAAGTATTTGATACATCAGAAAAGCAGAACTTAATATTTGGTACAGAAACCTTTGTTTGCAATTACAGAGATCATATGTTTCCTGTAGGTCTTGACCAGGTTTGCACACACTGCAGCAGGGATTTTGGCCCACTCCTCCATACAGACCTTCTCCAGATCCTTCAGGTTCTGGGGCTGTCGCTGGGCAATACGGACTTTCAGCTCCCTCCAAAGATTTTCTATTGGGTTCAGGTCTGGAGACTGGCTAGGCCACTCCAGGACCTTGAGATGCTTCTTACGGAGCCACTCCTTAGTTGCCTTGGCTGTGTGTTTCGGGTCATTGTCATGCTGGAAGACCCAGCCATGACCCATCTTCAATGCTCTTACTGAGGGAAGGAGGTTGTTGGCCAAGATCTCGCGATACATGGCCCCATCCATCCTCCCCTCAATACGGTGCAGTCGTCCTGTCCCCTTTGCAGAAAAGCATCCCCAAATAATGATGTTTCCGTCTCCATGCTTCACGGTTGGGATGGTGTTCTTGGGGTTGTACTCATCCTTCTTCTTCCTCCAAACACGGCGAGTGGAGTTTAGACCAAAAAGCTCTATTTTTATCTCATCAGACCACATGACCTTCTCCCATTCCTCCTCTGGATCATCCAGATGGTCATTGGCAAACTTCAGACGGGCCTGGACATGCGCTGGCTTGAGCAGGGGGACCTTGTGTGCGCTGCAGGATTTTAATCCATGACGGCGTAGTGTGTTACTAATGGTTTTCTTTGAGACTGTGGTCCTTACACAGCTCTCTGGTCTTGGCCATTGTGGAGAGGTTGGAGTCTGTTTGATTGAGTGTGTGGACAGGTGTCTTTTATACAGTTAACGAGTTCAAACAGGTGCAGTTAATACAGGTAATGAGTGGAGAACAGGAGGGCTTCTTAAAGAAAAACGAACAGGTCTGTGAGAGCCGGAATTCTTACTGGTTGGTAGGTGATCAAATACTTATGTCATGCAATAACATGCAAATTAATTACTTAAAGATCATACAATGTGATTTTCTGGATTTTTGTTTTAGATTCCGTCTCTCACAGTTGAAGTGTACCTATGATAAACATTACAGACCTCTACATGCTTTGTAAGTAGGAAAACCTGCAAAATCGTCAGTGTATCAAATACTTGTTCTCCCCACTGTATATGTATTTATATGTATGTACAGTGGGGAGAACAAGTATTTGATACACTGCCGATTTTGCAGGTTTTCCTACTTACAAAGCATGTAGAGGTCTGTAATGTTTATCATAGGTACACTTCAACTGTGAGAGACGGAATCTAAAACAAAAATCCAGAAAATCACATTGTATGATCTTTAAGTAATTAATTTGCATGTTATTGCATGACATAAGTATTTGATCACCTACCAACCAGTAAGAATTCCGGCTCTCACAGACCTGTTCGTTTTTCTTTAAGAAGCCCTCCTGTTCTCCACTCATTACCTGTATTAACTGCACCTGTTTGAACTCGTTAACTGTATAAAAGACACCTGTCCACACACTCAATCAAACTGACTCCAACCTCTCCACAATGGCCAAGACCAGAGAGCTGTGTAAGGACATCAGGGATAAAATTGTAGACCTGCACAAGGCTGGGATGGGCTACAGGACAATAGGCAAGCAGCTTGGTGAGAAGGCAACAACTGTTGGCGCAATTATTAGAAAATGGAAGAAGTTCAAGATGACGGTCAATCACCCTCGGTCTAGGGCTCAATGCAAGATCTCACCTTGTGGGGCATCAATGATCATGAGGAAGGTGAGGGAACAGCCCAGAACTACACGGCAGGACCTGGTCAATGACCTGAAGAGAGCTGGGACCACAGTCTCAAAGAAAACCATTAGTAACACACTACGCCGTCATGGATTAAAATCCTGCAGCGCACGCAAGGTCCCCCTGCTCAAGCCAGCGCATGTCCAGGCCCGTCTGAAGTTTGCCAATGACCATCTGGATGATCCAGAGGAGGAATGGGAGAAGGTCATGTGGTCTGATGAGACAAAAATAGAGCTTTTTGGTCTAAACTCCACTCGCCGTGTTTGGAGGAAGAAGAAGGATGAGTACAACCCCAAGAACACCATCCCAACCGTGAAGCATGGAGGTGGAAACATCATTCTTTGGGGATGCTTTTCTGCAAAGGGGACAGGACGACTGCACCGTATTGAGGGGAGGATGGATGGGGGCATGTATCGCGAGATCTTGGCCAACAACCTCCTTCCCTCAGTAAGAGCATTGAAGATGGGTCGTGGCTGGGTCTTCCAGCATGACAACGACCCGAAACACACAGCCAGGGCAACTAAGGAGTGGCTCCGTAAGAAGCATCTCAAGGTCCTGGAGTGGCCTAGCCAGTCTCCAGACCTGAACCCTATAGAAAATCTTTGGAGGGAGCTGAAAGTCCGTATTTTTCCAGCGACAGCCCCGAAACCTGAAGGATCTGGAGAAGGTCTGTATGGAGGAGTGGGCCAAAATCCCTGCTGCAGTGTGTGCAAACCTCGTCAAGACCTACAGGAAACTTATGATCTCTGTAATTGCAAACAAAGGTTTCTGTACCAAATATTAAGTTCTGCTTTTCTGATGTATCAAATACTTATGTCATGCAATAAAATGCAAATTAATTACATAAAAATCATACAATGTGATTTTCTGGATTTTTGTTTTAGATTCCGTCTCTCACAGTTGAAGTGTACCTATGATCAAAATTACAGACCTCTACATGCTTTGTAAGTAGGAAAACCTGCAAAATCGGCAGTGTATCAAATACTTGTTCTCCCCACTGTATGTGTACATGTATGTATATGTATATATACATATATTTGCGAGAAAAAAAAAAACATATGGGGGATTGGAAGACAATTATATTGATGGAAGTTACAATCTATCTGCAATTTTTAAGCTGATCTACCCCCTAAAAAAAGTAATATTATAGAAAAAGTATACCATCTGGAAACTGTGCTGTCAGAGCGCCTTTAGAAAATAGATACTGTTATTTATGTCCAAATGGTCCTGAACAATGCCAGTATGTGTGAATCTCACCTGACTGCAAAGCTTGTTGCTCCTTCATAATATTTAGATCCTGAACAATGTCATTGATCTGCTTCTGCAGCTCCTCTATTGCTGCAGCTTTGCCTTCATCTGGGGCCCAGCAGCACCACAGATCAAAAACAGGTGGAAAACAGGATCGACTCAATTAAAGATGACACAAAGTTTGAGCACTAGGCTCCTGCTCCAGTAAGGTGGCAATGCCAGATGTGTTGAAATTATTGATATTTGTTTTGCAGTTAATCTTCTGGAAAATGAGAGCTGTGTGTAACAAAAATGTAATATCTCTAAAATTCTAAATGATTTATTGATTAAAAACAATTTAAACAATGGACATAAATATAATATTCTGGCAATTATATAGTGTAAGGCACCCACCTTTTCTAAGCCTGCTGGAATGAGCAGTTCACCAGGAGGACTATTCCAAAAACCAAACAGGTTCTTCTGAACTCCATGGCTAGATCTGTTGTTGAATGACTACTTCAATGTGGAGCCTGGCAATTTCTCCTCTCCCTCTTCCACAAAATAAAAATACATGTGTAATTGAAAACTGCTGCCTGGACCTGGAGCTGTCCAACCTCAGGACCTGATACTCTCCCAGTCCGAGACATCGCATGCACAGACATCCTTGTCTGATGTCTGGACATCCCAGTGGTCCCACCCTGTACTTTGAAAGAGAACAATACTCACTTTATGATCAACTAAATTATTTGTCTCTAGTATGATTGCAATGCAACTTCATTTCTTTACTCAGGATCTTGGTCAGGTTTTTAAATGGTGAAATAGTAAACAGACGAGTTTCGTTTGGACCCGTCTCCTCTCAGGCAGAGCAGAGCAGATGCCCGAGGCCAGGGTTCTTAGGCAGTGGAAATGGTCCAGTCTCACATCTGCTCTTTCGGCTGTGCACTTTCTGCTCCTCTGATGACACGAACACATGGCAAGGACAATAGGACATTTTAGTCATTTAGCAGACACTCTTATCCAGAGCGACTTACAGTTAGTGAGTGCAAACATTTTCCATACTGGCACCCCGTGGGAATCGAACCCACAACCCTGGCGTTGCAAGCGCCATGCTCTACCAACTGAGCTACAGGAGGAAACAGTGACTATTGCCATCAGAGTTGTAGCTACTCAATTACAGAAAAATATATTCAATTTTTAGAGATATACAGTATAAGCACTTCTTTGATATTAACTTCACTTAATGCTGAACATTCATGAAATCCTGGCCAACCTGGAAGACCCAAAGGTAAGAGGCTTTAGTTTTTATTGGAGCCATTTGAATGCCAAGAACACAATGTTCCAAATACTCATACATGTAATTTCTATTGGTGATTCAGAATTTCCCTGCTTTGAAGTGTAAGAAAGACAGTCACATTGCATAAGCCTTCAAAATAATATATAAAAAAATACCTTTCATACTTTTCTCCTAAAACAGACAAGGAAAAACAGACTGTACATATAAAAAAAGCTTTATTAGAATAGTAAACATTTACAAACATGTGATGCTAACCAAGAAAGCCCACTTTCTGTCTCTTCTTTCCCAGACTCTCCTCCTTCTGCAGAAGCTCCATGAGGGGGGCGTGGAGGGCTTTCCCTACCCTTTTCCCTGTCTGTAGAGATATACACACAACAGAGCATCAAAATATGTTTTTGTGTGTGTGAGATATGAGTTTTCCAGTATACAGCACCTGGATACACAGTGCATTCAGAAAGCATTCAGACCCCTTGACCGTTTCCACATTTTGTTACATTACAGCCTTATTCTAAAATTGATGAAATTGTTTTTTTTCTTCATCAATCTACACACAATACCCCATAATGACAAAGCAAAAAATATATACACTACCGGTCAAAAGTTTCAGAACACCTTTACTATTCTAATAAAGCTTTTTGTATTTGTACAGTCTGTTTTTCCTTGTCTGTTTTAGGAGAAAAGTATGAAAGGTATTTTTTTTTTTCATTTAAAGGCTTATGCAATGTGTCAGTCTTCCTTACACTAATCATGTAGTAACCAAAAAAAGTGTTACACAAATCAAAACATATTTTAGATTTGAGATTCTTCAAGTAGCCACCCTTTGCCTTGATGACAGTGTAGTGTCTGAGGGTCTGTGATTGTGCTGACATTTGCAGAAGAGTGTGTTAGAGGAAACTTGGCTCTGCTTGCTGAAACATCTGGAAAGCATTACTAAATTCCTGGAAAAGAGGATATGGTATGAAATGTTAAAAGCCAGGGATTGGTGTATTAAAATCACGCCATACTATGTCACATAGGATATAAATGCCAGGTCTTGAACAAGGGAGATAGGAATAGCAAATCAGATTGGGTCCGGCTGTTCTTCAGATATCTGCAGGTATCTGTAAATCTGACGCTGAAACTCTTTGTTATAATAAACCTTTATAAACAGAGTACAGTGTCAGCGGACTTATCATCATCACGGCATTATCAGCAACGTTTGTTTTGGACACCACAACAGCTTTGCACACTCTTGGCATTCTCTCAACCAGCTTCACCTGGAATGCTTTCCCAACACTTGAAGGAGTTCCCACATATGCTGAACACTTGTTGGCTGCTTTTCCTTCACTATGCGGTCCGACTCATCCCAAACCATCTCAATTTGGTTGAGGTCGGGTGATTGTGGAGGCCAGGTCATCTGATGCAGCACACAGTCACTCTCCTTGGTAAAATAGCCCTTACACAGCCTGGAGGTGTGTTGGGTCATTGTCCTGTTGAAAAACAAATGATAGTCCCACTAAGCCCAAACCAGATGTGATGGCGTATCGCTGCAGAATGCTGTGGTAGCCATGCTGGTTAAGTGTGCCTTGAATTTTAAATAAATCACAGACAGTGTCACCAGCAAAGCATCCCCACAACATAACACCTCCTTCTCCATGCTTTACTGTAGGAAATACACATGCAGAGATCATCCGTTCACCCACACCAAGTCTCACAAAGACAAGGCGGTTGGAACCAAAAATCTCAAATTTGGACCCCAGAACAAAGGACAAATTTAAACCTGTCTAATGTCCATTGCTCGTGTTTCTTGGCCCAGGCAAGTCTTCTTATTATTGGTGTCCTTTAGTAGTGGTTTCTTTGCAGCACTTCGACCATGAAGGCCTGATTCACACAGTCTCCTCTGAACAGTTGATGTTAAGATGTGTTTGTGACTTGAACTCTGTGAAGCATTTATTTTGGCTGCAATTTCTGAGGCTGGTAACTCTAATGAACTTATCCTCAGCAGCAGAGGTAACTCTGTGTATTCCATTCCTGTGGCGGTCCTCAGAAAGCCAGTTTCATCATAGCGCTTGATAGTTTTTGCGACTGCACATGAAGAAACTTTCAAAGTTCTTGAAATGTTCGGTATTGACTGACCTTCAGGTCTTAAAAGTAATGATGGATTGTCGTTTCTCTTTGCTTATTTGAACTGTTCTTGCCATAATATGGACTTGGTCTTTTATAAAATAGGGCTATCTTCTGTATACCCCCCTATCTTGTCAAAACACAACGGATTGGCTCAAACGCATTAAAAAGGAAAGAAATTCCACAAATGAACTTTTAACAAGGCACACCTGTTAATTTAAATGCATTCCATGTGACTACCTCATGAAGCTGGTTGAGAAAATGCCAAGCGTGTGCAAAGCTGACATCAAGGCAAAGGGTGGCTATTTGAAGAATATCAAATATATTTTGATTTGTTTAACACTTGTTGGGTTACTACATGATTCCATATGTGTTATTTCATAGTTTTGATGTCTTCACTATTATTCTACAATGTAGAAAATAGTAAAAATAAAGAAAAACACTTGAAAGAGTAGGTGTTCTAAAAATGTTGACCGGTAGTGTGTATATGTATATATATATATGTTTTGCAAATGTATAAAATATATATATATATATATCATATTTACAGAAGTATTCAGACCTTTTACACAGTATTTTGTTGAAGCACCTTTGGCAGCAATTACAGCCTGAAGTCTTCTTGGGTATGACGCTACAAGCTTGGCACACCTGTATTTGGGGAGTTTCTCCCATTCTTCTCTGCAGATCCTCTCAAGCTCTGTCAGGTTGGATGGGGAATGTCACTGCATAGCTATTTTCAGGTCTCTCCAGAGATCTTCGATCAGGTTCAAGTCCGGGCTCTGGCTGGGCCACTCAAGGACATTCAGAGACTTGTCCCGAAGCCACTCCTGCATTGTCTTGGCTGTGTGCTTAGGGTCGTTGTCCTGTTGGAATGTGAACCTTCGCTCCAGTCTGAGGTCTTGAGTGCTCTGGAGCAGGTTTTCATCAAGGATCTCTCTGTACTTTGCTCTGTTTATTTTTCCCTCGATCCTGACTAGTCTCCCACTCCCTGCCGCTGAAAAACATCCCCATAGCATGATGCTGCCACCCTCATTCTTCACCGTAGGGATGGTGCCAGGTTTCCTCCAGACGTGACATTTGGTATTCAGGCCAAAGACTTCAATCTTGGTTTCATCAGAATCTTGTTTCTCATGGTCTGAGAGTCCTTTAGGTGGCTTTTGGCAAACTCCAAGCGGGCTGTCATGTGCCTTTTACTGAGAAGTGGCTTCCATCTGGCCACTCTACCATAAAGACCTGATTGGTGGAGTGCTGCAGAGATGGTTGTCCTTCTGGAAGGTTCTCCCATCTCCACAGAGGAACTCTGGAGCTCTGTCAGAGTGACCATTGGGTTCTTGGTCACCTCCCTGACCAAGGCCCTTCCCCCCCGATTGCTCAGTTTGGCCAGGGTGGCCCGCTCTAGGAAGAGTCTTGGTGGTTCCAAACTTCTTCCATTTAAGAATGAGGGAGGCCATTGTTTTTTGGGGGACCTTCAATGCTGCAGAAATGTTTTGGTACCCTTCCCCAGATCTGTGCCTCGACACAATCCTGTCTCAGAGCTCTACGGACAATTCCTTCGACTTCATGGCTTGGTTTTTGCTCTGACATGCACTGTTAACTGTGGGACCTTATATAGACAGTGTGTGCCTTTCCAAATGACGTCCAATGAATTGAATTTACCACAGGTGGACTCCAATCAAGTTGTAGAAACATCTGAAGGATGATCAATGGAAACAGGATGAAGCGGAGTACAATTTCGAGTCTCATAGCAAAGGGTCTGAATACTTATGTAAATAAGGTATTTCTGTTTTTTTTTTATTGTTAATACATTTGCAAGAACTTCTAAAAAACAGTTCTCTCTGTCATTATGGGGTATTGTGTGTAGATTGATGAGAATTTTTTCCCCAATCCATTTTAGAATAAGGCTGTAACGTAACAAAATGTAGAAAAAGGGAAGAGGTCTGAATACTTTTCGAATGCACTGTCCATTGCAATGCATTTACATAAACAAAATAAACATTCACTCACACTTCATGAATTTCCTCTGTACAAATGTGAAAACAACTTTGTGATGTGCTGATAAGGTTCAACTTTGATACAACTGAACATTCTATGCTAATACGTTTGTTGGGGTGAGAGATCAGATGGTATGAAGAAGAGCGCAGGCGTCCTATTTCACCTCTGTCATCTCAAATATGCTCTCTGGGTCCAGGCTGCCTCCCCCCACCTTCCTGACACAGGTGACCGTCCCCTTGTGTGTGACAGAGATGATCAGGCTGGCCACTGAACATGCCTTCTCCTGCAGCGTGGCGTCCACCACGTGCCTATGGCCCACCTGGGGTGAGACGAAGACACACACAAATAATGTGTGAATAACCATAATTTGTGGACAAAACCATCCAACTTACTATCCTTTGTCTAAACTACACTAATTTACTCAGGTAAATTATGTGATTTGTTATGCTAATAATACCGTCTCAGCAGGTGTTGCCATGTCAATGACCGAACCCACCTTGCACAAGGTCACGATGCAGGGAACGTTCTCCACATTGAGTCGTATGCAGTCATAGGGGTCGTCTGACAGCTCTATTTCCTTCCCTCCTTCCTCGTCCTCAGAGATGTGCACTTTGGGAATTCTGTTGGGAGAGAGGGAAGGTGAAGAAATTGTTTGACTCAGGACTGGATGTTCTATTGTTTGAGCTCTGTAGGACAGACTTTATGAAATCACAGCATCTATTTATTGCAATTTAATTAGCAAAGTGGTAACTGGAACTTAGCACCTTACTTTGTATTGAAGAGAGCCGCTTTAATGGCAACAGAGATGGCATCAAAAAGATTTCCATCACACTGCAGGAGCTGAGAAACAAAACAAAAAGTGATGACGTCTTCACACATATATAACAGAGACCAATTACACTTTGCAAGGGGACCTGTCCATCCCTACCTTCAGGCTTTGCTCAAACCCTTGATGGGAATTTTTTTGTAAACTATGGGATAAACAAAGTTAAAATCACAGACGTGACGAACAGATAGTCGGGATTCTCTGTTGCTAGGCAAGAACTTGAATGGTTCCTTTCACTGGGCTTGGGTGTGTGTGTGAAGTGGGGATCTGACCTAGGGTCGAATTGCTCGCTCTTACCACTCCATGGCTGTCCTACCTTATCAGAGACTGAAACCAGTCTGTTGCCTAATGCATTTCTCCTCAAACAAAGTAGAAAGAGCGGCACCAGAGTTGAACAGAGTTTAGACTAATCATGAGTAATTACAGCATGACGGGAGGGAAGAGAGGAGTTGGGTTTGGGTACGTTTGAGAGATTGAGTGTGGACCTGCCATGTCCAACAATCAATCTTCAGGTCAAGCCAGGGTGAGCCGGGGTTGAACAGAGTTGAAACTGAACATGATTGTTTTTGCATGACAAGGGCGTGATTGATTGTAATAATATTGTTCCTAAACTGAATGAAAGTCAAATGTAGCCCTATCATAGACTAAGGAAGTGGGCGGAGCGGTAGAGAGAGGGAAACTGAAGTTAATGGTGGGGGAACCTAAGAGGGAGGGGCTTTGAGCTAGGATGGATGTGAATGTGACTATATAGACGGAGCGGAGAGGGAGACGGGAGGTGCTCTGCAGATCATCTCGACTTACGTTACTCTGTGTAATAAAGTCTATCTTGATTCTCCAAAAACTCTGGAAGAACTCAGATTTTTAATAAATATAGTGATAATTTTCCACAACACCCTACATCCCAACTCGAGCACTCCTGCCACCTCTGGTCTCTTGGTTTCCGCTCAGCCAAAGCTCTTCTCTTTCCTGGAACAACCACCCCCCCACCTCTTTGAAGAGTATCTTAAATAACTTCCACAGCACTTGTTGTTTCCTACTAGCACCGACTTTGCTGATAAATACTTTGTTGAGGGAATATGTACTTGCCACGATGGTGATATGTTGTTGTCTCACTCACCTAGCCATCTTAACAAGAATGCACTAATTCTAAGTCGCTCTGGATAAGAACTTCTGCTAAATGACTAAAATGTAAATGTTTTCACTGATACACTCCTTTTCAATATCCTGAACACTTCATTATGATCACTTTGCCTTGTTTGCCAAACTGTCAGTAGATTAGACTCTAATCTTCTCTGGTTATTTTTTCCTGTATGCTGCCACAGTATCTGCAGTGGTTTGACATTCTGATTGGCTAGGCAAAGGTCACTCTTTTCCATGATTGGCTTTGAGGTATAGGTCTTAACGGCCCAAGTGACCTGAAATTCCGAGATCCGGGTCCGGGTCCTACTTTGACTTTTTTCTCGGACCTGGGTCGGGTCTGATATAATTGCCACGGGTCTCGGGTATGTCCAATAACATGTATTTATTTACAGACTGGACTTGATGGACCCATCCTTTGTTTAAATTAATGAGTGAGGTGATGAGAACTGCGCAAGCTTGTTATCTGTGTCAGCCAATTGCAAGTCAATAAAATGTATAGCTGAAACTGGTTCCGGCTACACACCTCACATGCACCTGCTGTGAGGAGAGAGAGCGCGCGAGTGAAAGGAGCCTTGGCCTAGGCTACTGTTGTTTGCGAAGATAGAGGCCTTTTTCATTGAAGTAAAATGAAAGTTACAGAACGAGAATAATGAAAAGAAGCCGACAAGGGGAATGTCCTCCGTTTTATTGTAGTGGACAAAGATGAAAAGAACATTGGCGCGGCCAAATGGACTGTGTGCAACTCGCTATTCAGGTTTGTTCCAATTTTCATTTTTTAAATAATTATTATGATTGTATATCAGTATAATTATTGTAGGCCTATTTAAGAATCTAAACCAGTTCTTTAAATATGATAAAAGTGTCGTTTTCGTTTGCCAACATTTTTATTTTGTGCTCCGTATTTAGTTTAAGATATGTTAAAGTAGGCCAGTGGCTTGTTTTCATGGATGCCAAAGGAAGCTAGGCTTCCCCAAAAAAACTATTTTATCTTTCATCTCTCTCTGCGTTTACTAATTTTCCTTAAATTCGCAAGAGGCTGAATGTATCTCACAGAGAAAGCATCCGAGCAAGCAAAACAGCGCCCCCTAGACCATCTATCTATCAACATATACAATACCGGTCAAACGTTTTAGAACACCTACTCATTCAAGGGTTTTTCATTATTTTTACTATTTTCTACATTGTAGAATAATAGTGAAGACATAACTATGAAAAAACACATATGGAATCATGTGGTAACCAACAAAGTGTTAAACAAATCAAAATATATTTTGTATTTTAAATTCTTCAAATAGCCAGACTGGCCTCCAAAACTAAGTCTGCCCCTGGCACCGGAGCTCCAATTGACTCCTACTGTTGAACTTGCAGTGAGGAAGAATGTTTTAAGCCTACCAGAGTTCCTCCTTTATTAATCTGCTAAATCAATGCTCTTTTGTGGTTGACTAGAAGGGGGAGTGTAATGCTTATCTTTATAAAAAATATATATTCTGTTCGAAAATTAACACATTTTCCTCCTGTATAGCAGTAGTAGCCTATCTGACAAGGATAAAGAATGCATGGTGGTGTTGGGAACATGGCGCGGGCATATCTCGATCGGTCTCGGCCTAAGCTTCTCTTCCTTCATTTAAAAAAAATCTATATCCTACAGTGGACTATAGGCCTCAATGCAAGCAATGCCCTAATGCATATAAAACCATAGGCTATGAAGTTTTGAATATGCTACACATTGAAACAAATTGTTTTTTTTGTCATTTGTTATAGGCAGTTAAGGACATGTACAGTGGGGGAAAAAAAGTATTTAGTCAGCCACCAATTGTGCATGTTCTCCCACTTAAAAAGATGAGAGGCCTGTAATTTTCATCATAGGTACACGTCAACTATGACAGACGAAATGATTTTTAAAAAATCCAGAAAATCACATTGTAGGATTTTTAATGAATTTATTTGCAAATTATGGTGGAAAATAAGTATTTGGTCAATAACAAAAGTTTCTCAATACTTTGTTATATACCCTTTGTTGGCTATGACACAGGTCAAACGTTTTCTATAAGTCTTCACAAGGTTTTCAAACACTGTTGCTGGTATATTGGCTCATTCCTCCATGCAGATCTCCTCTAGAGCAGTGATGTTTTGGGGCTGTCGCTGGGCAACACGGACTTTCAACTCCCTCCAAAGATTTTCTATGGGGTTGAGATCTGGAGACTGGCTAGGCCACTCCAGGACCTTGAAATGCTTCTTACGAAGCCACTCCTTCGTTGCCCGGGCGGTGTGTTTGGGATCATTGTCATGCTGAAAGACCCAGCCACGTTTCATCTTCAATGCCCTTGCTGATGGAAGGAGGTTTTCACTCAAAATCTCACGATACATGGCCCCATTCATTCTTTCCTTTACACGGATCAGTCGTCCTGGTCCCTTTGCAGAAAAACAGCCCCAAAGCATGATGTTTCCACCCCCATGATTCACAGTAGGTATGGTGTTCTTTGGATGCAACTCAGCATTCTTTGTCCTCCAAACACGACGAGTTGAGTTTTTACCAAAAAGTTATATTTTGGTTTCATCTGACCATATGACATTCTCCCAATCCTCTTCTGGATCATCCAAATGCACTCTAGCAAACTTCAGACGGGCCTGGACATGTACTGGCTTAAGCAGTGGGACACGTCTCGCACTGCAGGATTTGAGTCCCTGGCGGCGTAGTGTGTTACTGATGGTAGGCTTTGTTACTTTGGTCCCAGCTCTCTGCAGGTCATTCACTAGGTCCCCCCGTGTGGTTCTGGGATTTTTGCTCACCGTTCTTGTGATCATTTTGACCCCACGGGGTGAGATCTTGCGTGGAGCCCCAGATCGAGGGAGATTATCAGTGGTCTTGTATGTCTTCCATTTCCTAATAATTGCTCCCACAGTTGATTTCTTCAAACCAAGCTGCTTACCTATTGCAGATTCAGTCTTCCCAGCCTGGTGCAGGTCTACAATTTTGTTTCTGGTGTCCTTTGACAGCTCTTTGGTCTTGGCCATAGTGGAGTTTGGAGTGTGACTGTTTGAGGTTGTGGACAGGTGTCTTTTATACTGATAACAAGTTCAAACAGGTGCCATTAATACAGGTAACGAGTGGAGGACAGAGGAGCCTCTTAAAGAAGAAGTTACAGGTCTGTGAGAGCCAGAAATCTTGCTTGTTTGTAGGTGACCAAATACTTATCTTCCACCATAATTTGCAAATAAATTCATTAAAAATCCTACAATGTGATTTTCTGGATTTTTTATTCTCAATTTGTCTGTCATAGTTGACGTGTACCTATGATGAAAATTACAGGCCTCTCTCATCTTTTTAAGTGGGAGAACTTGCACAATTGGTGGCTGACTAAATACTTTTTTCCCCCACTGTAACTGTGGATCATTTGGCCAATACCGTTATTTTATTGAGGGCGCTGGTAGCACCCGGTCGGAGGTTTCTTTCTCTCTCTTTCTACTCAGATCTGAACGGGTCTCTCGGATCCGAAATGGCATGGCTGTTTTACCACAGGCCTTTTCGGAACGGGTCAGACTGGCCTAGGTCCATTCGGAACAGGTTTTTTGATAATTAATTTATGCATATCGCGTCAGGTGGGAAAGCCACAGATCCATTTTGGAACCTGTGAAGACCTCTACTTTGAGGTTCAGTTGCTGTGTCAGTCACTCACCAGCACGTCCACATAGAGCACCCAGCAGTGTTCCCCTGGGCTGATGCAGAGGCTTTTCATGTCCACACTGTATCTGTTGTTGAACACTTTGTACAGGGTGTTGCTCAACTCCATGCCCAGCTCATCACCACCCCGACCCTCAAACTCTGGTGTGGCATTGGCAGAGCTAGGAAGGGGACAAGAAGAAGGCGAATCATCATAGATGACTTGTTACAACACTACCTCCAGTGTCCCTCATATTAGAATTATACTGTATTCCAACCGAAGCAACAATGCACTCACCAATCAACAAAAAACTCCACGTAGCCCTCATCTGGGACCATGGGCCTTGGCTTTCCTATTTCAGCTTTGACTCCCACTAGCACGTCTGTATGTCCCTGCAAGGGACAAGACACATACATTGACGGCAGGGATATGATACATGTATCTCACTGTCTGACATGTGAGATTATACCGTGTTAGCTTTTTGATGTGCAACATTGTTTTGCAAGGAGCATGCTTCTCATTGAAATTACCAGTGTCACTTTAGCTGAGCCATCTGTATTTGACACCATTTCTGTCTCAATCTCCATGTGTCTGTAGTCCTCGCATCCTCGTCCATCAACCCGTAAGTCATCCTGGTGAAAAGAGGACCATAGAACATAAGAACAATATCGTGTCACATTCAATACTGACAGTTGCATTAACGTTAGCTTGTTAGCTAGTTAGCTAGCTATGTCAAGAGGATGCCTTTCGCTTTGGTAAAGAAAGACAGCTAACCAGAAAACAATGAATTCACGCAAAAAGGTCAACTAAACAAGAGCATGTAGCAACATCTTTCAGAATACCACCTACCCGTACACCATGCAAAATATACACCTTTTCGGCCTCACTGACTTGCACAGTAGCCATGCTGCATAAACACTGAAATACCGCGTGTGTTCTTCCGCTGTGTACGTCATCAATGAGCGGCAAAAAAAGACACAGATAAAAAAAAAAATCAGCTTCTTATTGTACCTCAGTGGCAGAAACTATCCAGATTATTGCTGGATCAGTGTACAAATCAACACAGTTCTACCATTCGATTCTAATGCACGGAATATAGTATGTATTTTTGGACTGTTTGAATTTGTACTTTATAGCCTTTGAGATAACATGTCAATGATTTAGCTTATTACGCATTCAAAATCAGACAATTTTAAGATCGATATTTCTTCGATCAATGCTATGTTTCAATTTTGACATATTTTCATGAACAAAATAGCTATAGTTATTACTCAAAAGTAGGCGAAAGATGATATTTGGCAAAAGACTACGTTATAGTGCAATGGGGGTTTAAATTGAGTTAGATACATAGCGCAAAGGCCGGCAGATAGCGATATTGAGTCGTTTCATCTTACCGTCCAAAGGGAACCCATGCAGCAGGCAATACTTGTATCCCCCGTGGACCGGTTCATAGATAAAACATTCTCCATTCAGGCTGCAAAGGCATCGATTTCCTCAACTCGATTTAATGTCGGGGGAAATATGTGTACTTTCTTTATGAAACACCACTTTCCATGACCATGCTAGAGCCGCAAATGCCTATGAAAAGTAGTCCTGGGGTGTAATCATTATGCTGATTCTGTTGCAAAATGTTTACTCCAAACGGAAAACGCAAACGAGAGTTTCAATTGGACAAATTCAGGTAGGTCCCTCCCCGTTACGTTCCGTTTTCTCTGTTTTATGTAAGAACCGGTCCATGAAGGATATAAGTGTTTACACTATATAGCCAGCTGCATGCATTCGCTTTGGACGGTAAACTGAAATGACTCAATACCACCATCTGCCGGCCTTTGGGCCATTAGCTACACTGATATCCTAAATCGGTTTTTAGATGCAGTTCTGTTGGGTTGGGTTGGGGATTGGGTAGGGCGAATCTGTTCCTAGATCTGCTTGCAGAGGCAACACATATACTAATAACTACGGGGGGCAACGTCAGGTGCTTGGAACGCCAGATAACCTTTGGAGCGAACAGACGTCTTGCGCATGGAAGGCAGGGCACTTCCTGGTTTTTCCTCAGTTAGTTTCTTGCTTGCCAGAGTGCTTTCTATATTAAGTAATGAGGGAAATTGGCATCCACCCACCTAACTAATAGGTCTGCACGTATGTACATTTCCATATGAGACACAGGAAACATCGAAACCAAGTGGTTTTGTAGTTTAACGATGGACTCGGAAATTCAAGCGTGAATAGTGAGACACAACAAGGGGTACTGCTAACTACCTCCACGCTAGCAAGGATAACTAGCTAGTTAACGTAAGCTAGCTAATTATGTACAACCAGCTACGATTTACTGTTGTCAATAGCTAACGTTTGCGTGACAGACAATCAAACCGAGTAACGTTACTCTTCTCTGAAAACTATTCCCTCAACCAGGAAAGAGGTGAGTTGAAATCATCGTGGTTGTTTCTACCGTTGCCTAGCTAACTAACCAAGTACGTAAAGCCATCAAATCTATGAAATCATGCTAATCATTGGAGCTACCAAGCTTGCTCGCATTATATTCTCTGACAGCAGAATCTAGATTTTTTTAATTAGCTAATGAACCATGTTACTGGGCTATTATTCTAACTCAATAACAGTGATTGTGACTTAACATAGAAGCAGGTCAACTTATCAAAAGACCGGTTTTATTCAACTTTAGTCATCTTACTATTACAATCAGTGGAAGGTGTTTGTTAGGAAATTTCAAAATATATACAGGTAAAAGTCAGTAAATTAGAATATTTTGAAAAACTTGATTTATTTCAGTAATTGCATTCAAAAGGTGTAACTTGTACATTATATTTATTCATTGCACACAGACTGATGCATTCAAATGTTTATTTCATTTAATTTTGATGATTTGAAGTGGCAACAAATGAAAATCCAAAATTCCGTGTGTCACAAAATTAGAATATTGTGTAAGGGTTACATTTTGAAGACACCTGGTGCCACAAAATAATCAGCTGATTAACTCAAAACACCTGCAAAGGGCTTTAAATGGTCTCTCAGTCCAGTTCTGAAGCCTACACAAACATGGGGAAGACTTCAGATTTGACAGCTGTCCAAAAGGCGACCATCGACACATTGCACAAGGAGGGAAAGACACAAAAGGTTATTGCAGAAGAGGCTGGCTGTTCTCAGAGCTCTGTGTCCAAACACATTAATAGAGAGGCAAAGGGAAGGAAAAACTGTGGTCAGAAAAAGTGTACAAGCGATAGGGATCACCGCGCCCTAGTCAAGATTGTGAAAAAAAACCCATTCAAAAATGTGGGGGAGATTCACAAGGAGTGGACAGCTGCTGGAGTCAGGGCTTCAAGATCCACCACCAAGAGACGCTTGAAAGACATGGGTTTCAACTGCCGCATACCTCGTGTCAAGCCACTGTTGACCAAGAAACAGCGCGAAAAGCGTCTCACCTGGGCTAAGGAAAAAAAGAGCTGGACTGCTGCTGAGTGGTCTAAAGTCATGTTTTCTGACGAAAGCAAATTTTGCATTTCCTTTGGAAATCGAGGTCCCAGAGTCTGGAGGAAGACAGGAGAGGCACAGGATCCACGTTGCCTGAAGTCTAGTGTAAAGTTTCCACCATCAGTGATGGTTTGGGGTGCCATGTCATCTGCTGGTGTCGGTCCACTCTGTTTCCTGAGATCAAGGGTCAACGCAGCCGTCTACCAGCAAGTTTTAGAGCACTTCATGCTTCCTGCTGCTGACCTGCTCTATGGAGATGGAGATTTCAGGTTCCAACAGGACTTGGCGCCTGCACACAGCGCAAAATCTACCCGTGCCTGGTTTACGGACCATGGTATTTCTGTTCTAAATTGGCCAGCCAACTCCCCTGACCTTAGCCCCATAGAAAATCTGTGGGGTATTGTGAAAAGGAAGATGCAGAATGCCAGACCCAACAACGCAGAAGAGTTGAAGGCCACTATCAGAGCAACCTGGGCTCTCATAACACCTGAGCAGTGCCAGAAACTCATCGACTCCATGCCACGCCGCATTAATGCAGTAATTGAGTATTGAGTATTGTACATGCTCATATTTTTCATTTTCATACTTTTCAGTTGGCCAACATTTCTAAAAAATCCCTTTTTTGTATTAGCCTTAAGTAATATTCTAATTTTGTGACACACGGAATTTTGGATTTTCATTTGTTGCCACTTCAAATCATCAAAATTAAATGAAATAAACATTTGAATGCATCAGTCTGTGTGCAATGAATAAATATAATGTACAAGTTACACCTTTTGAATGCAATTACTGAAATAAATCAAGTTTTTCAAAATATTCTAATTTACTGACTTTTACCTGTACATAAGGTTAGAGTACTATCAATACCAGATCAATATCGCCATCTGCCGGCCCTTTGGCTAGTGTAACAGTATCTTTTCAGCTGCTGAAAAGTAGCTACTGATAATCTTTAGTGGTTCTAGTGAGCTATGGTACTTTTCTGCTGTGGGAATTCCATACTGAATCCTTTATGCTTAGTCAAAATACAACATTTAACAAATTAAACTGACTAAGGACAAGACTGATCATTGTGATCAACTGAGCAAAAGCTTACCACATTAAATCTAGACTAGTAGACAAGACCATGAGTATGTTTATGTCACAGTCAGGGACTGCCAGTAGAGGTTATAAACGGAAGTCACATCAGCCTGTTAACTGCTATTTCATCCTATTGAGACAAATCTCTCCTCCACTCTTATCCTCCACTCCCATCCTCCTGTGCTCTCTTCCTTGGTGTCTGCCATCATTCCTCAGTTGTATTAATTACTGTTGGAGGCATCCAAGCAGCAGGGCGTCCTGCATCCCTATAAATAATTTGTTAAAAGGATGCCTCATTCAGCGGTATAGCACTCATACAGTATAGTGCTCACACTCCAGTCTTCTGTAATGGTTCATTGTTCCATTGAAGTCATTACCGTCATATCTGTTAGACATGATATTTCGTTATGTTTATTAATGGTGGAGTCTGTTGAATTCTGAAACTTAGGCTAAATGTGTGACTCTTGTCAACTATTGCTGTCTTGAACGGCAGAATAGAATGGCAGTTTTGTAAAAGGAGTTTCTGCTATAAGACAAAGACGATACTAATGTCAATCAGTTCATTCAGGATAACAGCAGCATGTAATTCAGTGAAGGGCTAGTTTATACACTGCCCCTTCTAGTCAACCACAAAAGAGCATTCATTTAGCAGATAATAGCTAATCGATGCTTGCTTCGAAGTGTTTTTCTTGACAGTGCTTTGGCTTATGTTTACAAATGCAATAGAAGTTATAGTGAATTCATTATGTAGCATCATCCTTGGTAACAGATTGTGTCACTGGATTTATGCAGCAGTAATAGATGTTATAGAACAATGTTTCTGTGAAGTTCCTGACTTATTGGGTTTCTATGTTGTAGTACAAGATATACTGTTAGCTTTGTTCACTCTATGGGAGTGACACTCCAAGTCATCTCTCAACATTGAGTCACTTATGGGTAGTTCCACCTAAAAAAGCACAAGAAAGAGGATTTCGACACCCACCGGGTGATTCTCAGAAACCAGTTTTAACCATGGCAGTAGCAAATTGAGTTAGAAAACCATTATGTATCTGCAACAATCAACTATCATTCTGAATACTAAGATGCCTAGTTTATGGCATAGTGTCTCATTTTAAATACATTTTAAAGACTTTGGAGAAATTACTTTTTCTAAATAAAATAGTCATTCTTTAATGCTTAAATCCACTTTTCATTTTTGAAAATACATGCACATAATTACAGTACTTATACCTATGCTAAAATAAGGGGTATTTTAGTCAATTGCATTAAGATCAGATTTTGTTTTGTTTTATGCAAATCGTTTGGGATTAACAAGTGACACAGTTTGATAATGTGTTGAGTTACTAAATCTCAAATAAAGCTCAGTACAGTTTTTCAATGGCAAACTATGAAACACTCATTACCGACACATGCATTCTCATCTCCGAAACCTGCTTATCATTACCGTAATGCACCAACATTTAGGAAATATATTTAGGAAATAGTCATATCCCCCTGTTCAGAGTAATTAGTCATAAACGCGATCGATAAAAGACAGAACTGCGCAGCCGTCTTCATCGACCTGGCCAAGGCTTTCGACTCTGTCAACCACCGCATTCTTATTGGCAGACTAAATAGCCTTGGTTTCTCTAATGACTGCCTCGCCTGGTTCACCAACTACTTCTCAGATAGAGTTCAATGTGTCAAATCGGAGGGCCTGTTGTCTGGAACTCTGGCCGTCTCTATGGGCGTGCCACAGGGTTCAATTCTCGGGCCGACTCTATTCTCTGTGTATATCAATGATGTCGCTCTTGTTGCTGGTGACGCTTGGATCCACCTCTATGCGGACGACACCATTTTGTATACATCTGGCCCTTCATTGGAAACTGTTAACAAACCTCCAAATGAGCTTCAATGCCATACAACACTCCTTCCGTAGCCTCCAACTGCTCTTAAACACTAGTAAAACTAAATGCATGCTCTTCAACCGAACGCTGCTTGCACCCGCCCACCCGACTAGAATCACTACTCTTGGCGGGTCTGACCTAGAGTATGTGGACAACTACAAATACCTAGGTGTCTGGTTAGACTGTAAACTCTCCTTCCAGACTCATATTAAGCATCTCCAATCAAAAGTTAGATCTAGAATCGGCTTCCTATTTCGCAACAAAGCCTCCTTCACTCATGCTGCCAAACATGCTCTCGTAAAACTGACTATCCTACCGATCCTTGACTTCGGCGATGTCATTTACAAAATAGCCTCCAACACCCTACTCAGCAAATTGGATGTAGTCTATCACAGGGCCATCCGTTTTGTCACCAAAGCCCCATATACTACCCACCATTGTGACCTGTACGCTCTTGTTGGCTGGCCCTCACTACATATTCGTCGCCAAACCCACTGGCTCCAGGTCATCTATAAATCACTGCTAGGCAAATCCCTGTCTTATCTTAGCTCACTGGTCACCATAGCAACACCCACCCGTAGTCTGCGCTCCAGCAGGTATATCTCACTGGTCATCCCCAAAGCCAACACCTCCTTTGGCTGCCATTCCTTCCAGTTCTCTGCTGCCAATGACTGGAACGAACTGCAAAAATCTCTGAAGCTGGAGACTCTTATCTCCATCACTAACTTTAAGCGTCAGTTGTCAGAGCAGCTTACCGATCACTGCATCTGTACACAGCCTTTCTGAAATTAGCCCACCCAACTACCTCATCCCCATATTGTTATTTATTTTGCTAATTTGCACCCCAGTATCTCTATTTGCACATCATCTTTTGCACATCTATCATTCCAGTATTATACGAAATTGTTACTATTTTGCAATATGGCCTATTTATTACCTTACCTCCATAACTTACTACATTTGAACACACTGTATATATATTTTCTGTTGTATTTTTGACTTTATGTTTTGTTTACCCCATATGTAACTCTGTGTTGTTGTTTTTATCGCACTGCTTTGCTTTATCTTGGCCAGGTCGCAGTTGTAAATGAGAACTTGTTCTCAACTGGCTTACCTGGTTAAATAAAGGTTAAATAATGTCCCATCCTACGTCCTGATATTACCTGGTTCTGACCACTAGATGGTGCTGTTCCAGGTGATTTTATTTTTAAGAAAAAAGTAATCTAACAGCAAATTCACTGAGAATACATTAAATAGGATGAAGAAAACAATACTTAAAGCCACAGCCCATACTACTTGTCAGACATGGAGAACTGATACTGTATACTCGTTGGGGTGGGATGTGGGGGGTGGCTTTTGACTATTTCTTTGGATTCCTCATGTCTTACTCATTGTTAGAAAAAAGATTGGTCTAAATCGGATGTTAGGTACTATATTTATTGAATATTATATGAATTCTATAAGTTAAAATGGCCAATTTGGGGGCAATCAATCTGCGTAATTTCTCAGATCAAATTATATTTCAGCAAAATAATGTTGTAGGAATGCTAATCTTATCTGTTTCTAACTACATAAATGATTTCAGAACAATCTGAGATGGTGGGAGTCATGGCTTGCTGAAATGACATGGAACGACCCCTACAAGATATTAGCATTCCACTTCCTTTGTCTAAAGCGAGTTTTACCAGAAATGACTCAAACTGAATAATTCATTTAATGGATAACAGCAAAGGCCTTTCAATTGTTGGCTGTTTGACAAAACAAATTATATGCATCATGATTTTATGATTAACTAGGCTAACACAAAAATTCCACACCTGTGCTTATCGAATCCATAGAGGGATCCTTGCTTTCTGGCTATTAGTTACGCCCAATTTGCAGGATAGGAGTGTTGTAGTTGTGTGTGTGTGTGTGTGTGTGTGTGTGTGTGTGTGTGTGTGTGTCTGTGAGAGAGAGTGACACACTGACCCAGTGAATTAGCTAGATGCCCTTACTGCTATGCTAACACATCCAGGCCAGGCTATCAACAGCAGATGGTAATGTCTGGGCTGAGTGGGGAAAGTGATAGCCATGGCCAGACTGGACATCACACCCACTAACACAGCAGGAGGGCTCTAAGCCTGTTGTGTGTAGGCACACTGTCCACAGTCTGTCGCTAGGCACTAACCAGGCTACAATACTGTAGTCTGTAGTGTATGTGGGAGACAACCAGAGGATGGGGAGGCACTATGTAGTCTAGTGCATTTATGTGTGTAGTAATGTGTTTATCTCAGGTTGATTGTCACTGAGGCTACTTACTCACTAGCCTATATCAGTGCTGCTGTTAGGGATGCTTGAATAGTGTGCTTTTACAAACATGACATAAAAACTGTTTTGGCAGGAATGTCAGTTGGACCAGGGTTCCCCTCAAAGCCGACAGACTAAAGCTCCAAACTAGTATGGCTAATCATAAAAGTGAGATTACACGGAGATGCCCATTGAATTGGCCACATCGATGGATGTAATTCTGACCTCTTATAGGCCAGGCTTTTTTCCTAGCCACTGTGCTTCTACATCTGCATTGCTTGCTTTTTGGGGTTTTATGTTGGGTATCTGTATAAGCACTTTGTAACAACTGCTTTTGTAAAAAGGGCTTTGTAAAATACATTTGATTTGATAAATACATTTGAAAAGGCAGTGTGTTTATTTTAGGAATACTCAGCTTTTGTGAACTTGCAATGTTTTTTCTTCATATTTTTGGACATGTAGGCTACATGGCAATTTTTAGTACCCTAACATTCTGGTTCTACTAAACGTGGGCCAAAACTGACCGCAGAGACATTTTGACCAGAGTAATTGAATTGACTTGCTTTAGAATACTTAAACAGACTAACTTCATAAACTCTCACCTGCCGTCTCCTCTCTCACTCCCTTTGTCAATGTTGCTACGTCGCCACAGTTCAGATACGTTTAGATTATACAACACACAGGTCTCTAGCCTTTTCGGTCAAACATTTGTTTTCAGTCTACAACGCCACGTTCCAACAAATAACAGAAAAGAGACCACATTCCAACAATACTGTCTGTATAGACAATGAAACATTGACACTTCACTTCCTTATCACTTCTGTATACACCTGTAGTTTCTCACTTCCCCCTCTATATATTTACACTAGAACAACAGCGCATTCCAACAACACAATGCATTGCAACATTGGCACATCACTTCATTGACACACCTACATCTGTAGCCTATACCTAACCATCCAAACCCCTTATCTCCCAGCAGCATGCGGCGAGAGCTGCATCCATTCTAGAATGAAGAAGAGCCCGGCGCACCGTTGCAGGGACATCGAGAGGCAAGCCGGTTACCTGCAGCCCGAGCACTGCGCCCCTCCCCCGACCTGCCCCCGCTCCGACGCCATTTGGTTCATCCGCGACTGCTGTGGCATCGTGTGTGGCGTCATCACCTGGTTCCTGGTGTTCTACGCTGAGTTCGTGGTGCTCTTCGTCATGCTGCTGCCCGCCAAGAACCTGCTCTATAGTCTAATCAACGGGGCACTGTTCAGTACCCTTGCCTTCCTCGCCCTGGCTTCGCACGCCCGGGCCATGTGCACAGACCCGGTTAGTCTGGCTGGCTGGCTCTGTCTGTCTGTGTCAGTGATTCTGTTGCTTTGTTCCAATTATCTCTCCTACTATCCCCCCCCCCCCCCCCCTCGAGAGTCCACTCACTGACTCACTGGCTGCGTCCCAATAATATCTCCTTTCTCCTGAAGAGTGCACTTGTTCACTTCCCTTCACTGATTTGAAAGGAAATGACTGGAATAAAAAAGATGGTGGATATTCCCACTAGCCCATGCCTCCACCAATCCAATGCTTTTAGGTTTGTGGGCAGTAGTGAACGAGTGCACTCTTCAGGAGAAAGGAGATATTATTGGGACGCACCCCGTGAGTGGACTCTCGGGCTAAACTGTCAAATGCAGTGCTTTCAGTCTTGAAATAAGTTGTCTTCACTAGAAAACCTGCTTGTAGAGAACTCCTTCAAAACTGTGTGTATTGTTTTCAGATAGGTGTCAGATATGAATGAATGCCCCTGTCCTAACCCATGCCTCTCTCCCAGGGTGCGGTGCCTAAAGGGAACGCGACCAAGGAGTTTATCGAGAGCCTGCAGCTCAAGCCCGGTCAGGTGGTCTACAAATGTCCCAAGTGCTGCAGTATAAAGCCTGACAGAGCTCACCACTGCAGGTACAGTACAGGACTGCTTCAGTCTAGTCTAGAAAGCCCTGGAATGGCTATCCCATTCCACTTATTTTCCAATGTTCTCTCCTGCCAATGTTGTTTAGCCTCAGCCCTGCTGCATTACTAATACCCACTGGTACTTACTAGATGGCTAAGGAGTTCCCCGGACTTTGAAGTGCTTAACCTAGTTTCAAGGGGACGAACATGGCTTAAACAAAGGGGACTAGTTGAAGTAGGAATTAGGAAAAAGTTGATAGCAACACAAAATAATGTGAATTGATGTGACATACAGTATGGTGTCATGATATTTATACTATCACACTTCTTACACCTTCAGAGAATACCATGGTATCAGAGCACCTCTATTAAAGCATATTGCAGCTCCATATGGCAGATGATTGATGATGATGTGTCGGGGCCTAGTTGAGTTGTCAGTCTGCTACCCTCTCCCTCAGATAATATATCTCCGCCGTGACTCCCCTGTGTGATGGAGAGTACAGTCCAGCTCAGCAGGTTATTCCCATCTCTCACCTCCATCAATGTCAACATGGTGTTTGTCCCAAATGTAACCCTATTCCCTATATAGTGCACCTGTTTTGACTCTGGTCAAAATGTATAAGTCGCTCTGGATAATAGCGTCTGCTAAATGACGTAAATGTAGGGTGCCATTTGGGGCGCAGCCAGTGTGCACCATGCAGCTAAAGGTGGCTAGAAGGAGTGGAGTCTCTCTCCACTCACTCTGCTGTGTTGTTGTGCGTGTTTGAATTCATTGATAATTAACTATGCATTGTGGCTGGTCTTCATGCGTCCAGAAGGAGCAGCTTGTGTAGGTCACGGTTTGGCTCATATTTCCAGGCCTCTTTTGTATGTGGCTGTACCCTGCTTTCATGTAATGTCCTCGTATGTGTGTGTGTGCGTATGCCCCTCGCAGTGTGTGTAAACGCTGTATCAAGAAGATGGACCACCATTGCCCATGGGTAAACAACTGCGTAGGAGAGAAGAACCAGAAATTCTTTGTGCTTTTCACAGTGAGTGTTTTAGCCTCGAGCTACTCAGCTATTACTCAAAAATACATTCTCTACAAGCCATTATTGACTCACTCACATGAGATGTTGCTACTTGTCTCAGTAATCATACCTTACAGTTAATGCTGACTAATTGAAATATCCATATCCTCCTACAAACCTGCAAACTCTCGCCCACATTCACCAATACATCACATTATTCCATTATGTACAAAATCTTGATAAAATAATAAATAATACATTTTCAAAATAAGAGTACTGCATGGTTAACTAATGTAATGTTACTACTGTGTTACCTGATGAGATGTAATATTTGTCTCCCTTCAGATGTACATTGCTCTGATATCCCTCCATGCCCTGGTCATGGTGGCCTTCCATTTTATCTTCTGCTTAGAGTCAGACTGGACGAGTGAGTACCATGCTGTTCGGCTATGTGTTAGCATGCTATGTCAAATTCACCATACTGTTTTTAACTTTGCGTGGTTAGTCTGCAACAGAGAAACACATTTGAATGGATTTGGTGTTGTGGTTTCCATTTGTAATTATTTATTTCCACTACCTCATAAGTGTCATGTTGTCTTCCTTTCCAGGACCCTAATTGTTCTCCTTTCACATCCTTTGATTGACTCTCTCTTTGTTAAAGCATGATTTAATTGGTCAATGACACATACAGGATAGAAGCTTTTGTTTCTCATTTCCTGCCCCCTAAGAGGGAATCCAGCACACCTGTCCTCAGCTTCTAGAGTCTAGACCATCAGTGCCCTCCAGTTGAAACCTCTCTCTCCCTTCCCTCCCTTCTCCTCTCCTCCCTCACTCGGCCCTCCCCAGAGTGCAGTACATTCTCTCCTCCTGCGACCGTCATCTTCCTCATCCTTCTCTGCTTTGAGGGACTCCTCTTCCTCCTTTTCACCTCAGTGATGTTTGGGACCCAGGTCCATTCCATATGTACTGATGAGACGGTAAGTGAACTGAACACGCCACTAGCATCCCTTTGTTCGCATTCACTCCCTCACTCCAATGCTCCTCTCTTCCTTCTTAACCATCGCTGCTTTTGCAGGTTTGGGGTCGATTCCATTTTAAATTTAGGAAGTCAACTGGAATTTCAGTTTACTTCCTGAATTGAAATGGTATTGACCCCAACCATGCTGCTTAGTTATTAGATTCGGATTGCCCATAGCTTTATTCAGGTTCTTGATGGAACTGTCCCCAAGATAAGTATCCAGGATTATTTTGAGACACATCATTATGTCTCCTGCTGATGTTTTTCCTGTTTGATCTTATCTACAGGGCATAGAGCAGTTGAAAAAGGAGGAGAGAAGATGGGCTAAAAGGACAAAGTGGATGAACATGAGGGTGATATTTGGCCATCCGTTTTCTATAGCCTGGCTAAGTCCCTTTGCAACACCTGACCACGGGAAGGCAGACTATTACCAGTACGTTGTCTGAGAGAGGAAGCCAAGCTCCAGCACCCATGCTACCAGCCTGTCTTTCAGGGTGCGGACTGATGATACGTACAGGCGATAGTGTTCCCACCGCCTGACTTCACTGAGTATAAACTCTTCTGACACTTCTTCTCCTTTTCTGTTTTTGATCATTTTTAAATTTCAGGGTCTTCTTCTTTGTGAATAAAATCTTTATCTGCCTGTTTTTAATACTTGTCACCTATTTTGGTTTCTTTCTTTGCCTGGTGCTGATTTTGATATCTGTATGAAATATAAGTTATTTTCCATTCTGTTCACAATCACAGCCAAGCTCTGCAAAACCATCAACTGTAAAATGAGTCTCTGCTTTTCTCACGTTTACCATTAAAGAAAGCACCTGCTGATGTAACCTGGCCAGAGCCTGTATCTGACGTGGCTATAAACTGGGCTTTACCTTTGGGATAGAAATGGAGACGCTCTTAAACCCAAAGTACAGTATTTCCTGTATTTGGTCATGTCCTGTTTGAGGACTAGGCATAAACAAAGCAAACGCATGAGCTGAATTCAGATTGGCTTTTCAGTGGCCAAAAACAATCAGTTCCAATAGGCATATTTTGTCTTCCAATGTTGCAGTACCTTAGCCTAAATGGTGTAAGCTATAGCCTTGGTGCCAGTGCCACACTGTTGAAGTACTACCGACCCACAAGGCATTACATTTGCTTTTTAGACCAGCCAAATCTTTTGCTGCATTCTGCAGATTCTTTAAGCTGCTCCCTCTAAGCTGTGCGCGGCCGCGCACCTCCTCCAGGACTGCCGCACAGAAGAAATGGCAGGCCGCGCAGAGACTGGAGAGATTGAACTTCACTGAGTTCGCCCCATTAGTTTGCACTATATAGATCAACGTTTTTTCTGTGATCTAATCAACATTATAAACTGGTTGGTTCGAGCCCTGAATGCTGATTGGCTGACAGCCGTGGTATATCAGACCGTATACCACGGGTATGACAAAACATTTATTTTTACTGCTCTAATTACGTTGGTAAGCAGTTAATAATAGCAATAAGGCACCTCGGGGGGTTGTGGTATATGGCCAAATATCCAGCCCTTAGCCGTGGTATATTGGCCATATACCACACCCCCTTGGGCCTTATTGCTTAATTATATCAGCCCCTTTTCAATGCAACATACCAAAACAAATCTAACTTTGCAAGATTGAGTCTGTGATTTTTTGTAGGTAGAGCCAGAGCGCATCGGAGTAGAATTATTCTGGGTGCGGGTAGCCCTCGAGCGGTCTTTCAATCACCCGCGAGTGAATGCGCTTTTCAGATCATTGCCGCTCGTGTGATATTCTTTGGATGTTAACGAGTTATTAGCCCAGTTATAGATAAGTATAGGTCAGCAATGGGGAGTTACTGCTTCATACAAGAGCACAAAACCTGTAGGCTACATTTCAAGCTTTGCCTTTTTTATGAAAATGCATTATACAGACTGTCAAATCCATGCTGTATGAGCACAATGGTTATGTATTCATCAAACAAAAAATGTTCTCTTTAAATTGAGAATGCAGAGTGCATTTGCATGGCATTGATGCCATTTGAAATCTGTATGGACCACATTTATTGATTTTTATGATGTATTATGAAGAATAAAATCAACTTTTAATTAGTGTCATGCTGCTTTAGTGACGTCTATTGTGAGTCACCTTTTTCTAAGCAGTTAATTATTTTATGTATAGTTGACTTTAAAGTTTAAGATGTTTCAATCAAATCTACTACTGTCTCTTTCTGATTTGGTGCACCTATTTTATTTTAAACTACCTAAATCTCAATACTGCCATCTCCTGCTTGAACTGATGGAACCTTATAAGCTCTGTAGTGACTCACATATAACTATAAAATACTCTGACTAAAGTTGACTATCATATCAGACTAAATGCTCTCCAACAAGACATTCTTTATGTTATCTTTAAAAGGTGCTTCCTTTTGCAGCTCATTCCAGTTTGACCTTTTAACCAAATATCAAGTTCAACTAATTATCAGCTGATCATGTACAATATCAATACGCCTCACAGGCATGTATTAATTATTTGTAGATCTGTGTACTGGAGTGGGAAGTTCCTGAATCTGATTAATGTCTGTCTGTGCCAGAGTCACTTTGAGGAGAGACATCAGAAGTAATGGGGTATGAAGTTCCTTAGAAATAGGCTGGTTCAAGGCTCATGTTACCCCCTTTCATTACATTAATCGTAGACTCAGCTACATGATGTACAGTGCCTTCAGAAAGTATTCACACCTCTTGTCTTTTTCCACATTTTGTTGTGTTACAGCCTGAATTTAAAATTGATTAAATTGAGATTTTTTTTGTCACTGGCCTTCACACGATACCCCATAAAATTAAAGTGGAATTATGTTTTTTGAAAATGTTTACAAATGAATTAAAAATAAAAGCTGAAATGTCTTGAGTCAATAAGTATTCAACCCCTTTCTGTTCAGGCAAGCCTAAATACGTTCAGGAGTAAAAGTCTGCTTAAGTCAAATAATAAGTTGCATGTACTAAGTGTCTAACATGATATTTGAATGACTACCTCTTCTCTGTACACCACACATACAATTATCTTTAAGGCCCCTCAGTTGACGAGTGAATTTCAACCACAAAGACCAGGGAGGTTTTCCAATGCCTCGCAAAGAAGGGCACCAATTGGTAGATGGATAAAAATAAAAAAGCAGACATTGAATATCCCTTTGAGCATGGTGAAGATAATAATTACACTTTGGATGGTGTATCAATACAACCAGTCACTACAAAGATACAGTGCAGCCGTCCTTCCTAACTCAGTTGCCGGAGAGGAAGGAAACCGCTCAGGGATTTCACCATGAAGCCAATGGTGACTTTAAAACAGTTACAGAGTTTATTGGCTGTGATAGGAGAAAATTGAGGATGGATCAACAACATTGTAGTTACTCCACAATACTAACCTAAGTGAAAAGAAGGAAGCCTGTACAGAATAAAAATATTCCAATACATGCATCCTGTTTGCAACAAGGCACAAGTAATACAACTGATGTGGCAAAGATATTAACTGTTTGTAATGAATACAAAGTGTTATGTTTGGGGCAAATCCAATACAACACATTACTGAGTACCACTCTCCATATTTTCAAGCGTAGTGGTGGCTGCATCATGTTATGGGCATGCTTGGACAGGTTTATTTTTTCCAGGATAAAACATTTACGTAATGGAGCAAAGCACAGGCAAAATCCTAGAGGGAAACCTGGTTCAGTCTGCTTTCCACCAGACACTGGGAGATGAATTAATTTTCAGCAGGACAATAACCTAAAACACAAAGCCAAATCTACACTGGAGTTGCTTACCAAGAAGACCATGAATGTTCCCGAGTGGCCGAGTTCAAGTTTGGACTTAAATCGGCTTGAAAATCTATGGCAAGACCTGAAAATGGTTGTCTAGTGATGACCAACAACCAATTTGACAGAGCTTGAAGAATTTAAAGAATAATGGGCAAATGTTGCACAATCCAGGTGTGGAAAGCTCTTAGAGATTTACCCAGAAAAACTCACAGCTGTAATCGCCAAAAGTGTTTCTAACATGTATCGACTCTGGGTTGAATACTTATCTACTCAAGATAAACTATACCGTGCATTTGGAAAGTATTCAGACCCTTTTACGTTTTCCACATTTTGTTACGCTACAGCCTTATTCTAAAATGTTCCTCATCAATCTACACACAATACCCCATAATGACAAAGTGAAAACAGGTTTTTAGATTTTTTTGCAAATTGATTACAAATAAAACATCAATACCTTATTTACATAAGTATTCAGACCCTTTGCTATGAGACTCAATTGAGCACAGGTGCATCCTGTTTCCATTGATCATCCTTGAGATGTTTCTACAACTTGATTGGAGTTCACCTGTGGTAAATTCAATTGATTGGACATGATTTGGAAAGGCACACACCTGTCTATATAAGGTCCCACAGTTGACAGTGTATGTCAGAGCAAAAACCAAGCCATGAGGTTGAAGGAATTGTCTGTAGAGCTCCGAGACAGGATTGTGTTGAGGCACAGATCTGGGGAAGAGTACCCAAACATTTCTGCAGCATTGAAGGTCCCCAAGAACACAGTGGCCTCCATCATTCTTAAATGGAAGAATTTTGTAACCACCAAGACTCTTCCTAGAGCTGGCCCGCCCTGCCAAACTGAGAAATCGGGGGAGAAGGGCCTTGGTCAGGGAGGTGACCAAGAACCCGATGGTTACTCTGACAGAGTAAATAAATCCAGAAAAACGCATGTCATAAATGTTATAAATTGATTTGCATTTTAATGAGGGAAATAAGTATTTGACCCCCTCTCAATCAGAAAGATTTCTGGCTCCCAGGTGTCTTTTATACAGGTAATGAGCTGAGATTAGGAGCACACTCTTAAAGGGAGTGCTCCTAATCTCAGTTTGTTACCTGTATAAAAGACACCTGTCCACAGAAGCAATCAATCAATCAGATTCCAAACTCTCCACCATGGCCAAGACCAAAGAGCTCTCCAAGGATGTCAGGGACAAGATTGTAGACCTACACAAGGCTGGAATGGGCTACAAGACCATCGCCAAGCAGCTTGGTAAGAAGGTGACAACAGTTGGTGCGATTATTCGCAAATGGAAGAAACACAAAAGACCTGTCAATCTCCCTCGGCCTGGGGCTCCATGCAAGATCTCACCTCGTGGAGTTGCAATGATCATGAGAATGGTGAGGAATCAGCCCAGAACTACACGGGAGGATCTTGTCAATGATCTCAAGGCAGCTGGGACCATAGTCACCAAGAAAACAATTCGTAACACACTACGCCGTGAAGGACTGAAATCCTGCAGCGCCCGCAAGGTCCCCCTGCTCAAGAAAACACATATACAGGCCCGTCTGAAGTTTGCCAATGAACATCTGAATGATTCAGAGGAGAACTGGGTGAAAGTGTTGTGGTCAGATGAGACCAAAATGGAGCTCTTTGGCATCAACTCAACTCGCCGTGTTTGGAGGAGGAGGAATGCTGCCTATGACCCCAAGAACACCATCCCCACCATCAAACATGGAGGTGGAAACATTATGCTTTTGGGGTGTTTTCTGCTAAGGGGACAGGACAACTTCACCGCATCAAAGGGACGATGGACGGGGCCATGTACCGTCAAATCTTGGGTGAGAACCTCCTTCCCTCAGCCAGGGCATTGAAAATGGGTCGTTGATGGGTATTCCAGCATGACAATGACCCAAAACACACGGCCAAGGTAACAAAGGAGTGGCTCAAGAAGAAGCACATTAAGGTCCTGGAGTGGCCTAGCCAGTCTCCAGACCTTAATCCCATAGAACATCTGTGGAGGGAGCTGAAGGTTCGAGTTGCCAAACGTCAGCCTCGTAACCTTAATGACTTGGAGAAGATCTGCAAAGAGGAGTGGGACAAAATCCCTCCTGAGATGTGTGCAAACCTGGTGGCCAACTACAAGAAACATCTCACCTCTGTGATTGCCAACAAGGGTTTTGCCACCAAGTACTAAGTCATGTTTTGCAGAGGGGTCAAATACTTATTTCCCTCATTAAAATGCAAATCAATGTATAACATTTTTGACATGCGTATTTCTGGATTTTTTTGTTGTTATTCTGTCTCTCACTGTTCAAATAAACCTACCATTAAAATTATAGACTGATCATGTCTTTGTCAGTGGGCAAAAATCAGCAGGGGATCAAATACTTTTTTCCCTCACTGTATGTAAATGTGGTATTTTGGTTCTTTATTTTTAATACATTTGCCATGAAAAATAAATACATGTTTTTGCTTTGTCATTACGGGGTATTGTGTGTAGATGGATGTGGGGGGAAAAAACAATGTAATCCATTTTAGCATAAGGCTGTAACATAACAAAATGGAAAGAGTCAAGGGGTCTGAATACATTCCGAATGCATTGTATATACAAATGGTTTTGGTTATTTCAGCCACACCCGTTGCTGACAGGTGTATAAAATCGAGCACACAGCCATGCAATCTGCATAGACAAACATTGGCAGTAGAATGGCCTTACTGAAGAGCTCAGTGACTTCCAACGTGGCACCGTCATAGGCTGCCACCTTTCCAACAAGTCAGTTCATAACATTTCTGCCCTGCTAGAGCTGCTCCGGTCAACTGTAATTGCTGTTATTGTGAAGTGGAAACGTCTAGGCGCAAGGCCACACAAGCTCACAGAACGGGACCGCTGAGTGCTCAACCACGTAACGTGTAAAAATTGTCTGTCCTCAGTTGCAACACTCACTACCAAGATCCAAACTACCTCTGGAAGCAATGTCAGCACAAGAACTGTTCGTCTGGAGCTTCATGAAATGGGTTTCCATGGCCGAGCAGCCTCCCACAAGCCTAAAATCACCATGCGCAATGCCAAGCGTCGGCTGGAGTGGTGTAAAACTCGCCACCATTCGACTCTGGAGCAGTGGAAACGCGTTCTCTGGAGTGATGAATCGCGCTTCACCATCTGGCAGTCCAACGGATGAATCTGGGTTTAGCGGATGCCAGGAGAACGTTACCTGCCCGAATGCATAGGGCCGGCCAACTATAAAGTTTGGTGGAGGAGGAATAACGTTTTTTCATGGTTCGGGCTTGGCACCTTAGTTCCAGTGAAGGGAAATCTTAACGCTACAGCATACAATTACATTCTAGACGATTCTGTTCTTCCAACTTGTGGCAACAGTTTGGGGAAGGCCCTTTCCTGTTTCAGCATGACAATTCCCCCATGCACAAAGCGAGGTCCATACAGAATGGTTTGTCGACA